CGGCTTTTAAAAGCGCTCGCTAACAGAACTTGCCCCAAAAGTCTGTTGAGGCTATACGGGGATCTTTGTCTTTGAGCTATGTAAGAATGTGTGAGTGTGGGTGCAAGTGTGAGTGCAACGGGAATGTGGGTGTCTGTTGTGTTCATAGTAACAGTGGGATCGGTGGTTCTGCAGTGGTTAGATCGACTCGGTCTTAAATTAATACCCGGTGTGGTGGTGTACACATCACCACCGGGGAGACTAAGGCGACAGGACGTGGTGCTGGTCACGCCGACCTTAATGGGTGCTCGCTAAGCGCACTTGTCCCAACATTCTGTTCAGGACGGTGCTGTCACGGGGGATCTTTGTATGTTTTTCTCGTGGTCTCTCGCACGTGGTCGCAGACGCGCCTCGTGTCCACGTGACAGGTGAGCCCCCGCCACCCCCACCAGCACGCCCGTGTGACAAGCTTGGCTGTTGGGTGTTGTTTGTAAACGCGAACGGCTGTTCTTGTTATTTTGTTGCCCAAGCAGCGGAGAGACGAGACAGCGCGTGGGCGCATCTGCGGTTACGCGAGGAACAAACGAAATCATCATCTTGGACACCCCCTCCCACGCGCCCGGGCAGCTCCTCGCTTCATCATCTCCCGGTGCTAGGCTCAGTCCACTGCTGGACGAGGTGCCTGATCTCCATGCCTGTGCGGGGCTGTGTTGACCATACACCGCCACGCTGCGCGGTGCGGATTGTTGGCGACGAGTCGAGTGGAGGACGCCGACAGCGCGCGGTGCTTGCCGAGTCGCTTCGCACCCGATGGCAGCCGTCCATCCAAGCGTTGTCCAGGTTCAGTTCCTGCTTGGCTTGCGAGATGTGTCGAACTGTCCGATGGCGGGCGCGGCTTGCGGGTGATTTGGTCCGAGGCGCCTGTGACCATTCTCACATCTGTTGTTCTTATTATTATATAACATCGAAGTGGATTTCGTGGCCGCTGGTGGCTGCGGGAGTCACGTGATCACTTACAAGCGACACGAACGACTGCTAAAGAAACGCATCGATTGTTGCACGGTCTGATCTGACAGCGTCATCCCACGCCCGGAGTTTTACTTTGGGGATGGGGGCGGGTGGGGGGGATAAGGTGCCCCCCCCCCCCACATTCGCGAAACCTACCCCCCCCCCCGCTTAGTGCCCCAGTAAGCGGGATGATGAGATGAAGAGCATACCTTGGGGGTCAGGGGTCAAATGTGCAACTGCTGTGCTTGCGGGGGACTGGTAGAAGGAAGGAAGTGATGGCGAGGTGTGGTGCCGATGGGTGACATAAGCGGTATTGTCTGATGCTGTTTGAGCGAGGAGAGAGGGGCGGTTGTGATGATGGACGAGGAGGCGAAAGACGAGGGTGGGCGAGGTGGGGGCTGAACCGGGGGGGGGAGCCGCATACCCCCCGCGGGGGCCCAGGTGTGATGTGTTACACCCGGACTCAACGACGGGGGAGGGGATGCGGTTAGGGGGCCCATCCCACTCTAAACCCCTCTCCTCCTCCTCACTCGCTCCCCTCATGTGGCCGGCATCACCGTCACCAGCAGTGGCATTGCCACGACCCTCCTCGACATTGACGCGAGCGCAAACACTGAAACTCAGCACAGGCGTTGCTCGTTCACATGGCGGAGCTTCTGCTGCTATTAATATTAATACAGATGCTGAGCGCTGCTGCTGTTGATGATGCTGATGCTTGTGCCAATGTCGCTGCTGCTGTTGATGATGCTGATACTTGTGCCAATGTCGCTGCTGCTGTTGATGGTGCTGATGCTTGTGCCAATGTCGCTGCTGCTGTTGATGGTGCTGATGCTTGTGCCAATGTCGCTGCTGCTGTTGATGGTGCTGATGCTTGTGCCAATGTCGCTGCTGCTGTTGATGGTGCTGATGCTTGTGCCAATGTCGCTGCTGCTGTTGATGGTGCTGATGCTTGTGCCAATGTCGCTGCTGCTGGTGATGATGCTGATGCTTGTGCCAATGTCGCTGCTGCTGTTGATGGTGCTGATGCTTGTGCCAATGTCGCTGCTGCTGTTGATGGTGCTGATGCTTGTGCCAATGTCGCTGCTGCTGTTGATGGTGCTGATGCTTGTGCCAATGTCGCTGCTGCTGGTGATGATGCTGATGCTTGTGCCAATGTCGCTGCTGCTGTTGATGGTGCTGATGCTTGTGCCAATGTCGCTGCTGCTGTTGATGGTGCTGATGCTTGTGCCAATGTCGCTGCTGCTGTTGATGGTGCTGATGTTTGTGCCAATGTCGCTGCTGCTGGTGATGATGCTGATGCTTGTGCCAATGTCGCTGCTGCTGTCTCTGATGGTTACGCTCCTCCGATTGCCACAGTTGTTTACGTACGGAGCGAAGGAAGTTCAACATGCACACATGCTGATGGTGCTACGGACACGATTATTATGATTGCTGCTGCCGCTGCTGCCGCCGAGTATGAGACACGAACCCCGTGTCTGGTGGGAGAGTCTCTGCGTCACAAGCACCCCCTTTAGCTGGCGACACATCGGAGGCAGCCGCCGCTGGGTGTAATTGCCCGGTAGGAATGTCCATGGTGGCTGATGCTGTGTATGTTTAATCGTGGCGGTGTGTGGGGCTGGGTAGCGGTGAGCGCGCGGCACTATGAACCTGGCGACCCGGGTTCGATTCCCGCTCACGGCTAACACCAGTGACGATTATCTGAACCGGTCCTGGGCCTCCCCTAGGTCGACTCGGCCTGAAATGAGTACCTGGTGCAGTGTGTAAACATCGCCACTGGGGATACAAAGGCGGTCGGGCGTGGTGCTGGCCACCCACCCACCCCCTCGTGTACCGTTCCGGCCTTCATAGGTGCTCGCTAACAGTCTGTTAAGGCTATACGGGGGATCTTTGTCTTTGTAGCCGGCTGTGGGGAGTGGTAGTGTAGTGGATAGCGCTACGCTGCGCTACCAACGCGGCGTCCTGAGTTCGATTCCTGCTCACGGCCACCAATACCAGTGACCAACATCTGAACCGGTTCTGGGCTTTCTCTAGGTCGACTCACCCTCAAATGGGAGACAAAGGCGGCCGGGCGTGGTGCTAGTCACTCACTCCCCTCGTGTGCTGCGTGCCGGCCTTCATAGGTGCTTGCTAACAGCACTTTCCCCAACAGTCTGTTAAGGTTATTCGGGGAATCTGTGTCTTTGGCGGGTGCTGCCTCGGCCGATGTTATATTAGCCAAACAGTGTGGACGCGCATGTGGGGCTGGTGATGATAATCGTTTCAATAAAACCGTGAAATATTTCTCCCGTGGTATGAGTCTGTATGGTGCTCACTGCTGCCCCAAAGAACCTGGAACGTCACCCTAGCCCCCCCCCCCCCCCCCACTGTGCAGGAATGGCTCTGCCCTATTAATTATGTAAATTACATCATTAGAATTGCGGAGCCGCTGGAGTATTCCCCCACCCCTCACCTCTCGAGGATTCTCCGGACGTATTCATTTTCCTGTATGTGTGTGCGTGTGTGCGTATGGGTGTGCGTGTGTGCGTGTGTCTTTGGGGAGCGGTGGTGTAGCGGTTAGCGCGCTGTGCTATGAACCGGACGACCCGGGTTCGATTCCCGCTCACGGCCAACACCACGGTGACGATTATCTGAACCGGTCCTGGGCCACCCCTAGGTCGACTCAGCCTCAAATGAATACCTGGTGCGGTGTGTAGTAAACATCGCTACTGGGGAGACAAAGGCGGCCGGGCGTGGTGCTGGCCACCCACCAATCGTGTGCCGTGCTGGCCTTCGTCGGTGCTCGATAACAACACTTGCCCCAACAATCTGTTCAGGCTATATGGGGGATCTTTGTCTTTGTCTGTATGCATGTTTATGTCAACATGTCTCTGTTTACGTCTCTGTGTCAATATGTGTGTGTGCGAGTGTGTGTGTGCGAGTCTGGCTCTGTGTGTGCGTGTGAATCTGCGTGTAGGTAGACATCGCCAAGAGAGAGACAAAGGCGGCCGGGCGTAGTGCTGGCCCATCCACCCCCTCGTGCGCCGCAGCGGGCCATGATATAGTTGCTCGCGAACAGCACTTGCCCCAAGAGTCTGTTAAAGGCTGTTCGGGGATCTTTGTCTTTGTGTTCGTCCATGTATTTGAAGGATAATGTCAATATTCGGCAATTGCTTTGCTTTGGTCAGGTTATGTAAAGAGCGACTGTCTACAGGCAGTCCGCACGAAACGTCGACGGAGTTCCAGGGAGCCGCTCGTGGCCATTTAGAGCTTGCCCCTAAACAGCCTGAAGCATTTCAGGTGATTTACCTAAATATTTATTTTCAATTGATTTCGTGCCTGCCTTTGTATTTACAGGCTGCGTGTGCCCGTATGTGTTTGTGTGCATGCCTGTGTGTGGCCAACACCATTGACGATTATTTAAACCTGTGCTGGGCCTCCCCTAGGTCGACTCAGCCACAAATGAGTACCGGGTGCGGTGTGTAAACATCATCACTGGGGGGTGGAAGGCGGCCGGGTGTGGAGCTGGCCACCCACCCCCTCGTGTGTCGGTGCTAACAGCACTTGCCCCAACAGTCTATTGAAGGCTACACGGGGGATCTTTGTCTCTTCGCCTCTGTGTGCGTGCTTCTGTGTGTGTACCGTCACACGTGCTTGCACTGCACACGTGTGTGTCGGTGTGTCTCTGTGAGTGTTCCCGTGTGCGTCTGTGCGTCTGTTTGCCTTGCTGCCTACCTCCCGTCTTGTGTGTCTAGGTGTCTGTCTATGTTTACATGTCTGGCCCTCTCTCCACCCTGCCTGCCTTATCGGGAGTCTGTGTGTCTTTTTCATAACCTACCTGAGCACCTACCCATCGTTATGTGCTGTATGCCTGCCTACCTACTTACCCACCTACCCATACCAGATTTTCTGTGGGTCTGTCTGAAAGGAATGCGTGTTAATTTTGAAGTTTTCGTGACTGCAGGAATTATTCTTTGGTTCTTTGGTTCTTTCGGTTAAGTCGTGACTTAACCGAAAGAACCAAAGAATAAGAATACGTGTCTTTTGCAGTGGGAGCCTTCACGAATGTTCATGTCGCCGTCCACGTAATCAGGCCAAGGAGGCAAAGGTCGGGGGTCACGCAGGTCGGGGTCACGCAGGTCGGGGTCACGCAGGTCGGGGTCACGCAGATTGGGGTCACGTAGGTCGGGGTCACGCAGGTCGGGGTCACGCAGATTGGAGTCACGTAGGTCGGGGTCACGCAGGTCGGGGTCACGCAGGTCGGGGTCACGCAGATTGGGGTCACGCAGATTGGGGTCACGCAGGTCGGGGTCACGCAGGTCGGGGTCACGCAGTTGAGGCTCAACCCTCTGGTGGATGTTGCCGGCGTGTCCCGCACTAATCGCTCCGTTTATCAGCTCGTGCTGTTTATCTCCGCGGTTGTTTATTTCGGAGTTTGTTTATCTCGGGGTTTGTTTATCTCGGAGTTTATCCTTTGGAGAAATCAGGAATTCTCCTCCCAAGGCTTTGCTCGCGCACGGGGTCGCGTGGCGAGCGCAAGAAACAAACAATACTGTATAGTATACCATCAGCAGCATAGTCACCATCAGCAGCAGCAGCATCAGCAGCAGTAGCATTGTCTTAAATCACTGAGAGACCACTCCTCATCGTCATTTTCATCTGGCTCGTGTAACGTGGGATTACGACTCAGACAGGAGTGGAATTGTTATTCCAGCATCGGTCCGGCGTATGGGTTTGGGTGAACGTTAAAGGTAGGGTGAAAATTCTGTTTACGGTTAGGGTCAGGGTATCAGGGTCATGGTTAGGGTTAAGGTTATGATTCGGGTCAGGGGTATGGTTCGGACAATGGCTAGGGTCAAGGTATCAGGGTTATGGTCACGGTAAAGAGCAGTGCTATGGTTCGGTTTAGCGTGGATCACCCTGTCTCAACTGAGCACATCAAAGCCACGCAAACTGCTGCTCTTGCTTCGACGCGAGCTGCCGGTGATCGGAGCCGAGTGTATTTGTGTGGAGGCATCGAGTCGCGAGCGGAGGAATTGTTTGGGTTCCGGGAGCTCCCTCGATCGCTTTTCACATGGTCGACGTCCTGCTGCGTCGGGGGAACACAGCGGCTGTCCGTCTGTCCGTCCGCTCTTCTGTCCACGTGTCTGTCTGTCTGTCGTCTGTCCGTCCCTGTACCCCGTCACGTGATGTTATAACGAAAACTAACAAACAAAAACCTTCAAACAAAATTTGTTTGGGGGAGGGGGTGGGTGAAACTAGGCGCACGCACGGCTCACGACTAAGAACGAAGCCCAGGGGTCGTAGAGCTTTTGGGGAAAAATTGGCAACGCAGTGCTGTTGTCAATAACGAGTTGTTTTTATTACCAAATAAATGCCGCGTTACACTGCGAACCCCCCGCGTCCGTTTTGCCGGTTTGCGCCATTCCGCGGGCATTGCGTGATGCGAGACCCTCAGGCTGTGGAGGAGGCTCGCTTCGTGCCCTGGCTTGGCAGCTTGGGATCGTCATAGAATTTAATTCACTACTCACGAACTATTTTTATTTGACCAGGTGAGACCCACTGAGATGTACAGCTCTTTTTTCAGGAAGCGACCTGGCCACAAATGATAGCTCAAAGAAGTGGCTTATCGTCGTGTGGAAATGCATAGCAGCTAAATACTTTGAACGCAGTGTTGATTTTAAATGTGGAGGGGAAAAAAACGGATGGACCCGTCGAAAACTCCATGCGAACCACGGGAAGAGAGATACTGCAAACTCAATATACTAGGCGTTAGGGTCGGGGTCGAAGCGCACGACCTCCTGTATACCAGGCGAGGTAGTTAACATCTCGCCGCCGTGCTCCCAGTTGCCCGCATGGCTCGGGTTGAAGTGGCCGGTGTTTGGCCGAGACCGCTCCCCCCTCTCTTTCCCTTCCCCCCGCTTCCCCCCATTCCCCCCCCCCCACCCTCCTCCTCCTCCTCAACCCAGCTACGACCCCAGCCCCCACCAGCAGCGTCAGCCAAGTATTCGTTTCAGGCTGAGTCGACCTCGGGGAGGTCACCCCTGGCTCAGCCGCCTGCAATTAGGACCCAAACATGGCAGAGAAGCGCCCCCCTCCCGGGTGCTGATTTGGATCGGGGACTTGGAGAATCGGGGATGCTGAGGGTCGGGGATGTGGGTTTAAACATTCATCTTTGGGGGGCGGGGGAGGAGGAAGAGGGGGGGGGGGTAAACCTCAGTGGCCAGAGGGGGTTAGAGTTGAGGAATTAATAAGGTGAAGGCGGGCGGGGGGCGGGAGGGGGCGGTGGGCGGAGGGGATCAACCGATAGGGGGAACAGACTCCGGTCCCATGCACCGAGACTGAGTTCGTGTAGGCGGACTTGAGGTCGCGAGGCCCTGCGTGTGTGCGCCTTGGGACTGTGTGTGTGAGTGTCTGGGTGAACGCGTGTGTCTCCAGCGTGCGCGTGAGTCTGGGTTTGTGTGTGCGCCTTGGGACTGTGTGTGTGAGTGTTTATGTGTGAGTCTGGGTCTGTGTGTGCGTGTATGCATCTGGATACGTGTGTGAGTTTGCGTGTGAGTCTGAATGTGTGTGTGTCTGACTGTGTGTGTGTGAATATGGGTTTCTGTGTGTCTGGATCCGTGCATGTAGAAATGCAGAAATTATTTCGCACCGTCCGTGGCCAATCGTGCTAATCGGAGGTGTGGAGGAAGGACAAACTGCGTGCGAGTCTGGGTGTGGCTGTGTCTGGGTGTGGCCGTGATGTCTGTATGTGTGTGTGCCCCAGTGTGTTTGTTTCTGTGTATCTTTGTGTTGCTGCTGGGGCACATGCTAATGCAAGCTATCGGGGGATGTTTGTCTTTGTTGTGTGTGTGTCAGTCAGTCATGGCACTTGGGTCTGTCTCGTGCCCCGTCAGCGAGCCTTCGACACTTCACGTGGCCTCAAAGTGCACCGAGCCTGGCACAAGCGCCTAAGTGACGTCACCGCTACTTAGTGGCGAATGGTGGCTGGTGTTCTTGTACTTGTCTATAAATATGTATATCATTATTGGGTAAGTGCTCGTGAACAGCACTTTCCCCAACAGTCTGCTCGAGGCTATATGGGGAATTTCTGTATGTGTTTGTATGTGTGTGTGTGTGTATGAATGTTGTGTGTGTTTGTGCATCCACTTCACGCGAGCTGTCCTCCCGGTCTCATTGTTCTCGGAGTCTGGGTCCCGACCGCGACTCGGGGCACCGCCCGTCCGGGACACCGTGTACCCCACGTCTGCTTCGCGACCTCGCACCCATCTCCCGGGTCCACCCCCCTCCCCTCCCTCCCTCCCTCCCGTTCACCAACTCCCACACAGCGCATCGGTCCACGCTCACATATCCCAGGTCCCCACTCCCAGGTCTCAGCACCCAGGCCTGGCAGAGCAGGGCGCAGAGCTTCGGGGGTGTGTCGTGGTGCAGGGTGGTGGTGGTGGCTAGTGCAGAGTGGGGGGAGGGGGTGCTGGTGCATAAGGAAAGGTGTTATAGTGCAGGGTGGTTCAGGGCGCGCTCTGCGTGGCCACGTGATCGCGTGTGTCCCCGACCCGTGTCGCCCGAGTTTCCCAGGATTGAAAACAGGTTTAGTTTGGGGGGGGGGAAGGCGGCGGTGTTGTGGGGGAAATGGTGGGAGGGGGGTGAAGAGGGGTGTAGCCGGTAATTGCGACGCGCACTCAAGACATGACATCATCGCCGGCGCGCTTTGTATTCACGCGAACTCTAACCGTGAACAGCAGCATCAGTCACCACCTCCACCACCACCAGCATCAAATACAAAGATCTCCCACACAGCCTTCACAGAGTTTTGGGACAAGTGAGTGCTGATAGCGAGCACCAACGAAGGGGGTGGGTGACATCACCACCCTAATCACGGAGCCACATCTTCATTACCACCACCCGCACCACCACCTGCACCACCAGCTGCACCACCAGCATCACTTCCACCACCACGGCCATTAAAATCAGTCATGCATCACAACCTCCACCGTAACCATCTCCCCCATCACCATCACCTCCACCATCACCTCCACCATCACCACCTCCACCATCACCTCCACCATCACCTCCACCATCACCTCCACCATCACCACCTCCACCATAACAGCCACGCTTATCAGCTGTCGTCACCTGACATGAAACATTGTAGCCCAACGGATCAACGACCCCAACGTGGTTGCCCAATTGTGTCAGGGTCAGGATTCCGATACGACAATCGTAAACCGTTAACCGTTTTCGGTATCTGTTACCGGTTTTTAAAGTAATTCGCCGATTGATTCGCGCGAAGAAGAAACGGCACGGGGGGGGGGGGGGGGCTGGGTGAGGGTATTTGGTCTACTCTTCCCCGCTGTGACCACACATGTTGGAAGAGTTGGGTGCACACAAACTTTACCCCGCCACACGCGACTGACTGTGGTGTAGCCATTGATGTTGCTGGGTGGACAGAGACCGGGGGGGGGGGGGGCGGGGGGGGGGAATTCACGAAACGTTCTTCATTGTTTCAGCTGCCGCGCCGGGAGGTCGCTTCGAACCACCATGACGCCGCTGTGGCCGCTCCACTCGGTACTCGGAGTTCGACTCCCGATCACGGTTAGTGGGGAGTGAACCCGCGTTGACTCTCCCCTAGGTCGACTCAGCCGTAACTGAATAACCAGTGCGGTGTGCAACCATCAGGATTGGGGATACAAAGACGTATGGGTGTGGTGCTGGCCACCCGTCCCGGCCTTCATGGGTGTTCGCTAACAGCGCTTGCCCCAACAGTCTGTAAAGGCGAGACGGGGGTTATTTGTCTTTGTGTGGGTGTACGCGTGTTTTAGAGTTTGTGTGTGTATCTTTGTTTAACTTGGTGCGTGTGAATTAGTCTGTGTGTACGCGTGTAATGCATGCGTATGTATGTATGTATGCGGGTGTGTGTACTAGTTGTATATTATCTTAGTGCTTGTTTCGATTTCGGGGAGGTTGAACAGTGTTGGAGAGGGGTGCTGCTTGGGCTCAGTGTCGGAATGCGCCCCCCCCCCTCTCCTCCCCGAATCATCGCCAATTTTCTCGCCTGAAATCAATGCGCGTTGGCGATTTCCATCTGGCGTGCTATGATGATGGTGGTGATAACAGTGGTGGTGATGATGGTGTGGTAGTGATGACGACGACGACGATGATGATGGCAGTGGAGGTGATGATGGGAGTGATAAGGATGGTAGTGATGAATGATGATGTTGTAAGTGATGATGATGATGTTGGAAGTGATGATGATGGTGGTGATTGTGATCGTAACGATGATGCTGCTGCTGCTTGTGTGATGATGGTTGTGGTGATGGTAGTGACCACCCACGCGAGTAAATGGATAAATTAGTTCCTTAATTAATTAATTAAGTTCTCGGCAGGGGTGGGAAGTGGTGCGAGGGGAGGGGGTGCCGCCTTTTCAGCGCCGCTCAATTTGTCGCGAGAAATGCGCCGCGCTGCGGGGGGCGGGGAGGGGGCGAGGGGCGGAGGGAGGGGGGAGGGGGGAGGGGAGGGGGAGGGGAGGGGGAGGGGGGCGGGGAGGGGGCGAGGGGCGGAGGGAGGAGAGGGGGCGAGGGGCAGGGAGGGGGAGGGGGAGGGGAGGGGGAGGGGGAGGGGGGAGGGGAGGGGGGAGGGGGAGGGGGAGGGCGGCGAGGGGCGGAGGGAGGGAGGAGAGGGGGCGAGGGGCAGGGAGGGGAGGGGAGAGGGGCAGGGAGGGGAGAGGGGAGGGGAGAGGGGAGGGGGAGGGGAGGGGAGGGGAGGGGGGAGGGGGAGGGGGCGGGAGGGGGCTAGGGGGGAGGGGAGGGGGAGGGGAGGGGGAGGGCGGCGAGGGGGGGACGGAGCGTGAAGGACGTAGGGGTCGCGTTCTTGAACCCCCAAGTATTTCACACAAAGTTTCTCTAGGACCGGGGGTTCGTGACGGTGGTGATGGTAAGCGTCATTGTGGTGGCGATCGAGTGCTGATGGCAATGGTGTTGTTGATGTTGGTGACGGTGTTAGTGACGATGTTAGTGACGGTGTTAGTGATGATGCTGGTGATGATGTTAATGGTGATGATGTTGGTGATGATGTTGGTGATGATGTTAATGGTGATGTTCTTAATCACGAGGCGTGGCTGCTCACGCCTCTCCGCTCCCCGTGGCGCGCATCGCTTCTGTTTCCCGTGACTTTTCATGACCCCCCCCCCCTCTTCCCTCCAGATCATTCCCCTCGCTCCCAGGGGGGGGTTACGGTGACCCCCTCGCCGCCCGCCCCCACCTGAGGAAGACTCCCCACCACCGCCCCTCCGCCCAGCGTCACAATAACAAGGCGCGCATCCTGCACCCGCATCGCGACCCCTTGCGCACCACGGGGCAGTTTGATCCCCTGCATCGGTGAGGATGTTGGGGTGGGTTGGAGGAAAGGCGAGTAAGGTAGGGGGATGGTGGGGGGGGTCTAATGTTCTCTGTGGTTTGTTTTATCCGTTGCCCACAAGCGCAGCGCACTCCGATCCCAGGGGGCCGCGGTCTGCACCGCGCTCCTGACGTCACCGCCAGCCCCCCCCCCCTGTATCCCATTCACCGCCCCCCCTCTCTAATACCCCCGCACCCCTATCCCCGTAGCCCCTACCCCCTTCCTGGTGGGAGGGCCGCGCCTCTCGCTTCCCTCTCCAAGGTGGAACTCGCAGCGCGCGCGTTTCCTCGGCCCCGCGTCTGCAGGAGGGAGCCGCGCGCGCGCACGCATTGGTCGCTCCTCGACTCACGCCCCCCCCCTGTCTGTCTCTCTGCTCCCCCAGACTCCCCTCTGCTGCAGGAGACTCTCCTCGGGTCCCCTAGACTCTGTCTCCTTCTTTCCGTGTCTCGCGACTCCTTCCTGTTCCCCGCTCCTCTTTCTCGCTCTCTTCTTCCTCTGAGCTCTCCTCGGCTCACGCACCCCCCCACCCTTCTCTCCTCCTTCTCCGCCGCGCTGCAGTGGAGGGGGAGGCGCTGAGCCTGAAGCTTGGGGTTTCCTACCGGAGGAGAGAGAGCTAAGAGAGAGAGAAAGTCGGTTACAGAACTCAGCGCGCAAAGACCAAAACGTACACACACAAAGCCAAAGATCCTCCGTGTAGCGTTTAACGGACTCTTGCAGCAAGTGTCGTTCGAGAGCACCTATTACATACACACACCCACATACACACACCCACATACACATACACACATTGCGCGCGTGCACATACTCTGACAACGTGTACATTACACTCCAACCCTACAAGCCTGCGCATCTGAATCCGGGCTTCCACTACACTCATACCGAGCTCACCCCTACACACCAACCCGCCACAGCACACTCACGCCGCTACCCTCGACCCCCTTGCACCCCTACCCCTCCACACGCCAACACCCCCGACACACTCGTCCTCTCGCGGACGCGATGGGTGCTACCGGCGCGACGCTGGGGACTCTGCTGGTGGCAATCGCGGTTCTGCTGGAGCCCGTGGAGCCCCTGGAGCCCGCGCAGGCGGCAGCAGCAGCAGGACGAGAGGGCCACGCGTACGCGAGGCAGCCGCTGGGCCGTGGCACGATTCGCAAGAGGTTGGTGCCGGGTCCGCCCGGCTCCGCGCGCCTCGTGTCTCTGGCGCGGGACGAGGTGGTGGTGCTGGGAGCCGGGGACACGCGGCACAGCGGGTGAGCGCGTGGGCTGTTCCTCACCGACACTTCCTCACCTCCACCATCTCACAGATGCCTCCTCACCTCCACCATCTCACTGATGCGTCCTCACCGACACCTCCTCACTGATGCGTCCTCACCGACACCTCCTCACTGATGCCTCCTCACCTCCACCATCTCACTGATGCGTCCTCACCGACACCTCCTCACTGATGCGTCCTCACCGACACCTCCTCACTGATGCCTCCTCACCTCCACCATCTCACTGATGCGTCCTCACCGACACCTCCTCCACCGCCTTACTTCCATCTACCCATCTCCTAACCACCTCATTACCACCACCGCCACTTCATCCAGCGGTGCCAATATGCGTCATACGAATACTAATTAATAATACATATACATGCATGCACACACATCTCTGAATATAACATGTACGAACACACGTATACATGGAACACAACATACGTGCACATACACACACACAAAGTGTATGCACTTACACACGACATGCAGCATCCATACACACACCCATACAACATGTACTGTACACACACACATGCACCCACGTCAAAGTACATTACATGCATGTAACATGGATACATGCATGCAAAAACACACATCTTAATGCGTGAACACATGAAAACAAGCACACACATGCACATCACGAAAGCACACGTACAGACATGTACACAAAGATCCCCTGTGTAGCCTTTTACAGGCTATATATAAAAAAAAGGTTTTACTCTTTTTGGCCATCAAGCAGGTGTTAAGATGTTCAAACACCAACTAGAAACCTCGTGCAAGGAATCGTGTAACAACTTTTTGAATTTTTTTTATACTTTGTGACTGGCAAAAAAAAGGTCCCATCTTTTACAGACTCTTCAGGGCAAAGCCTGTTGGCGAGCTCCGATGTAAACGCCCACACACAGACACGTACACACCACACACATACACGCGCGCGCACGTGTGTGGACGTTTGTGCACGTGTGTGCACGTGTGTGTACATGTTTGTGTACGGGTGTGAGTTGTGGGGAGCGGTAGTGTAGCGGTTAGCGCGCTGCGCTATGAACCTGGCGACCCGGGTTCGATTCCCGCTCACGGCTAACACCAGTGACGATTATCTGAACCGGTCCTGGGCCTCCCCTAGGTCGACTCAGCCTTAAATGAGTACCTGGTGCGGTGTGTAAACATCGCCACTAGGGAGACAAAGGCGGTCGGGCGTGGTGCTGGCCACCCACCCCCTCGTGTACCGTTCCGGCCTTCATAGGTGCTCGCTAACAGCACTTGCCCCTACAGTCTGTTCAGGCTATACGGGGGATCTTTGTCTTTGTCGGGACAGAGGTGTAATCGGGAACTTCTTGTTTTGGTCATTTAATATCACCAGCAGCAGCGGCACGAGCAGCAGCAGCATCATCATCATTGTCATCAATCAGCAGCATCTATTATTGGTATCATCATCTATGATATTCCTAGGAAAGCCTCACTGAATCTCAAGACGCATGTCACCGTGCGTCCTGCCTCGGGTCGTTTGGCGGATTTCACCCTGGGCAGTTTTGTGTCCCTAGCACCCGCTCCCCCACGACGCTGCTGATGCTGATGGTGCTGTTACCATCGCTGCTGATGATGGTGCTGTTACCATCGCTGATGATGATATGATGGTGCTTTAACCATCGCTGCTGATGGTGCTGTTACCATCGCTGCTGATGCTGCTATTACCATCGCTGATGATGGTGCTGTTACCATCGCTGCTGATGATGCTGATGGTGCTTTAACCATCGCTGATGATGATGCTGCTGCTGCTGATTAGGGAAATGTTTCTGCTGATGATTATTTTGACACTGATCCTGCTGCTGATGATGCTGTTGTTAACGAAGCAGTCACTGCTCCTGCTGCTCCTGCTGCTGCTGATGATGATATAGTATGAGAGTGACGTTTAGAGGTCACGCCGTGTTTACTTTAAGGGGCGATACCCCCCGTGGTGCTTGGTGGGCTGTTTTCGGGGGGTTCGAGTTGGGGGGGGGGGTGCAGATTGTAAGAGTCGATGGCGGGAGGGAGGGAGGGAAAAGTGGGTGGTGCGGGGATCATGAGAGTGGTTAGTGGGGGGATTGTAAGAGCGTGATCATGAGAGTGGTTAGTGTGGGGGGATTGTAAGAGCGTGCTTGAGGGGGCGAGAGCGGCTCAGGCTGGCAGGAGTTGATGTGCGTTGAGCGTGCAGGCCCACAGTAGTAGTCGAGGAGGAAGAGGTGGGGGAATGGGGGGGTGCAGGGAGGGGGAGGAGGAGGGGGGGCTGTAGCTGTAGCTGTCACGCGTGTCTCGCGGCGCCACACAGCCGCCTTTGTCCTCCGCGGCGCTCTCGCCAACTCGATGCGACGCTGATTAAACCCGGAGTCACGGGCGTGACGGCCCCGGGAGGGGTCTCGCTCCTCGCGGCTAATTACCCCCCACGCAGCCAGTCGGGGTCGCCGCGTGTGGCTCAGTGCGTCGGCTTGCTGGGGGGGGGGGGGTGCAGGGGTGGAGAGGGAGTCGTCCGAAACGACGGAAACAGCGAGAGGCGGTAAGCGGTGCAGTCAAAGTCATCAGGTTCACGAGGTCAGCAATGCCAACGCAGCCATCGCTTCCTTCCTGCCGGCGCATTACGGCAGCTGGTTCGCAGTCGACGCCTATTAATGTCTCACCACCACCACCGCCGCCGCCAGCAGCAGTTAGCACGAGACCTCGGGTCTCCTCTTCCCCTTGGGGCACCGGCTTTCGGGGCGCAGCTCCGATGCTGGTCCCAGTGACCGGCCCTCCCCCCTCCCTCACTCCCCTCCCTCTCCCTGCCCACCACAGCCTCGGCTTCCCCGGGCATCTCCACCGCACCTTCCCACGCCACGCTCCATGCGGGACTGAGCTCACTTGGACTTTGATTGTCCGGCATGGCATTGCTGTTCGCGGGGTTTGCGAGACGACGAGGGTGGTGAAGAAGGAGGGAATGGGGGAAGGAGCTGGCGAGGTTCGCTATTGGAAGAGTTTTGCGGTGGGGAAAGGGGGGTGAGGAGGGAGGGCTCCTTGGCATGGGGTATTGGGGGCTCGTGACCCCATTGCAAGGGGGCCATTGTTTCCAGTGCGCCGAGTTTTTGTTGCGGGACCAGGAAACAAGGACAAACAAACACAACGACGACAGCCGCCACTCACCGACGGTGACGTCGCCACAGCGCTCGTGCCAGGCTAGGTGTGCACTTCAAGGCTATCGCGTGAAATGTGGAATGCTCGCTGGCAGGAGGTCAACGGGCAGACCCACGTGTTGAGCATGGGTCAACTGAGTGGGATGTGTGTATGTGTGTTGAACATTTTTCACATCGTACGGAGCGAACCGTGCGAAACAGAGGTGCGGGGTAGGACAGCAAACTCGAGACAAAGAGCAGTTTTAAAGGAACGAGTTTTCAATTTATATTTTAAAAGTGCATTAGCTCCAGGGGCATCCTGACATTGCAAGGAATATCGTTCCAGACGGCCGCAAAAGCGCGTCTGGAAGCGCGCGGCCGTCTTTGTTCGATGACTCGCCAAAAGCCGCCGCTGCCAGGACGAGCGGAGTTCGCGTGGTTCATTTTTGACGAAGGTCCCGATGACCCCCCCCCCCCCGCCTCTCTGCAGGGTGAACGCGTGCGAGGGGGGGCGGTGCTGCCCGGGATGGACGACGGGACCCGACTCCCAGCGCTGCTCCGTGCGTGAGTGGCTCCCCCCCCTCACCTCCCAAGAAACCTCCTCCCCGCCACAACATTCCTCACTCGCCCATCCCCTACCACCCCCCCCCACACACCCCCCGCCACCTCCACACACTCAACCACTCTAATTAAGCTTAGTAAACATAAATAGTATGGGCAAACCAGAGGAGTCGCGACATCTGCAGCTTTGCCTATCAGCACGCTTACCTGTCTCCCCACTCAGCTGTCTCCCCACTCAGCTGTCTGTCCACTCAGCTGTCTGTCTACTCAGCAGTCTCCCCACTTACCCGTCTACCACCTCACCTGCCTACTCACTCACCTGCCCTTTTGTCTTCATGTGAGTCCTTTCAACTGTCTACTCACTCACCTGTTTAGCCACTCACCTGTCAACTCACCCGTCTACCCACTTACCATTCTCCACCGCTACATGTAAATCCACTTAACTTTCGACTCACTTACTTGTCTACTTACTCACCTGTCGGCCCACTCACCTGTCCTTCGTCTACAGATCAGCTCCTTCACCTGTCTCAGCCCCCTTACCTGTCTGCCTACTCACCTGCCTATCGCCACGCCCACCTGCCTTCCTTCCCACTTACCTGCCTCCTTGCCGACCCGTCCATTCGCCCGCCTGTGCTCCCGTCCACGTGCTCGCCGCTGCTCGCCGCTGCTCCGTCTGCGCGGCCCTGGCACAGCGATGCTGCGCTGAGCCACACGGGGGCGCCACCTCCACTACGCGGGCCGGGAGCCGCAAGGGGCGGGGGGCAGCGGGTGGGGTTGTGTGGGTCAGGGGAGGGAGACGTGGAGGGGAGGGGGAGATGCTGGAAATGATAACGGTGAATGGATCGACGTAAGAATCTAATTAGTTGTAAGTCGTGCGTGTACAGTGTCCATGTGATTCTGAGTGCTGTAGAAAGCCACGGAGTTACCCGCGCCAATGGAGATTCATAGAGAGAATTGGACTGCCGCCCCTCAGTGAATTCCCGTCATGCACCCCGCCCCCCACCACTCGCCTTGCTTTCCTAGCTAATTGATACCCCCCCCCCCCCCGCTGCTCTAAGGGTGTTGATGGAGAATAGGCGGAGGCTCTCCCACCCGCAGTGGGAGTGCAACCTCAGGGCCGCAACGTTGCCCATGCCCCCTCCCCCCTGCCCGTACCCCCGCCCTCTCTGCCGCTCTAGCTCACCGCACTTACTACCCACGCGGCTGGAACCACAACAACAACTTGGCGACTTTCTCCGTCAATCAGCGCTCGCGATGCCGCTCTCGCTCGGCCCTGAGCAGTCCCCCCCCCCGGCATTGTGTTGGGTGGTGGTTTTGTTGTTGACTCCGTCCGGAGGGTGTTTGTGTGGAAGGCGCGCGGGGGGCAACACCCGGCGGCTCCCCGCGGGCACCACCTCTGGGTTTGAGCTCCGAAATTTCCGAACTTTCTCTCCAAACATCACAACTCACCCCTCCACCCACACCCCACACCCCTCCACCCACACCCCCCACCCCACACCCCTCCACCCACACCCCCCACACCACGCACTCTCATTTTTCCTAGAAGTTACCGCTTTCCCAAATCGATGGAGGAGAAATCAAAATGATTCACGGAGCCCAACAGAGTCGCCTGGCGGGTGCGGGCAGGGCAGCCTGCCCTCGTTTTTCCACCTTAAACTGCTACCCCCCCGCCACACCCCCCCCCCCCCCCATGTCCAGTTACCCACTACCCTCTGTTCACTGCGCTCAAGGCTCCCAGGATCCAAGTGCGCTCTTGAAAGACCTTCCTCCGCTGTGGAGCCAGAGAGTTGGTGGAGCTCCACTGTGGAGCCAGAGGGTTGGTGGAGCTCCACTGTGGAGCCAGAGGCTTGCAGCTCCACTGTGGAGCCAGAGGGTTGGAGCTCCACTGTGGAGCCAGAGGGTTGGTGGCGCACCACTGTGGAGCCAGAGGCTTGCAGCTCCGCTGTGGAGCCAGAGGGTTGGAGCTCCACTGTGGAGCCAGAGGGTTGGAGCTCCACTGTGGAGCCAGAGGCTTGCAGCTCCACTGTGGAGCCAGAGGGTTGGAGCTCCACTGTGGAGCCAGAGGTTTACAGCTCCACTGTGGAGCCAGAGGTTTACAGCTCCACTGTGGAGCCAGAGGCTTGCAGCTCCGCTGTGGAGCCAGAGGGTTGGAGCTCCACTGTGGAGCCAGAGGCTTGCAGCTCCACTATGGAGCCAGAGGGTTGGAGCTCCACTGTGGAGCCAGAGGGTTGCGGCTCCGCTGTGGAGCCAGAGGCTTGCAGCTCCATTGTGGAGCCAGAGGGTTGGTGGAGCTCTGCTGTGGAGCCAGAGGGTTGCAGCTCCACTGTGGAGCCAGAGGCTTGCAGCTCCACTGTGGAGCCAGAGGCTTGCAGCTCCACTGTGGAGCCAGAGGCTTGCAGCTCCACTGAAAGCAAACAGCGAGCGGTGAACGCAAATGTGAAATTTCAAACGGTGCGCGTCAGGTCACAGGGGAATCGCGTTGTAAACCCCTCCCGACGCCGACACCGCGTTGCGTGTCACTGAAGTTTATTCCGCGGCTCGCGGTCTCCCAGGGGAGCTGCTCCACGGCGGAGGAGGCGGCTCTCGCAGCCTGGAACGGGAAAACCCCGCATTGTCGACTGCGCATTGCAGCCTGGCCGTAGTGTCCGTTAGACAAATTGCTGCCCCTGTGCCCTCCCTGCCCCGTGCCCTTCTTGACCCCTGCCCTCCTTGACCCTTGCCCCGTGCCCTCCCTGCCCAGTGCCCTCCCTGCCCCGTGCCCTCCCTGCCCCGTGCCCTGCCTGTCCCGTGCCCCGTGCCCTCCCTGCCCCGTGCCCTCCCTGCCCCGTGCTCTCCCTGCCCCGTGCCCTCCCTGCCCCGTGCCCTCCCTGCCCCGTGCCCTCCTTGACCCCTGCTCCGTGCCCTTTCTGCCCGGTGCCCTCCTTGCCCCGTGCCCTCCCTGCCCCGTACCCTCCCTGTCCCGTGCCCCGTGCCCTCCCTTTCTCGTGCCCTCCTTGACCCTTGCCCCGTGCCCTCCCTGCCCGGTGCCCTCCTTGCCCCGTGCCCTCCCTGCCTCGTGCCCTCCTTGACCATTGCCCCGTGCTCTCTCTGCCCCGTGCCCTGCCTGCCCCGTGCCGTCCCTGCCCCGTGCCCTCCCTGCCCCGTACCCTCCCTGTCCCGTGCCCCGTGCCCTCCCTTTCTCGTGCCCTCCTTGACCCTTGTCCCGTGCCCTCCCTGCCCGGTGCCCTCCTTGCCCCGTGCCCTCCCTGCCTCGTGCCCTCCTTGACCATTGCCCCGTGCTCTCTCTGCCCCGTGCCCTGCCTGCCCCGTGCCCTCCCTGCCCCGTGCCCTCCCTGCCCCGTGCCAGCGTTATTCACGATGGGACAGACGCGAGTCTCGTTCTGCGTCTGCTCGGAGAAATTCACGAATTCGTCACGAACTTCAGGGCGGCTCCTGCTGCATCGGGGGGGAGCACGAACGAGGCTTGGCGGCCGTGTAGCCATGCACGTGGCTTAAGCTCTGCACACGTGGCTTAGCCCTGCGCGTGGTACCGTCTTAGCCCTGCGCGTGGTACCGTCTTAGCCCTGCACATGTTAATCCCCGCATCAGGCGCTGCCGGGTGCCAGCAGCAACAGCAGCGAGGCTTGGCAGTCGATTGGATCGCCTTAGCGCGACCCCGCGCGTCCGCCCGCCTCGCCGCCCCCCCCCCCTCGCGCCTTGCATTGTGCGTGGTGCAGGAAGATTGCTGCTGGACGCCGCCTCGGCTGGCGAGGAAGAGACGGGCGGAGGGGGGGAGGGTGCGGTGAGAAATTTGTAGGGGTGCACGGAGAAGGAGGTTTGGGGGGGATGAGGGGGGGTTAGGGGGGGGCGCCCTCCCTCCCCCTCCCTCCCCCCCCTCCCCCCCTCTTTGCGGAATGTGCAGCGGTGAACATTTTATGGAAATGAGATCACTGCTACAAAAGTAAGTAAATAAATAAGGCCCCGAGCCCCGTCCGCATGTTTCAGTCTCGCCGAATTAAAGTAACGAATCGCGATGACGAGGGGCGGATGGGAGGAGGGGAAGGAGGGGGCGGAGGGGGATGAGGTGGTGAGGGATGGGGAGGGTGCTTGAGAGAAGGGAGAAGGAGGGGAGGGACGCGAATGATTACAGGGGAAGAGCCGAGGAAAGTAAGAGAAGGGATTTAAGGGAGGGGAGAGATGCGCATGATGGGGACGCGAGGGTGGGATGTGAAGAAGGGGAGTGTATTGTGACTCTCCCCTCTCGCGTGGGGTCGTCTGTCTCCACCCATTACCGTCCACGGATTGACTCCACAGTCCTTGACATGGGCGAGGGACGTTGCAGAGGGCTGTGTAAGACGGGGACAGAGGCGACGATGGCAGAAAGAAATGCGAGGAAGATCGGAACGGATGTGAGAGGCGCGTGAGGAATGTGAGCTCGAGACGTGTACGGTGTGAGATGTTACAACTTACACGTCCGTCGCACGTCTCGGTACAGATGGGGAACGCTCACACCTGCGCTTACACCTGTGACCCCGCGTGACCCCTTGTGCCCCCAGCTCTGTGCCACCCCCCGTGCCTCAACGGGGGCATCTGCATACGACCGCAGGTGTGCGTGTGCCAGCCCGGGTCCCGTGGCCGCAGCTGCCAGGAGCTCACCTCTCCACCCCCCGCAGCGCCGGCCATACCCCTTCCTCCGGCAGCGGCCCTGCCATTGCCCCTGGCCGTGCCCTTCGCCCAGGCTGGGATGCCCTCGCTACCCCCGGCTGCCCTCGTCGCGCCGCCGCGGGGTCCCAAACGATCGGCGGAGCGCGCCGTGGGTCCCCCCGACTCCCACGAGGCGCCGGGGTCCGCGCCGGGCGTGTCGCTGCTGCGGGAGGGGACGGCGATGGTGGTGATGGGCACGCCGGGGCTGCCCTCGCCGCATGCCCCGCCGCCCCAGGACCTGCCCTCCCTGCGGGACCTGCCCTCGTCACCCGAGGAGGTGCAAGAGCTGCTGCGCACGGCGCCGGAACGCGTGGCGCAGATGCTGGCGGGGTCCCTGGGCGAGGCGGCGCGACGCCTGGGGGGGCCTCCAGGAGGAGCTGGGGCCCCGGGCAGTCCGGGGACGCCTGATTGGGCCATGCTGAGCGCCGTGGAGGAGGCGGCGCAGAAGATCCTGAGCCCCTTGGGGGGCACGGCGCACATGACCGTGCGCATACAGAGGCAGCCGGCGCTGGTGATGTCCAACCAGTGAGTGAGGGGGAGGGGTGGGTCAGCGCATCACCTTTTGGGTTTGTACAGCGGCCTTGATGGCGTGGAGAGCGCCGATACACATCAGGCAGTTTACAGGCAATCGATTCAAGCGAGCCAGACTGCTAATGAGACACTGAATGTGGAAACGGGTGGTAAATCAATGCCGCTGAAATTGTGCACTTCCAGAATGTCGTGTGGCCATTGGCTTGTGTAAAGACATTCCTTCGTGTTTTGTGCGCAGAGACGGAGATGTCTCGGCACAATCCGGGTCTGGCGAATGATCACCCCTCGAGACGCTCCATAAATATGCAGAGGAAGAGCGGCGTAGTGGGGGAATGGTGGCGCAGTGGTTGTCCAACTGCACTACGAACCGATCGACCTGATTTCAATTCCTGGCCACGGCTGACATTAGTGGCGCATGATATATGACTCCCCCCCCCCATCACCTAACCCGAATACTAAGCAATTAACGCTGTCTGCGTTTATTGGATCCGATTCAAATGAAGATTGAGATATCTGTGTGTGTGTGTACACGTGTTACACGTGACGCAGACAGCGCTAGTTGTTTAGCGTGTCACGTGGGACGTTTTAAAAGCATCGGAGGCGTGCAGCGTGGAACGAGTTAATTTGTATTTGAATGGGGAGGAGTAATTTGGTAGACGTGGTCGCGTGGTCACGTGGTCACGGTGGGGTGGGGGGTCGCAAGGTCTGGAGTTCTTGGAACCCCGGAGCAGAGCGAAAGTCGCCCCTGATGAGTGCTCGCGGTGCTGCTGCTGCTGCCATGCCGCTTTCTCTCCGCCGTGATTTTGGGCTGTACCGCCGCGCGACGGTCGGCACGATGGCCGACGTTTCGCTCCACGTGCTGGGAGCTTCTTCGGGAACCGCAGAGGGAGGTGTTGACCCTGGACCTGGACAAGGGGAAGGACCCCAGCAGGGTCAGGCCATGGAGGAGGCGGCAACGCCGTTCGTGGGGCAGCTGCCTGAGAGGTGACGGTGACCCCGTCGCGGTATTTCCCACGGAGCTGACCTGGCGGTGGGCCGGTTCGTGCGTGTCTTGCAGGGTGCGGACGGTACCCCACGGGGTTCTGCCCCCTCCCCAATCTCGGGGCACCGAGATGCGCCTCTCCGCGGCGGGGGGGTCCCCCCACATGATCAGCACGGGGAGCCAGCACTTCATCATCGGTGGCGAGGGCAGGGCTGAAGGTCAGTCCGGCTGGTACTCGCCTCGTTCATTCACTCACTCGATTATTAACTCATTCACAAACTCATTCAATCTGTCGTGCGTTCAATCAACCACTCATTCATTACTTGGTCAGTCACCCACGCATGAATTCACAAATGCATGCGTTCATAATGTTAATTAATTCACTAAATTAATTTGACACGCACTCACTGACCCGCACACACGCCTGCTCACCCACCCACCCACTCACTCATTCTTCCATTCACCTAGCCAATCAGTTTCTCACTCTTAATTCATTCATGCGGTCTTATTAACTCAATAACCCAATCACTTACTCACCCACCCAATCCATTCATTAATTTGCTTACTTAGTCATTCACCCACTCACTTGCTCTCCAATTCACTCACTGATCCACGGTCTTTTCACTTACCCACTCGCTCACCGATTCACTCACCCACCCACCCATCCACGCGCACATCCGCTCAACCAGCCGCTCAACCAACCACTCACCCAACCACTCACCCAACCAATCACCCACTCACTCACTCAATCACCCACTCGCCAACTTACTCGTCTATCCGCGACAGTTTGTCAAAACGCTGCAGAACGAATGCAGACTCGTACATGGTGATATCATGGGAAAGAGGAGGGATTTTATTTATGTGGAGGAAAGACGGGGGGGGGGGGGGGAGGACATGAAGGTAATTCGTGCCAATAATCTATCGCTATCGCTTTTAGCCGAGCGGTTGTTTTATAACCCTCGATGTGTTCTCGCGCGCTCGCCTTAAACAGAAACACGGGCGGGACGCGACTGAGCGCGCCCGGGGAAATGAAACCCACGTGGAACCCACGTGGGACGCGCGGCCGCTAATTGAAGACACGTGACCGCGCCTTTGCCGCTGACAGCTCATTAAGGCAATCGCAGAGCCACGCGCCCCCCTCCCCCAAATCGCCCCCCACCCCGACCACGCGTGAAGTTTGTTTCCCCGTGCATAGACTGGTTTCCGCCGTGGGAATGTGGGATTTCCACCACTGGCTGGAGGATTGCGCAGTGGATTGTGGCTGCTGCCACGTGCGGGGTTTGGTGATGGAGACAGCGGCGCTCCACGCAGCAGTGCGGAGAGGAGGGTGCGCCTGGCCAAGCGGCCGGGCTGAGGTCAGGGGTCAGTGGCAGGGAGAGTACTCGTGGCTGGGTGGGTCGTTGGGTGGTTGAGTAGTTGGGTAGATGAGTCGTTGGGAAGTTGTTGCGTAGAGTTCGGCGTCGTCCTAGTTACTCGCGGCCCCTTGGATACGTCGTTCACCTTCGGAGTGTGGGGTAGGTCTCCCGTTCGGTTGACTAGTTGGTTAGTGTCAGGGGGGTAGCGCTTAACGCAGTTGTTGATTGGCTAATTGGAGTATAGATAGCGCTAAACCGAGTGGCTGATTGGTTGTTCAGGCAGGGCTCGGGATCGAGTTGATGGTTGGTACGTGGTTCCCTCCCCGACTACACCCCCCCACCCCGCCCCCCCCTCACCAAACACTCACCACGCTGTCAGGCTGGAATGGCGGTGAGGTGCTTTGGCTCGGAGCCGAAGTCTAAAATGGTTCGAGCCCACATGGGAGCACGAGAACGGTGCTGGGGGGGGGGGGGCTCTTGTTAACCCCCCCCCCGCGTTTTATGTAACCACTTGTTACACAACGTCCGTGTCAATCGGCGCGGCACGACCGTCATTGCGGCGTGACGAGGCCATCGATTCATCGCGCAAACTGATTCGTACGGAGGGAGTGGGGATGGGAGGGAGTGGGGATGAGAGGGAGTGGGAGGGAGTGGGGATGGGAGGGAGTGGGGGTGGGAGGGAGTGGGGGTGGGAGGGAGTGGGGATGGGAGGGAGTGGGGATGGGAGGGAGTGGGGATGGGAGGGAGTGGGGATGGGAGGGAGTGGGGATGGGAGGGAGTGGGGATGGGAGGGAGTGGGGATGGGAGGGAGGGAGTTGGAATGGGAGGTAGGGAGTTGGGGTGGGAGGGAGTGGGGGTGGGAGGGAGTGGGGATGGGAGGGAGGGAGTTGGGATGGGAGGGAGTTGGGGTGGGAGGGAGTGGGGGATGGGAGGGAGCGGGGGATGGGATGGAGGGAGTGGAGGTGGAAGGGAGTTGGGATGGGAGGGCGCGGGGGATGGGAGGGAGTGGGGATGGGAGGGAGGGAGTGGGGATGTTAGGGAGTGGGGATGGGGAGTGGAGATGGGAGGGAGTGGGGGATGGGAGGGAGTTGGGATGGGAGGGAGTGAGGATGTGATGGTGGGAGTGAGGATGGGAGGAAGTGATGCGTGAAGAGAGTGAGGGTTGTGGGGTGTATGGGTGAGTGGTGGTAGCCAGTATGGGAGGGTGGAGGGATTGAGGATAATTTGGAGTCTTGGGGCACGAATGAATCGCGGGGCTCAACTCCGGGCGGGCGTAGCAACGACTTTCAAACGTGGGGGGCATCTATTCCCCCACCCGACCCCCACCCTCACCCTCACCCCCCACTTTCCACCACTCCCTCTTCCCCTCTCATAAATTCACATCGCCGTGTAGAATTTAAAAACCGCGGGATCCCCGTGGCCCGAGACCCCCCCCCCCCCCACCCACTCTCCACCTTTCCCGTGATCCTGCCCTGTCCGTCTTTGTATCTCTCGCTCTCTGTCTCTCTGCGTCAAGGGCTCCACCCCAGCACCCCGACTGTGCGCGAGGTTTGTTCAGGGCCAGGTCTGCGTGCCGAGTGCTGCGAGCGTGTGGGAAGAGAGTGGAATGCCGAGAGTGAGACCCACGCCAGCGAGGGGGGGATGCCACCCAAATTGTCGGTTGCGCGCTGCGCGTTGCGCTCAAAACCGGCGGCCCCGTCGAGGCGAGGGAGATGGTGCCGCCAATAACATCTGGCAGGCGAGCAGCAGCAGCAGCAACAGCTCTGTACAGTGCTTGTTTGAGGATGGGAGCCGTGTTTACATGGGGAGACCGCGCGTGAATCGTGCAGATTCGCGTTACTCGGAAACGGCAGCGAGCGAGAGTTGCTTGGCCGGGTGGAGCGGTGGCGCGGCGGTTAGCGCGTTGCACCCTGCACCCGGTGCGCCGAGTTCGATTCCAGGCAACAGCTTGACATCGATAGCGAGTGATATCTCAACCAATCCTGGGCCACCATCCCTTCACCGACACGCACTGACCAGCATGGGGAGGTATGGTCAAACAACCTCCATTACCGACACGCCGTGGGATGGCCTTCATCCAGCAGTGGATTGTCAAATGCCTCTAGGTTGCGGCAAGCGAACCTATTTGGTCTACTCTCACCTGCTGGGCAACGCTCAGCGCTGCAGGCGGGGAATCACCCGCACGTCGTGATGATGTCAGCGTGGTCACACTCAACGTGGGTCAGCTGGGATCAAGGGGAGGGGGACAGGGGGGGGACACGCCGGGGTCACGAAGATAGAGGGAGGGGAACGGGGGGGGGGGGACACGCCGGGGTCTCAGGGGTCACGAAGGTAGAGGGGGTTTCCCCACACCCAAACCCGACCCCGTAGCGGGGATACGGCGAGGAGATCTACCCGAGCCTAGTGGGAGAAGTCCTCGCGCAGCTGCGCGGCATCGCTCCCCGCTCATCCCTGCAGCCGCACAAAGCAAACATTTGTAAGCGACTTGGCAGGCGAGGCAGGTGGGAAACAGGGGGAGCGTTTGATGTCCAATTTCAACTCCCCACCCGCCACCCACTCCTGCCACCCTCCAAACTACCCCCCACACCCTTCAACCCTCTCCTCAAATACACCAAGCAAGCGAGCCCGGCCCCATCCGCCCTCCTCTCTCTCAGTCCCCACGTGGCCCCCGCATCTGATGTCATTTTGGCAAAAATGCACAGGGGGGGGGGGGGGGTTAAGGGCACCGCGCCTCTCGCCTCCACCGAGGCCCCCGGCCGCGCTCCAACTTTGGCTTTTTTGGGATTTGGGTTTTGGGTCGCTGCTCCCCCTCGTCTCCCTCTCCCCCTCTCTCCTCCCCCCCCGCCCGCCCGCCCGCCCGCCCCCCCTCTCTCAATAAAGGTGTCCGCGTCTCTCGGCGGGACTCACAGTCTCCCCGAGAGGCGAGAGGAGCGCGGCGAGTAACGGGGAATTGCTGAGCGGCGCGCGCGAGTTCTGTCTGTCTCGGTCTCTAGGTGTCACACTGAGCCACACGCAGACAGACACGGTTATCGATACACACACATATACAAAAACACATCCACGGGCGCACACGCACCCCAACACACACGTGCGCGCACACAAATACGTAGCCACCACTCCCACCGAATCGCACATTCACCCCCATACACCTACACGCGATGCGACACAATCGCTGGCCCAATCGTGGCGGGCCCCCCACCTTCCCCTACGCTCTCTCCGGGCCCCCCGCGATGCCCGTGGCCCGCCTTCTCCTCCTTGCGTCCGTGGTGGCAGCAGCGGTCGCAGCAGCAGCCGCGGCGGGAGGCGGGGGAGCGGCGAACGGCACGGGGGGGCGCATCAGGGTGGTGCTCGCCCCCACGGTGTGTCGCGCCGTGTGCTCGGCCCGCACTGGGTGCCGGAACGCGTGCGAGCGCGGGAACGCGACCACCCTGGTGAGCGAGACCGGACGCGGCGTGGACACCCTCACCGGGGCGGGGTTCACAGTGGGTGAGTGGCGTGGCGCGCGCACACACGCGCACGCGCGCGCACACACGCGCACACACGCGCACGCGCGCGCACGCGCACGCACCTACAGCCAGCTATGGCGACACACACATCTGCAGCCAGTGTGATTGACTAAGCCATCCACGATAGCGGCACCATTACCATCAACCCCCTGCTCCTCTTCACCAGCTCTGGCGAACTCGGATTCGCATTCGGAGTGAGACAAATCAGTCTACGGGCAACACGACTGATTGCATTTACGTCCAGTCCAATTTGAGTTCATCGCCACCGTCATCGTGTCCATATCCCCGATGATTGCACTCAAAGTAAGCGAAGTGACGATGCAAATGTTGCATGTCTAAAACACTCTGTGTGACATTTTACTTCTCCAACATATCGAATTGTGATGAGCAGCGATCCGTATCCATCCATTCCCATTCTCTATCCGTGGAAAGTCTCACACTTTATCTGACGTACAACTCTACCTCTCTGCCCTCTTAATGTGTGTTTGATTGTTATTTGTGCGATTCTGCTCTTGTGTATGCTGATAGCAGAATATGGCTAAGAGCTCGATACCAATGTCGAGGTCTGATGGCCACGAGAGGGCTTCAGCAGAGAGAGAGATCGTGTCGTTTAGCTCTTCCTGTTCTTCCTGCTCTTCCGTTAGAGTGCAGACCGCAGAGGTTTACTGTGGTCTGGTCGATAGTTAAGGTTGCATGTCCATAACATCACGACTGTGGCTTTTATTTAATGCGTATCTTTGTATCTCTGGGGATTTTTTTTATGAGTCTCTATGTATCTCCATGGGTATCTGTGTTTATCGAGGAGTGACTATTAATCTCTGAGTGTCTATGGGTTTACTACATGGCTCATAGCTTGGGTTGCATGGCCACAGTTACACCGTGACTTGTCTTTAATCTTCCATTCTTGAAGGAGGTGTGCGCGTTTGCCTGCTCATGTGTTAATGCGATTGATGGTTGCACCGGCGTCTTCGAGGAGGAATGTCAAAGATCAGGAGGTGCAATTTTTGGGTCTCTGAAGTTTTTTTTTTCTGGACGTCCGCGTTGTTCCACTCTGGTCACCTCTGTTCCCACCAGCGTCCTTGTTGTTTGTGCAACGCTACCAACGCAGCAGCAGCATCATCAGCAGATAATTCGGGTCACAACAGCGGTCTCAACAACTCGTGCGCGCTTTCTCCCGCTCCCTCGATGACTTTCCCAAGCCCCACCCAGAACAGCGTTAACTCTCTCCGGCTCCTCCAGCCACACTCTCACCACCGCGCGCACTATCTCCCTTTGCTACTCCACCTCTACCCGGCTCCACCCGCGTCCCCCCCTCCCTCCTCTACCCCCCACCGCTCACTGCCACTGACCGGACACCGGTAATGGGTGTTTGTGGGTGTTGTTGTGGTTGTTGCTGTGGTGACTGTTGAGGCTGCTGCGGTTGTGGTTGAGTTGAAGTTCAAGCGCACGTGTGTTTTTATGGTGGAGTGTCAACGTCTGCGGTACACACAGAGACAAGGACCCCCCCCCCCCCCCGTATAGCCTTAACAGACCGTTGGGGCAAGTGTTGTTCAGCAAGCATCTTTGAAGGCTGGCACGGCACACGAGGGGGTGGGTAGCCAACACCACGCCCGACCACATACACTCATACACGCTTACACACGCACACTCCCACACATTCTCCATACCCAGACACACACAGACTCATTCATAAAACACACACTTACCAAAATACACACGCTCATAAAAACAGACACAACATTCCCACGTATAGCCTACATAGCCTGTTTTGGGAAAGTGCTGTTAGCGAGCACCTATAAGGGTCAGTACGGTGCACGAGGGTGTGGGTGGCCAGCACCACGCCCGGCCGCCTTTGTCTCCCCATTGCTGCTATTTACACACCGCACCAGGTACTCCTTTGGAAGTGAATTGACCTAGGTAAGGCCGGGATCGGTCTCACGTACTCACCACTGTTATTGTTCGTTAACGGGAATCGAATTCGGGTCGCCGGGTTCGTAACGCAGTGCACCAAACCACCGCGCCACCGCTCCCTCCCACACGAGCACACGCGCACTCAGAGACGCGCCCCCCACCTCCGTGACCGCGCGACGCTCTCCACGCCCGTTGCTTTGATCCCCGCTTCCGAGGCGGATGGCCAAAGCGAAGCAAATCGCTTCCCCTCCGCTCAGCCGCGCTAATCTGCTGCCAATTGGAGCCGATTTAGCGCGGTTCATCCGCGTGGGGGCGCGAACCGTGGGGTTTTGCGGGCCCGTGGCTACGCCGCCACCCCCCTCACCAGGTAGCTGTCTGACCTCTCACCTGATCGCTCACCTGGCGAGGCCCTCCTCGACTCGGTGACGTAGCGGGTTTGGCGTGGGCTCTGCTGTAATGAAGGAAATGAGACCCCACCACAACCCCCGACTTGTTTCCACCGCGCTCGCCTGGCTCCCCCCTTCTCCCCCGGTCCGCGTGGACCCGGTGCAGTTGGACCGCCTGCACACTCGATATCTATGGCACTACAGTAGCAGCAGCAGATAGAGCATGCAGCTGTGTAGAGACGGCATACCCAAGAACGCCGTGTACAAGTGCAGTACAGCCCTGATCCATCCACTGCTGGATGGGGGCCTTCCCCACGCCGTGCGGGTCTAGTGAGTTACTTGACTATACTTCGCCACGCCTGGTCAGTGCGGGTCGGTGAAGGCGGGTGAGCACAGAGCGTCTGTATATTGTAACAATGGATATTGCTCCATCCTATAGCCCAGGCTCAAAACGCCTGCCAAGCTTCCTGCGTCTGACGAGGTGGGGGGGCATTCCGCGTGATTTTCTCACAGTGTGCACAGGCGTGGGTGGGCTATTAGTACTATTGTAGTAGTCACTTCAGAGGCACTAATAGTAGGAGGCACACACGTTTATTCTACACTTCCACAGTATAAGGGACAACTACACACGGGTTAAGGCAGCCGGCACACTGCCTGACCCACAACGCCGAGGAGGTAAAGACGGGGACGAAGACTTGCGAAAACGATGGGTTCCATTCCAAATGACAGCCCTGACCCAGCATCGGGGCCTCCCTTTTATCCTCCCCAGCGTGGCCTGGCTCCGCCCTCGGCCACGCCCCCTTCTGTAACCTACCAGAAGGTTCTGGACTTCGCTCCACGTGTCTCCTCTGTCACCTTTACCCTAGATCCCTTACCCCGGCCTATCACGTGCCCTGCAGGCAGACCGGCTGCTGTGTCCTCAGATCCCCCCTCTCTGCCAGCAACTAGCGTCTCGTGCCCCAGTGGCAGACTTCACCTGCCCTGCTGGCAGACCGTGCTAACTACACCCACAATCCCGCTCTCGCCCAGTCACCAGCGATACGCGCCAGAGTGACCCATTCTATGTCACGACACCATGATGAGTGGGAGCTTCCGCGCATTTCCATTCACAGGGGGAGGGGTCGGGGGGGTCTTGATTTACGCGACCGGGACCCAGACTCGTGACGGTGATGTATAGAGGATGAGGATAACGCTGATTTAGACGACAAATTATTAACACATGATAACGGTACAGCTGTGAACTGATGCATGGCCATCGGACTCTTGGCCCGTGATGATGAGCGCGTTATTAGCTGGTGAGCATTACACTACTTATTGGCGCATAATTGGGCAACGATGATTTAATTAATCGATGACGGTACCGTTGGCATACGATGATGGTGATGCTGCTGCTATGAACTGACACTGATTGGCCGTGTTACTTCTTCCCCCACCACCCCTCCCCACAGTGGTTTGCCCCATTCCCTGCCGCAATGGAGGCACGTGCTCCGCGGGGGGCCGCTGTAAGTGTTCCTCGGAGTTCACGGGGAAGTTCTGCCAGATGCCGGTGTCTCCTGGAGCCCCATCTGAGAGGGACCATCAGAGGACTTCCAGCCAGGGAGCCCTGAGAGGTAACGCGCTCAACCCGACCCGTGCCCAACCCGACCCCACTCATCCCGACCCGTACTTGAGCTGACCACACTCAACCCGACCCGTGCTCAATCCGACCCGTGCTCAATCCGACCCGTACTTGATCTGACCACACTCAACCCGACCCGTGCTCAATCCGACCCGTGCTCGATCTGACCCGTGCTCAAACTGACCCGTGCTCAATCCGACCCGTGCTCGATCTGACTCGTGCTCCCCACCTGACCCCGCTCCACTCGACCCCGCACTCCACGTGACCCACACTCTACCTGACACATTATATCTGACTCGTGCTGCACTCAACCCGCACTCCACGTGACCCCGCTCCACCTGACCCCACTCAATCCGACCCATGCTCCACCTGACCCACACTCCACCTGACACATTATATCTGACTCGTGCTCCACTCGACCCACGGTCCACGTGACCCGCGCTCCACCTGTGTGTGTCTCACAGTGGTGCTCCACCCGAGCGAAGCGGTGAGTGTGGACGCTCGCGAGTCGCGGCCTCGCTACCACATCCTGCCCGTGGTGCAACAGTATCACCATCAGCAGCAGCAGCAGCAGCATCATCAACAGCAGCAGTATCACCATCAGCAGCACCAGCAGCAGCAGCATCATCAACAGCAGCAGCAGTATCACCATCATCAGCAGCGGTCCCAGTCCGTGCCCATGGTGCCGGGAGCGAGGCTGATCGGACGCGTGAGCATGAACCGGGTGAGCGGACTCCACGGGGTCCAGCGTCACGGGGCCCAGCAGCAAGGGTCCCTCGGTCGATGCTTCCAGGACGTGGGGGCCAAGGTGAGGCAGGGGCGAGGCGCGTGGGGGGGCAGGGGCACGCGTCATCGGTTTTCTCTGTTTTTTCCGTTTTTACTGAAGTATTCCAGACACCAAACTCTCGTTGATGGACTACTCTTCAATAAGTACCGTGCCGCGGATCGCACAAGGTCCAGAGTATTGGACATCGTGCCGAACAACGCACGGCACATCAGAGAGTTGTATTCCCAACCGGGACCACACATCAGTGGTCAAACAGCACCCCCATGGCCGACACGGCGTACAAGTATTGCTGAGATGCTTAAGAAAGTGAAATTCCATATTTGGCAATTGCGTCCAGACATTCAGATGGCAACAAGTCATCCTGATCCCTGCTCCTCCCTCCATCTCGTCAACCTCCCTCAGCACGACAATTCCAGATCAGATACGAGCCCGAGTCTACAGAGTCCCCCGTATACTCCACTGCCCCACCGTGTCCAACACGCAGGCGGCCCGGCCCTGGCACCGCTCACATTTCCATTCGTTCATCCCGAAGGAGCTTTTGGCCTACTTGGCGAACAATTTTTGTGAGCGATGGCGTTGTATGCACCGGATGCCGTTCCCTCCCTCACACCCCCCCCCCCCCCCACGGTGACGCACGCGACCCTGCTGAGGACCCTCTGCCCAGATGGAATCCTGGCCACGGCTCTACGTTGGCGCGAGTGGCTGGAAGGGAGCACGCAGAACAGCGTTGAGAATCTGCCAGTTGTTCACGGCACTTCCCGTCGATGGAATGACGCAAGGCTAGACTCATCGTGTATCGTGAGCAGCCGTGATCAATTCACTGTTGTTTGATGAAGGCCTCCTCAAGCTGTCGCTATCGATGTAACAATCCGTCTGGCAGCTGCAAACAAGACTCTCTCTCATCGCTTCGTGTAAACGACAATGCATAAACAGCCAGAGCAGTGGACATCGGTGGAGACGCTAATAGGTGCTCGCTAACAGCGGCTGCTCCATCGCGCCGCGTGGGCCAACGCGGCACCTGCAGTGCCGTGCGGATATCACGTGGCCATCACGTGGCCCTCACGCGACCATCACGTGGCCCTCACGTGGCCTCGCTGCCCCTGCGTGCCGGGAACTGAGCGCTGGGTGCCGGGTGTGGGAGCCGGTTGCTGGGAACCCGGCTGCGTGTGTTCTCACACCTCGTAAATCCCGTTATTTAACCTTTCCCTCCGGAATCTCCCTACCCCCTTCCCCACCTCGTCTTCCGCCTACCCCGCTGTATAAGTTTCCGCGGAAATAATTCGCGAGGAATGAGGACGCGAGGACATTTCTCAAACGCATCCCCCGGACGAGAGGGACTGGACCCTGGGCGCCTCCCTCCCCAGCCCCCCTCATTCCCTCCTCCTCTTCACACACACACACAATCCTCCCTCCCCCTACATCCCTCCTCCGTCTCGACTCCTCCCAAACCTCCCATTAAATCTGCCTGCTTTCCCTTTTATTTCTCAGCATCCCCTCTACCCCCACCCCAACCTAATCTTTCCCCTTCTCCCCTGCTCGTGACCAAGGACACTGAGCCAGAACTCGGCCCCAGAGCTGCTCAGGGAGCGTTTGAATCTGTGCCCTGGCCAGGTGGGGACCCCTGATGATCCCAAGGTGTTCACAGCCCTGAGCCCCGTGAGTGCCGTGCGAGACCCCAGCTGCTCCTGCCTGAGAGAGGCGAGAGACGTCGCATTACCTCCTGGACGACGAGGGGGTCGCGGGGGTGCTGAGGATGTAGTGCCGAGGGGGTCAGTGGGGGGTGGTGGGCGGGGCGCGATGATGGAGGAGGGGGGGGGGATGTGGAGACGGGGCCCGCTCCTCGGGCGTGAGATTTGCCAGTCACGCGGTGATTGCGCGAGAGGGGCCATTGTGAACCCTAATCTGTGTTTGTGCAGCCGCGACGGCGAGACGCCCCCCCCCCTTCCAGCCAGCCCATGAGCCCCCCCCCCCGCCATCACCTCCACCCCACGTGGCGCATCCGCTGTGCGTGTAACGCAGTGATCGCGCTGCTTTGCTCACCTCCCGCGCTCCACTTAATCTCACCCGGGGGGTCGCGACTCCTTCCTAAACCCTAACGCCCCCCTGCTGCCAATCCCCACGTGTTCACTTAGAATGTAACATAAAGTCCCCCCCCCCCACCGTTATAACGGGCCATGAGAGATGGTGGCAGCTTGGGGTGGCCTTCATCCATCAGGGCCCCCCCTCGAATTGGGAGGAGGGGTTTCCAGAGGAATCTGAAGAGAAGCGGGGGGGGGGTGGATTTTGGGTGTTTGGAGGGTTGTTTGTGGGCGCCCAAGGGGGGGGGGGCGTGGGGGAGGGGGGGTTGGGCCCCCCACCGCATCATTAATCTCGGTCCCTTCCCGCAGTGCACGGAGCCCCTGCCCGGGCTGAGCCGGCAGGAGGATTGCTGCGCGACCCTGGGCACCGCGTGGGGGATCAGCATGTGCTCCAAGTGCCCCCCAATACCAGGTGAGCAGCCCTCTCCCCACCCTACCCCACCACGGTGTTATCCCTTCCCACCCCGCCCCTGTCCATGCTGTTATCGCGTCTCAATCCCGATCCTGGGAGCCACAATCTGAACATGGCCCCCCTCCCTCAAACGCCGCCACCATCTGACTCCCCTTCTCCCCCCGACGAATATCTAGCAATCCCACCCCGCTCTTCCCCAACCACCACCACCACGACCATCGCATCTTGCCCCCTCCGTGTTCCTTATCGTCATTCTACCCCCCCCCCACCCCACATTTTAAACTCAGCCAGACCCCCTCCAACCCCACCCCCCCCATGCACCTCGCCATACTCTCCCTCCACCCCATACACAACCCTTCAACGCCACTTATCCCGTTCTTATCCAGGCAGTCTTAGCCCGGATGCCGAGATGTTATCTCCCTCGCCTGGTATGCAGGAGGTCGTGGGTTCGATCCCGACCCCGACGCCTGTTGTATATTTGGAGTTGCATGTTCTCTCTCCCCGTGGTCACGTGGATTGTTATCCGGGTCCTCCGGGTTTTCCCTCCACATTTAGAATCAACATCACGTGTGTTTGCAGTATTTGGCTGCCGCTATACATTTCCACGCGATAAGCCACTTCGTTGGGCTATCATTTGTGGGCCCGGTCGCTCCTTAAAAAGAGCCATAGAGCTCGGTGAGCTTTACCTGGTCAAATAGAAAAGAGTTTCGAGTTTTAGTTGTTTTAGCCCAGAGAAGAACGGGGTGGTGAGGTTGGGGGGGGGGGGGGTTGGGGGGCTGGCAGAGGAGAGGGGTGGGGCGGGAAAACGACAGCCCCCGGTGCGGTGAACGAGAGCAGGCGCTCGTTACCGCAATCACGCGACAAGTGGAGCGGCCGTGTAACCCAAGCGGCGGCTCAGAGGCAGCGTCAGCCCTGGGGGCTCGAAGGGGCGGGCGGTGGTCGGTGGGGGGGGTCCATGAATGGGGTTCGTGCGACCTGGGAGAGGGGGGGGAGGTGCGTGAGCGCAGCGCGAACTCTCCATGGGATTACAATTATTCACTCCTGGCGATTCGATTTCACGGTAGCGATTCGTTTAATGAACCTGCCATTTAGCCATGGTGGTGCACGTGGACACTGGCGCCTTCTGCAAGGGTTCCATGAGCCATTCACGGGCTGCCGTCTCCGGGCCACCACCTCGCAGCCCAGTGAGGTTATTTTTTGGCGGCGGGGGGGGGGGGGTCACATCTCCCGTGCCCAGTGCCGGATTATCCAAGTAGCAAAAGTAGCGGCATATGTAGTAGCTACGGGCTCCGCACGTTCAAGTTCCCCGGGCTAAATGCTTTCAAGTGCCCCGGGCTAAATGCTTTCAAGCTATCAATTTCGGTTCAGTGATTCTGCACTTGCTCTTTTACTATAGTACTATACTGCCTTCAACTTTTATGAACGACTGGGTGTTTAAAATTAGCGATTTGTCGTATTATCTGGCTGTATAGCCAAATGAAAAAATATAATTACTTTACTATGCGAGTTTACAATTTGTGTTTTAATATTGAATTTTTATTTATTTATGGTCCCTTTATAACACCAAATGCTCCAGGCCCCGTCCTAGCTTCATCCGGCACTGCCCGTGCCCCCTCCTCCTCTTCACACAGAGACCCCCCGCAGCGGCCCCGCCCCCGCGCCCGGACAGGCCCCTGCGCCAAGCCCCGCCCGCACCCGAGCGCAGCTGAGCTGTCCCAGGGGATTCAAGCTGGACACGCAGGGGAAGTGCCGAGGTGAGGGTGTGTGTCTGTGTGTGTGTGTCTCTGTCTGTCTGTGTGTGTCTCTGTCTGTCTGTGTGTGTCTCTGTCTGTCTGTGTGTGTGTCTCTGTCTGTCTGTGTGTGTCTCTGTCTGTGTATGTCTCTGTCTGTCTGTGTGTGTGTCTCTGTCTGTCTGTGTGTGTGTCTCTGTCTGTCTGTGTGTCTCTCTGGCGGGGTGTGTGTGCGTGTGTCTGTGTGTGTGTGGGGAGCGGTAGTGTAGTGGTTAACGCGCTGCGCTACGAAACCGGTACGGGTCGGATTGAGCACGGGTCGGATTGAGTTTGATTCCCGCTCACGGTCAACACCGGTGAATATCTGAACCGGTCCTGGGCCTCTCCTCTAGATCGCCTCGGCCTCAAATGAGAGAACCTTGTACGACGTGTAAACCTCGCCACCGGAGAGACGAAGGCGGCCGGGCACGGTGCTGGCCACCCACCCCCTCGTGTGCCGTGCTGGCCTTCAGAGGCGATCACCGACGGCACCCGCAGTGCATGGAGAAAGCAACTTACACGAGGAGGGGACAACGCTCCAGAGCAGCACCGCTACCTCCCTGCCTGCTCCGCTGATGTCGGCGTGACTCCCCAACCCTCTGCTTCCCCCCCCGCCCTTACACTGCCCCCCCCCCCAGACGTGAACGAGTGCCAGGCGGCGGGCCTGTGCCCACACGCGCACTGCTCCAACACGCAGGGCAGCTACCGGTGCGAGTGCGAGCCCGGGTACCTGGCCGACTCCTCGCGCACCAGATGCCTGCGTGAGCTGCACGACTTGAACAGCGGCTCACCAGCTCACCCCTCCATCCCTTCACCAAACCTGCACTCAACTCTCACTCCCCCACTCACCTCGTCAACCCCCACCACTCCCTCGCTGCCTAATCCCTCTCACTCCCACCACATTGCCCGCCTCCATCCGCACTCCCTCACCACATCAGCCCCGTTACTTTCACTTCCTCAAACTCGACCACCCCTCCCCCTGCCTCCAATCCCCTTGCTCCTTCAACCCCACTGCTTCCCCCCCCCTCCCGTCTCAACCTCAATCGCCCCTCTCTCCCACGCTCACTTCGCGTCTCTCCCTACCCAACTTCACTCCCCCACCCCCCTCATATGTTCGTATGTGTGTGTGCGTGTCTGTGAGTTTATGTATGTCGCTGTGTGTAGCAGTTTGCGCGCTGCACTACGAACCCGGCGACCCTTGTTCCATTCCCACTCAGGACCAACACCAGTGACGATTATCTGAACCGGTCCTGGGCCTCCCCTTGATCGATTTACCTCTAAATGAGTACCTGGTGCGGTGTGTAAACATCAGTACTGGGGAGAATAAGGCGGCCGGGCGTCGTGTAGGCCAAACCACCTCTTCGTGCGCCGTGCAGGCCTCCATGGGCGCTTACTATCGGCCCTTGGCCCAACAGTCTCTTGAGGCTATACGAGGGCTGGGGAACCTTTGTCTTTGTGTGGGCAGAAGTGGCAGAACAGAGAGGCAGCTGCTACCGCGCAGTGACGGCGGGCCGCTGCGTGGGGCTGCTCGCGCTGCCCATCCCGCGCCACATCTGCTGCTGCACCATCGGCCAGGCGTGGGGGCCCTCGTGCGAACGCTGCCCCCCACCCGGCACAGGTGAGCTCATTTTGCCCCCCCTCAATTCCCCACTCACCCTGCCCTGCCCCCCCCCCTAATCCCCCCACTCAACCTGCCCTGCCCCCTCCCTCCCCAATCCCCCACTCAACCTGTATGACCCCACTAAATCCCCAAAGTATCTTGTCGTTTAACCTGCCGTCGTCCCCGTGGTATCCCTACGTTCACTCCTCCTTTGGCCTCGCGCATGCTTGGGTTGACCCCTGGATTGATTTACTGCAACCATAATGCTACCCCTGCTTTGACCCCCAGATTAAACTCTGGTGTCCCTGGCTTAACCCCCTGCTTTGACCCCTTGTATCTGACTGCCGCGACCCCGCTTTCTCCCTGCAGCCGCCTTCAAGCAGATCTGCCCGGCCGGAACGGGGTATTACTTCCCCGTGACGGGGGTGCGGATGCGGCCGGAGACCCCTGCCCGGCCCCCCATGGCCCCCGTGGCCCCCGTGGCCCCCGTGGCCCCTGCCGCTGTTCCCCGCGTCCCCGTCAGGGAGCCGCCCCCCTCTGTGCGCCTCTCGCCCATCGTCACTCCGCCACCAGTAAGCAGGGAGGGGGAGGGGATCACAGTCAGTGCTCGACTCGCCCCATCATTCTGCTAGGGTCAATAGAACTGGTACCACACTCTGTGGGAACGCAGGAGTCACTGCCCCATGTTAACCCATGTCAACACTCATCACCGTCATAGGAATGTGGAATTTCCACCGCTGCCTCGAGGCAGTGAGAGCCGCGGCTCTGTCGTTTGAGCCGGACCCTACGTGGACTCGAGCCATGGGGGATGCTCGGCGTGGTGGGGTGAAGGGCGCATCCACGCTTGGTTAACACCTCTCCTCCTCCGCTCCGCAGCGACAGGGCGGTGACGGCAGCAGGGCCGAGGAGATGGACGGCCACAGCCCAGGTAACGGCGGCTACGCCAACTGCACGCTCGTGTGTCCACCCCTACGTCTACTCAGCCTTAAATGAGTAGCTTGTGCTGCGTGTAAACATCAGCATTGGGAAGAAAAAGGCGGTTCGGGAGTGGTGCTGGTTACCGCACCCTTTTGGGTTCCGTGCCAGCCTTCATAGGTGCTCGCTTACAGTACTTGCCCCAACAGACTATTAAAGGCTACACGGGGGACCTTTGCCTTTGTCCGCATGTCTGCAGTGCTCGCGGTGCGCCCGCTACCGCCTACGCCGGTGGTGGCCGTGGAGCCGGAGGTCGTGACGGTGGCGGCACAGGTCATCGGGGTCACGCAGGTCACAGGTGGCGCATGCAGCGACACGCACACACACACGCATGGACACACACACGCACGCATGAATGCGTGCACGTTCGACGCCTCACTCGGCCTTCAGCTCAGGTGGATCACCTTGACCCCCCGCCCGAGGCACCCCCTCCGTAGACGTGGACGTGTGTGCGGTGAGCCCCGGGGTGTGCGGGGAGGGGCGCTGCGTGCCTCAGCCTGGAGGCCACACCTGCCAGTGCCACGCAGGCCACCAGCTCAATGCGCGCACGGGCACCTGCACAGGTGAGACTCACCTGGGCACACTCACCTGGATGCACCTGCAACACACACAAACCCTGGTGGTGGTGATGATGATGATGTTCATGGTGGTGGTGATGATGATGGTGATGACGATGATCATGGTGGTGGTGATTATGATCATGATGGTGGTGATGATGATGAAGTTGGTGATGATGATGGCGGCGATGATGATGATGACGATGATGATGATGATCATGGTGGTGGTGATTATAATCATGATGGTGGTGATGATGGTGATCATGGTGGTGGTGGTCGACGTGTCTGTGTAGATGTGGACGAGTGCGCGATGGAGCCGAGGCCGTGTCAGGGCGGTCGCTGCGTCAATTCTCCGGGCAGCTTCGTGTGTCACTGCCGCCCCGGGTTCACTCTGGACGTGACCAATTGTCGTGGTGAGCGCTGACACCCACACCGGGCTCACGGTGACACCCACAACGGGGTCACGGTGATACTTGCACCAGGGTCACTCTGACACTCACACTGGGGTCACAGTGACACCCACAACGGGGTCACGGTGATACTTGCACCAGGGTCACTCTGACACTCACACTGGGGTCACGGTGACACCCACAACCGGGCTCATCGTGGCGTCACCGGTGACGGTGAACATCGCGACGTTGATGTCACTGCTGTATTTCCCGTCACCGTCGTCGCCCCGCCGGGAGAGTGCAGACGTGGACGAGTGCGAGTCGTCCCCGTGCGGGCCGGGCAGTCGCTGCGTGAACTCGGAGGGCTCCTTCGCGTGCCGCTGCCTCCCCGGCTTCGCGGCCCCCCCGGGCGGCGGCGGCGCCCGCAGCATGACGTGCGAAGGTGCAGACCCCCCCCTCCATCCGCAGGCCCCCCTCTCCCTCGCAGGCCCCCCTCCCCTCGCAGGCCCCCCCTTCCCCCGGCAGGCCCCCCTCCCCCCGCAGGCCCCCCTTCCCCCGGCAGGCCCCCCTCCCCCGGCAGGCCCCCCTCCCCTCGCAGGCCCCCCCCTCCCCCGGCAGGCCCCCCTCCCCCCGCAGGCCCCCCCTCCCCCCGCAGGCCCCCCTGATCGTCAACCAGCTGACAAGTTGATGGATTGGCCGGTTATTGATCGGCTGATAAAGGATCGACTCATTATAATTAGGCTGGTAATCGCGTGATGCCATTGGCCGTGCATCAATCAGGTTACGATCGGCCGATTGTCCATTGTAGCGCAGACTGAACGGCCTGAGCATTGTTTGGCTAATGATCTATGGACTCACCCTCGAGTCCGAGCCTTCGAATGCCCTGGATCTTAGGCACCATCCCCTCCGTCCAGGGTCCCCCACTCCCCACTGCCTAGCCGCCCTCCCCCCCCCCCCCGTGTTTACCGTGTGCGAGGGCTCGCTTGGCGACCTCGCGTTTCCGCCCGGAGCCGGCCTCGCCCGTCGCCACGCACGGGAAGCGGTGATTTACAAGCGGCGCCTGGGAGAGGGTGCACGCAGGGGGGACCGCGGGGGGGGGGGGGGGGGTGGAGGGTGGGGGAAGAGAGAGTTGGGGGAGAAGGGGAAGAGAGTGGGGGGCAGTGAGCACAAGTCTCGGAGCAGGGACTAACCACAGTCCTCGGTTTTCACAGACCGCCTCGCTCCCTCGCTCACAGGCGCCAACTCATCCAGTCGCTCACTCACAGTCGCTCACTCGCCCACTTATCCGCTCGCCCACTCACCCCCTCAACTATTCGCCCTTTCACAGACTCGTCCTCTTAGTTGCTCGATCACCCGACCGCGCAGCCCCTCACCCCGTTGAATTTGTGGCTCACTCGTCAATGGGTTGACCAGCTGATTGGCTAACTGATTGACTGACTGCTTGATTGATTTACTGGTTGGTTGGTTGGTTGCCTGGTTGTTTGACTGGTTAATGGACTGAATTATTGGTTGATTGGCTGCTTAGCTCGCTATTGAATTACTTGGCTGGTTGCCCGGCTGGTTGCCTGGCTGATTGCCCGGATAGCTGCCTGGCTGATTGTCTGGCTGATTGCCTGACTGGCTGCCTGGCTGGCTGCCTGGCTGTATGGCTAACGAGCGGCACTCTGTGTAGACGTGGACGAGTGCCTAAGGCCCGGACTCTGCCGCGGCGGCCGCTGCGTGAACCTCCCCGGCTCCCACCGCTGCGAGTTCTGCGACCCGGGATTCCAGATGAACACGGAGTGGGAGTGCGAAGGTGAGGGTGGAGGTGAGGGTGGGGGTGAGGGATATGGTGTGGGTGAGAGTGGGTGTGAGGGTGAGGATGGGGGTGAGGGTTCGGGTGAGAGTTGGGGGTGAGCCCTGGGTGGTGTGGGTGCGAATGGGTGTGAAGGTGAGGGTGGTTAAATCTTGACTTAAAGCTTTTGTGACTGCAGGAATTCATATTCTTTTGGTCTTTCGCTAAAGTCACGAAAAATAGGTTCAAATAACAAAAAACTACGACGTTTCGATCGCAACACAAGCGGTCGTGATGACGACCGCTTGTGTTGCGATCGAAAAATCACAACGTCGTAGTTTTTGGTTATTTGAACCTATCTACGTGACTTTACCGAAAGACCAAAAGAATGTGAGGGTGGTTGTGTAATAATGTTCCAGGAGACTTGGACGCCGGGGTTGGAGGCACACGTATTTATTCCGTGTCGGGTACAGCACAACACTGGACATACAACACTGGAGGGGGTATCGGCCCCCTCACCCGTCTAACTGGGAATACACCCTCTAGCTACGCCTAGTCTACCTCTTGGTCCTCCACTAACGGGCTAGGGGAGGCTAGCTAGCCCGACACTGGTAAGTCGGGCTCACGGTACCCGGAGTCCCAGACCAGCTCTTACAAGAGCACCGGCTCTGGCTCTCGGGACCACGCCGCTGGCGCGATCCTGTTCGGCCCTGATAAGGGCGGCGATCCAGGGGAGTCCAGGGCTCTATCTAGACGATCTTCTGTCTTCACTGGTTAGCTTCAACATCTCTTCCCAAGCTCTCCGGCTCATCCCCTTTTATACCAAAACCCCCGCTGAGGGGTGGGGCCCTGGGGGATCCCAGCTCCGAGTCAGCCCCCCAGGCTGCCCGATGCAGACGTCGCTGGGAGCACCTTCCCGTGCACCGACATAGCCACGCCCACTGTGTTTCTTTCCCATCTGATCCCATTGTATAACAGCCCCTCCGTAACACCCCTACAGTTGTGTGGGTGGGGGTGAGTTAGGGTGGGGATGAGGGTGAGGATTGGGGTGAGGTTGAGGATTGTTGGTGATGGATTCGTCGTTGAGGTGGTGCCCGTGCGTTGACCCCTTGACCCCGCTAGACGTGGACGAGTGTCAGGACGTGAGTGTGTGCCCGGACGCTCGCTGCCTCAACACGAACGGGGCCTACGAGTGTGCGGCGTGCGGCCCGGGATACCGCGCTCAGCTCGGGTCCTGCACCGGTAACTACAGCACAGTCCGTCACCATGACAACAAAAGCACAGTCCGTTACCGTGACAACAACACCACCGTCACCACGACGACAACACCCCTGATACTTCGGAATGTTGGTTTTGTTGTCGTTGATGTTGTGGTCATTGTTGCTAGTTGTTATTTGATTGCTGTTGTAGTGTGGTTGTTGTTCTGTTGAAGTAGTGATTATGGTTTGTGTTTGCAGTGGTTGTGGTTGTTGTAGCTGTGGTTGTGGTTGTTGTGGCTGTGGTTGTGGTCGTTGACACTGCGGTGGCGGCTGTGGCTGTAGACGAGGACGAGTGTGCGGTTGGCCGCGTGTGCGGTGACACGGGATTCTGCACCAACACGGACGGCGCCTTCTCCTGCACCGCGTGCCGCGCCGGCTTCGAGCCCGACGTCAGTGGCACCGCCTGTCAGGGTGCGTGCACCACCACCACCAGCAGTACCATCAGGAGCAACGTCGTCATCCTAGTGACTATTGTTTATGTGTGTGGGTGTGTGTGCGTATGTGTTGGGGAACGGTTCGATTCCCGCTCACGGCCAACACCAGTGACGATTATCTGAACCGGTCCTGGGCCTCCCCTAGGTCGACTCAGCCTCAAATGAGTACTTGGTGCGGTGTGTAAACATCGCCACTGGGGAGACAAAGGCGGCCGGGCGTGGTGTTGGCCACCCACGCCCTCGTGTGCTCGGTAACAGCACTTGCCCCAAACAATCTGTTCAGGCTAGACGGGAGATCTTTGTCTTCACACTTCACGTGGCCTCAGAGTGCACCTGGCCTGGCACAAGCCCCGTGGCGAGGTCACCGCCACTTAGTGGCGAATATCGGCGACTGTTGTTGCTGCTGCTGTTGTTGGTAATTGATGGCCGTGCGTGCACCTGCGTGCAGGGCAGAGGTTAGCACGCCGTACTCTGAACCTGGCCACCCGAGTTCGTGTCCCGCTCACGGCCAATATCGGTGATGAATGTCTGAACCGGTCTTGGGATTCCCCAAGGTCGACTCAGGTGCAATGTACAAACATCACCACTGGGGAGACAAATGCGGCTCGGCGTGATGCCAGCCACCCCACCCCCTCGTGTGCCCTGCCAACCTTCATTGGCGCTACTCGCTGACAGCCCTTACCCCAACAGTCTGTTAAAGGCTATACGGGGGGCCTTTGTCTGTGCGCGAGTGTAGATGTGGACGAGTGTGTGGGCGAGGACGTGTGTGACGGCGGCACCTGCGTCAACGTCCCCGGCTCCTTCTCGTGCCGCTGCCTCCCCGGCTTCCAGCCCTCGGCGCGTGGCGACGCGTGTCACGGTGAGGCCCTTCTCCCTCCTCCTCCGTGTGTGTGGCCGGGTATATCCGTGTGTGTGTGTCGGTGTGGCTGAGTGTATCTGTCTATCTCTGTGTGTCGGTGTGGCTGAGTGTATCTGTGTGTGTGTGTCGGTGTGGCTGTATCTCTCTCGGTGTGGGCGCCGCTGCAGACGTGGACGAGTGCGAGATGGCGCCGTGCGGACCGTTCGGGACGTGTGCCAACAGCGCCGGCTCATTCAGCTGCAGCTGCGGTGACAGCTTCATCCTGGGGCCCGATGGCAGCTGCCATGGTGAGGCCCGCGTGGCCCTGGGGGGAGGGGGAGCGGAGGGGTTGGTGGGGGCCCCGCCCGCCTTCAAAGGGTTACGTGACCTTACAGGGTCGGCGTCGTCGCAATGGGCCACGATCAATCCGCTGCTGGATGAAGCCTTTTCCATGCCGCCACCATCTCTCACGACCTGTGATGTAATGATCCGCGTGGCTCCTGCCAACGGGTCGATTTCATCGCTCCGTCTCCATGGCGCGCATCTCCTCAGCCGCCTCTCTCGTTATTCTCGACCTCCGGCCATCTCCCTTAAATAGGTCACGTGGCCCGCGTGGTCAACCTCGTAGAGGTCACAAGGTCAGCCTCGCTGCCCCTGCCAGGAACACGTGCATGGAATTGGGACATACGTGGCATGGTGGTGGTGACGCAGCGGCGGTGATGGTGGCGGTGGCCGTGGTGCTGTGGTTGTTGTAGCCATGTCTGGTGGCGGTGGCCGTGGTGTTGAGGTGCGCGGTGTGCGGTGTGCGTGGTTGAGACGTGGACGAGTGTGAGGACGCGGAGCCGTGTGAGGGTGGACGCTGCGTCAACACGGAGGGCTCCTTCTCCTGCGAGTGCCAGGCCGGCTTCCGTGCCGGCGTCCCGGCCCAACACCTGTGTGGGTACGCATCACTGCACCACGCGGCACCGCACCAAACCACACTGCACCGCCACGTGAGCATGTGTGAATGACCGAGCGAGCGAGCGAGCGAGTTTGTGAGCCAGCGAGCGAGTGAGTGTGCGTCTCCGTCAGACCTGGACGAGTGTGTGGAGTACGGGGAGGCGGCAGTGCGGGTCCTGGCAGTGCGAGAACACGCCCGGCTCCTACCGCTGCATGCAGGACTGTCCGCCCGGATTCACGCGGGATGGCGCCAGCAGCTGTGAGGGTGAGGACCCACCTCGCCCGTGCAGGCTCACCTGCCGGCTCGCTCACCCGCCAGCTCGCTCACCCGCCGGCTCGCTCACTCACCAAATTGCTCGCTCACTCCCACACTCGGTCAATCGTTTACTCGCTCGCTCATTTGCTCACTCACTCGCCCACCCACTTGCTCACCTCCTCGTCTACCCACTCGCCCACCAACTCTCGCGTCACTCTATCGGGGTTATGCGAGGGCCCCCGAGTGATTTGCGTGTAATTGCGAGTACGAGACGCTTGGCCTGCTGAGAGCGATCGGTGCAATTTCCAACTCTGTCCGTGCCAACATTTTTCTGTGTCTACCCCCTCCACTCTGGCCATCATTATCCTCCCCCCCCCCCCACCGCCCCACCCCCCGACCCCTAGACATTGACGAATGCCGCGGGAACTCGTCTGCATGCGGGAGCCACGGAGCGTGCGAGAACAGCGCCGGATCCTTCCGCTGCCTGTGCCACCGCGGGTACCAGGCGACCCCGGATGGGCGTACCTGCGTCGGTATGCACGCACGCGCGCCTTCCGCGACCCGCAAACCAGACCAATGGGGTGATTAGCGCCGCCGCCTTCTCCTCCTCGCGGTGACGTGGGGGTTCCAGACACCCACAAAATGTGTCGAAGTGGCAAAGAGACCCCCCGCAAAATTTTCTGACTTGAACACACATCGACACATGTTAACACACAGCACACGTACGCATGTTCACGCACACACGCACGGCACAGCTGTACTCACGGCCGCACCGAGCGGGAGACCCCACGGCGACCCCCGCGCTGCGCCGCCAGCGTGCCCCCTAAACCAAGCGGTCAATACCGGCCCCCCTCCCTCGGTTCGACTTTTCCGACCCCCTTTGTTTCCACCACCCGCCCCCGCCCCCCCCCCCGGCCCCCCCTCCCCACCCCCCCACAGACGCTAATGAGTGCGAGACGCTGTCGCGCGTGTGCGGAGAGGCGCTGTGCGAGAATGTGGAGGGCTCCTTCCTCTGCGTGTGCCCCCACGAGGAGCACGAGTTCCAGCCCATGACTGGGATGTGCGCACCGCGCGCCCGCGCAGGTACTGCACCACACCACAGACGCCACACACCACACGCGCACTGCACCACACACCGCACACACCGTACACACTGCACCACACACCACACACCAGACACCGCACCACACACTACACTGCACCACAGAAGACGAAGACAACATCCCCCATTTAGCCTTCAACAGACTGTTGATGCGAGTGCTGTTCACGAGTCACACCTATTAAGGCACCCGGCCACATGTGTGCTGATGTTTACACACCGCACAAGAAATCCATCTCAGGCTGAGTTGACCTAGGGGAGGCCCAGGACCGGTTCAGATATTTGCCGTGAGCAGTAATCGAACTCGGCAAGTCAGGGTTCGTAGCACAGTGCGCTAACCACTGCGCCACCGCTCCGCACCCACATACACTCTGCCGCACGATCTCTCGCACCGCATGCGCTCCGTGCACTGCGCCAGTGAGTTCCAAGTGACTGCCGTGGGGTTGGTGTGGAGGAGCTGTTGATTTCAGCGCAAACTCCCCGACAGACCCCGGCAAACTCAGCACCACCAATACCCCCACACTCCGCCTCCACTCCAGCCCCGCAGGAAACCCCCCAAAATACCACATCGCGCCCCCACCGTCCTCGCACGGGGTGTTTTCTGCCAGGAGTCGCCGAGGCTCCGAGTTTTGTTTTTCCCAACTCGCAGATAGGGAGGCGGCGGAGATACCACGTGGCCTCGCGAACCAAGGCAGAAGGACATTGGCCTGGTTTGTCCCGACCCCGTGGGTCTCCGTGGGTCTCTGTGGGGTCCCCGCGTTGTGCAATAATGTAACGTGTGGCCAATTTCTCGGCGACAAGCTGGTGGCAGCCCATCCTGTGGACGGGGCGATTCTTCTTCTTCTTGTATCGCGCCTTGTTTGGCACGATGTCTAACGGTTCGCATTCTGCCGGTCGCGCGGAGCTCTCGCCGCCAACTTTATCACTCGAGCTGGTGCTGTGCCTGACCGGCTGACTCGAAGACAACAAATCAGGCCTGATAAAAATGTAGATATTTGTTTTCCCAAAAGGACGGGTAGCGAATGGGGAGCGGGCGGTAGGGGGGGCAGGGGATATGGGCTTGTAGTGCGCACGCCGATGCAGACAACAGATTTCCTAGCGGCATCGGGCGCCGCCGGAGCGCGCATTGAAGACTCTCCACCTCCGTTTTAAAAAAAGAAATCCGTGAAAAATTCCAGACACTTGAATAAACACGCACGGCCGAGGGGGCGGAGGAAGGGGGATTGCTGGGGGAATGGGGGGATGGGGGGGATGAGGCGATGGGGGGGGGGGGGGGGCCCGCCTCGCTGTCAGCATTGGGCGATCGCGGGACCCGGGCAGGGGAGCGAACTTCCAGGCAACATTCCGGGGCCGGCCACAGTTGCAGCTGTTCTTACCCCCCCCCCCCCCGCTCGCAGAATAATGTTGATTATTACGTGTGTTTGGTCGCGTTGTGCTGGGTGCTGCTGGTGTGGGTAGAGGCGGTGGTGGGAGGGAAGTGGGGGGGGGGAGTTCAGGAAACTTGGCCCAACATTTAAGCTGCCGCGCAGGGAGATCGAGTAAAAGCAGTGACCCGTGAAGTCCAGTGGGCGAACAATATAAAAAAAGATTTCGGTTGGGTTTTTTTTCCTTCTACAGTATTTAGTTAAATCCATGAAAAAAAATCTAAAATTATCTGTGACGAATAACGGTCGTCTCGTGGTGAGGGGGGGGGGGGAGCAAATCTCTCCTTCCCCTCCCCCCCGCTCTCCGCCCCCCGTGTTGCAGTCAAAAACGCGCGCCTTGTACATGGAGAGCGTTACACAGAGGAGCAGAGCAGCGGAACGGCGGTGCAGCGGTTAACGCACCGCGCCATGAACCCGGCCCCCTGAGTTCGATTCCCAGCCATGGCCGTGAGAGATGAAAAGCGAGAATCCGGCCTGGGCCCTGGGATGGATTTGTAGCATCGCAGACGGCTCCCTGGGGGAGGCCTGCATCCAGCAGTAGAGAGATCATGGCCGCGCTGGAGACGAGGCCACGGTGAAGGAGTCCGTGTTCACGTTTCGTGCGTTCTTTGATTTTTTTTTAATTCAGAAAAATGTTCCCGCTCCGAGGAATTTCCACTCCCCGCAGGAGCACGGGGCAGATGGCGCGGAGGGACCCCCCCTCCTCTCCGTCTGTCGTTCAATGTTTCTGAAATCGTCTGTGTCTCCTCTCCCCGCGCTTCTCGCGCCGGCAGGGGTCGGAAAATCCGGTCACTCGGGCACAGCAGCAACAGTGCGCACGGAGAGGGTGGGAGAGGAAGAGGGAGGGAGGGGACGGGGAGGGAGGGAGGGAACGGGGAGGGAGGGAGGGGACGGGAACGTAGGGAGGGAGGGGGGAGAAAGTGAGGGAGAGGAGAGACGGAAGGAAAGTGGAAGGTAATGAGAGAGGGAGCAAGGGTGGGAGAGAAAGAGAGGAGAGGGAGGGAGGGAAGGAATGAAGGAGCAAAATGAAGAGCGTGGTGGAGAAGGAGCAAGGGAGCGAGCGAAAGGGGGAATGGGGAAGAAAGGTAGGTGAGGAGAGAGCAGCACAACAGGGAGGGTGAGGGAGGAGAGGTGAAAATGAAAACTTGAAGGAGAGATGGAGCGATGGGGGAGCAGTCCCAGCCCCACCCGTGTCCCTGTGCTCCCCGCCCCAGCCCCCCCCCCCCGTGTCTCGTTCTCTGCTCTGTTTCACCCAAACCCGCCACACCCCAGGCCCCATAGAGCCCCCTTTGTGTTCCCCTCCCCGCCGCCTCCCCGACCTGGGGACCCGCCCGAGATGAGAGCTCCCAGCTGTGGTGGTGCGGAGCGGCGGCGGCGGTGGTGGTGGTGGTGTTGTTGCTATGGGAACGCCCAGCGGCAGCAAAAGTTGTGGGCGAGGTGGAGATCCCAAAAGTCAGGCGACATCCTCCACTCCTCCTCATCCTCCTCAGAGGAGAAGCACGGCGTGCAACGTGCACAGCCCCCACGCCCCCCCCCCCCCCCCCACAAACACCGTGTCCATCTCATCGCCTCTCCATCTCTCTCGGGCCCTGCTCTTCCACCGACTGCAGGGATCCCCTCTCGTGTTAGCCTCCTGCTGCTTGCGCCAGTGTTTTGTGACACCGCAGTGGCTTAGCCACAACTCCAGTGACCCCCCTCCCCCCCTCCTCCGCGTCTCCCCAGAAGTGTCCGCGGCGCACGGGGAGTGGGCGGGAGCTCACGGCCAGAGGCCGCCGCCGCCGCCGCCACCAGCGGCACCAGCGGCAGCTGCAGCATCGATGCCATCGGGCGGCGCTCAGGGCGACGGCGACAGAGCCGCGTGCTTCTACAGCCCCGGGCAGGAAGGGGGCGCGGGGGGCCCGGAGGACGGGGAGGAGGGAGAGGACGCCGGGGAGGAGGAGGGGTGCGGGGCCCCCCTGGGCGCGAACGTGACGCGCCAGGTCTGCTGCTGCACGGTCGGCACCTCGTGGGGCAGCTGCGACGGGCAGCGCTGCCCGCACTTCGGCTCAGGTGTCTGCCTCGGGTCTCCGCGTGTGGGGGGGGGGGGGGGGGGGCAACCACGTCACTCACTGCGGGCCTCGTGACAGCCATTAACCCTCGTCACTACAACCCCACGCTCGCACCACAGCCCTAACCTTGACCATAAACATAACTCGAAATCTACACCTAAACTCCGAGCCTTAACCTGGACCATAACCAAGACGCTCACCATGACCCCTAGGCTTTAGCGAAAGCCATGACCCCTGCGCCCGGGCCCAAGTGACCCTAGCCCCAGTTCTACCATTGATCTTACGATGCGCCCGGATCTCACCGCCTCTCTCCTCTCCCTCTCTCTCTCTCCCCTTTCTCTCCCCCTCTTTCCTCTCTTTCCTCTCTCTCCTCTCTCTCCTCTCTACTCTTCCCCCCGTGCAGCCGAGTTCCGGGAGATGTGTCCCAAGGGGAGGGGCTACATCCCCACGGGGGACTCCGTGTACAGCGCGGGGAGGGGGCGCTACAGAGGTGAGAGGGATGGTGAGGGTGAGAGTGTAAGAGGGAGGGTGAGTGGGTGTGAATCTGAGAGTGAATGAGGAGCGGTAGTGTAGTGTAGCGCTACGAACCTGGCGACCTGAGTTAAATTCCCGCTCACGGCCAACACCAGTGACGATTATCGGAACCGATCCTAGGCCTCCCCTAGGTCGACTCAGCCTCAGATGAGTACCTGGTGCGGTGTGTAAACATCTCTACTAGGCAGACAAAGGCCATGGTTCTGGCCACCAACCCCCTCGTGTGCCGTTCCGGCCTTCATAGGTGCTCGCCAACAGCACTTGCTACTCCAATCTGTTAAAGCTGCACGGGGGGGTGATCTTTGTCTTTGTACGATAGTGAAAGTGGATGTGTGGGGAGATGAGTGTGGGTGGATGAAAGCCTACACGCACGCGGGAACGTTGTCTTTGTGCGCGCGGGGGCCCCTGCTGCGCGACCCAGACGCGGACGAGTGCGAGCTGTTCGGCGCCGAGATCTGCCAGCAGAGCTTCTGCATCAACACGGAGCCCGGCTACCAGTGCTTCTGCCGCGCGGGGTTCGACTACGACCCCATGAAGATGCAGTGCTTCGGTGAGACACGCCGAGCCGTCACGGGTCCGGGTTCGACTCCTGACTCGGGCGCCTTTTTTCTGTGTTTGTGGAGTTGGTGTGAACCTTCCTCCCTGTTCTGCAGAGTGTGAGTGAGTTTGGTGTGGTGTGGTGTGGCCTTCATAGGTAGTCACTTACAGCACTTTCCCCAACGTCTCTTCAAGGTTATAAAGGGGATCTTTGTCTTTGTGGTGGTGACCACACCGCCCCCACGTGTGCCGTGCCAGCCTTCATTGGTGCTCGCTAGCAGCACTTGCCCCTACCCCTACAGTCTAGTCGGGCTATACGGGGTGGGGGGGGGGGTCTTTGTGAGTGGGTGCGTGGAGTTTGTATGTTCTCTCCCTCCTGTTCTTGCATGGGTTTCCTCCGGGCCCTGCGGTTTCCTCCCATCGCTAAAACATACCGCGCAGTGCAAACAGCTATTGGCCAAAGCCACATCCCAATGCTGGAAAATGACCCGCAAATTGCTCGGTGTGGATTGCACGCAGCAGCAGCAGCAGGAACAACAACAAACAAACTGTGGCAGGACCCTGCTGAGAAATCGTCTCGAGACTCGGTGTGGCTCCCCTCCTGGCTGAACGAGCGGGACAATGGAGCCCGTAACCCCGCGGGGTCCAGAGCCAACGCTGTGCGCTCACTCTGGGCCGTGCGCTCACTCCGGGCCCTGCGCTCACTCCGGGCCCGTGCGCTCACTCCGGGCCGTGCGGGAGTTCGGTGAGAGCGCCACAAAGCGTTCTCGCCGGAGAGGAGCGCACCGCCAATCGCTCGCGTCTCGTGTGCATTGCGTGTGACGTGGACAAAAATTGGCCATTACTTTGAGGTGTGCAATTTAAATAGCGATGACAAAATGCCAAGAAATTGTGTATCTAAGTTACGTGCATTCTCTCAAGACTCTACTGCCAATGTCTGCAGGCAAGAGGAGGTTGGCTCGGTTAGGGGAAGGGGGGTAGGGTTTGTGGTAGGGTTAGGGGTAGGGTTTGTGGTAGGGTTCGGGGTAGTGGCAGTGGTAGATGCTGGTTGCTTAGGGGTGGGGGTTAGTAGCCGTGGTACGTGCTGGCTGGCTAGGGGTAGTAGCCGTGGTAGGTGCTGGTTGGCTATGCTCAGCGGCAGGGCTCGTACCCGTGGCGAGTCGGCGCGGGTGATCGGTGAGCGTTGTAAGCAGTGCGTGGGTTCACGACGCAGCGTCACCCCTGCAGCCACTGGAGGCGCTACAATCGGCACCCTCGAGCCGAGTTCACGCGCCCGAGGCCGCGAGTTTGAATTCGTTGCGAGTGGCTTCCATCCCCGCGCGGCACGCGTTTTCGCTCCCGCGAAATATCCCGGCCCCTTAACGAGGCTGTGATTACTCGGGCGGGGTAGGAGGAGGAGGGGGTGGGGGGGTAGTAGGGGAAGAGGGAGGGGGGCGGAGGGCTCTGAACCCACGCCGTCCGCTCAGGTTGAAACGGGAGCGGAGGGGCCGGTGGTGGGTGGGTGGGGGTCTGGCTGAGTGCCGCCACATTTCCAGGAATTTTGGATCCAACACAAAATCCACAACCCCCTCCCCCCTCGTCTCCGCTGGGGTCCGATTCGTGATGGGCAGCATTGGCTCACAGCAGGGGGAGGGGGGTGGGCATCCCAACACCCCCCCCCGCCAGGTGTCTGGGTGGAGGCCGAGTAGAAAGCTGAGAGTCCGCGTTTGAGGCTTGCGCGTTCGGTGGAGGCTCTGTCTCCAGGATTTACAGCTCACTTGTCAATCCCCAGCTGGACTCATGGGGGTTGCTTGACCGTACTCCACCACGCTTGACAGCGCTGGTCGGTGACTTTGGTGGGATGAACCATGACTGGTTCAGGCATCATTCGTCACTGTGGCAGGGAATCGAACTCGGGTTGCCGGGTTTTTTTCAGCGAGCGCAGTGGGCTAATACCCGCGTCCCCGCTCCAACGCTCGTCAATATAATCACTTTGCAATTGCTCATTTCAGGCTGAGTAGGCCTATGAGGAGTGGCAGGACCAGTCCAGAGACGAGAATCAATGGGAAGTCACCCAGGGGGACGTAAAATGTGGCGTCGCGTGATGGTGGCGCTCTGGCAGCCGCGTTCGGAGCACGAGAATCGCGGTCTTCACGCCTGGAAGGGCTCGCGAGCGCTTGAATGGATCGCTTCAGTTGCAACGTGAGAAAAGGGGGACTTTTAAGCGTGAGGAAGTCGTGCAGAGCAGAGAGGGAGACGCGACGAGAAAAGTTCGGCTACGAATCGAGGATGAATCCGAAATTATCATCCGCCAACCACTCTCCAACTCTGTAAACAATGAACGGGAATATGCATTCTAAACAGGATCCCCCCCCCCAATCCCGCACCACCGCCCTCCTCTCCCCCTCTATCTTATGTAACCCCTGCGGCTACTGAGGTTTAATTTGACCACTGATGGGGGAGCGCGTATGGTCGCCTCGACTAATGGCTCCCGTCTGCGTCGCTTGCACTCCCCTCCCCTCCTCCCCTCCCGCGCCCCCCTCCCCTCCCACGCCCCCCTCCCCTTCCGCGCTCCCCCTCCCCTCCCGCGCCCCCCCTCCCCTCCCACGCCCCCCCTCCCCTCCCACGCCCCCCCTCCCCTCCCACGCCCCCCTCCCCTCCCACGCTCCCCCTCCCGCGCCCCCCCTCCCCTCCCACGCCCCCCTCCCCTCCGGCGCTCCCCTCCCCCCTCTCCCCTCAATGGCGGAGCCAGGATTTTCAGGTAGGGGGGGGGGCAACCCCTCCAACAATGAAAAATGATAGAGGAGCTGTTAGTAAGTGAGGACTTGTCCCTTGCGTTTAGTTCGACGCGTGTGGGGCGATGGCGCAGCCATCGATCGAGAGTCGAATTCGAACCGCGTTGTGTGATTGGTATCGCGCTCGCTGAAGGTGTTGATGCCTTCCGGGAAGTCGTGGACTGTCTACGCAACTGCACACAATTCTGTGGGTCACTTATCACTGCTTTGCCAGTTACTTATTGCCAATGATGTCCTATCATTTCATAGAGTCCCTGGCAGATAATATGCTACACAGTGGTAGTGGGGGTCGCAAAATGCAGATTTATTACTAATAAACCCCAATAATCTAAATCCCTAATTTCGATCGGATCATTGGGGGGAGGCACGTGCCACCCCTCCCCCCGCCCCCCTTCCCGCCCCCCCCCTCCCCTCCCCGCGCTGCGTCTATTCTATCACAAGACGGGGCACTAATCACTGCCATACTGGGGCTGTGACTCTGTGACCCTGTGACCCTGGGGCTAGGAGCTGGGGATGAGATCTCCTGTGTGGAGATGGTGATGGTGAGGATGATCGTGGTGACGGTGAGCGGTGGGGCTAACGCGTTGAACCTATTCCTTAAAGCTTTGCGCTGAGTGGGCGGTGCTGCTCAGGTTGATACTCTCACCCTCACCATCGCATAACCAGCGCCCTCACCATCACAACCATTATACTGGCCACAGTATTAGACACGGCAACACTCACCATCGCGCATTCACCATCACGCACTCGCCACCACCAACACTTACACCACGAGCCACAACGCGCGTTAGCCACAGAACTGCGTCACCCACCGCGGTTGACCTCTGCTCGTGACCCCTCGACTCTTTGAGTCTCGGGCCGGGACCAGGTCTCGCGTTTCGCCCCTCCCTCTCCCCCGCCCCCGTTGCCTGGCAACCGCTTCAGCTCTTGAGGAGACGCGACATTCCCGGAGGGGGGGGGGGGGCGCGGATTTAAATAAAAACTCAAAACTCTGTTGGAATTAAAACCAGGCGGGGCGCTGGGGATGGGCGGTGGGGGGGTGGGTGGGTGGGGGTGGGGAGTTGGGCGGTGGGGGGGGGGACTCAGGGATCAGAGGGGCGGGGGGGGGGGTGCAAGGCGGGGGAGGGATTAGTGGAACTAACTGCAGGAAACTGATACACCACCCTGCGTACCGTGCCCTGCTGCCCCCACCGCGCTCCTCCTACTCCCTCTGTTCCTCCCCGTCTCTCCTCCTGCTCCCGCCCCCCGCGTTCTCCTGACCCCCCCCCCCCCTGCTTGCCCCCCTCGCCAGATGTGGATGAGTGTATGGACGGCTCGAGCTGCGTGGGGGGGGAGTGCGTGAACACCCCAGGCTCCTACAACTGCTTTTGTCGCCCCCCGCAAGTCCTCGACGCCACCGGCCGCCGCTGCGGAAACAGCTCCACCCCGGACGGTACGGGAGTGCACCACCCTGGTGATCCACCCGTGTGCTCCACCCACGTGTGCTCCACCCAAATGTGTGCTCCATCCTGGTGCCCCGCCCATGTGCCCCACCCGTGTGCTTCACACACGTGTGCTCCACCCATGTGCTCCACCCACATGTGTGCCCCATCCTGGTGCCCCGCCCATGTGCTCTACCTCTGTGCTCCACCCGTATACTCCACCCATGTGCTCCACCCATGTGCTCCACCCATGTGCTCTACCTGTGTGCTCCACCCACGTGTGCTCCACCCACATGTGTGCTCCATCCTGGTGCCCCGCCCATGTGCTCCACTTGTGTGCTCCACCTGTGTGCTCCACTCGTATGTTTCACCCGTGTGCTCCACCCACGTGTGTGCTCCACCCACATGTGTGCTCCATCCTGGTGCCCCGCCCATGTGCTCTACCTCTGTGCTCCACCCGTATGCTCCACCCATGTGCTCTACCTCTGTGCTCCACCCGTATACTCCACCCATGTGCTCCACCCATGTGCTCCACCCATGTGCTCTACCCGTGTGCTCCACCCACGTGTGCGCCACATGTAGGCGCTGCACCCAGACGCTCCACCTGTGCTCTCAATGCCCCTCACAGTGCTGCACTCACGTACTCCACCGAGATGCTCCATCTGTGCACATCACACCACGTGATCCGCGCGTTCGTGTCCACGGCAAGGCGGAGGCACACCATGGCGACAGGAGCCTGACTGAGACGCCGAGTTTGTGTCTCCGAGTTACACTTTAACATTCCTGCTGCTGGTAGTGCTGCTGCTGATGATTATGATGATCATGATGGGTGGAGGTGATACCGTTGGTACTGATGATGGTGGTTGTAGTGGTGCTAGTGGCGATGCTGGTACTGATTTGTGCTGCTGATGATGATGACGGTGGTGGTAACTCGTACTGGTAGTGGTGTGCTAAGCGGTGCTGCTGCTGCTACTGTCGCTACTGCCGCTGCGTCAGATGTGCCGGAGGAGATGGACATCCACATGGACCTGTGCTGGAAGCGCGTGAGCAGCGACTTCATGTGCAGCAGCCCCATCGTGGGCAAACAGACGACCTACACGGAGTGCTGCTGCCTCTACGGGGAGGCGTGGGGCCACGAGTGTGCCCTCTGCCCCATGCGCACGTCCGGTGAGGACTCCGCACTCACCCCGCTCATTCAACTCACTCGGCACCCTCCTCACCATCACCGCGGAGATGCATTCCGTCACCCGCCCCCTGTCCCGAGTTCCTCTCCTCCCCAAACGGCGCGGCGTCGCCCCCTGGTGGAGAAATAGAATACACGGGGAATAGCAGAGTTACACGTGTGTGTGTGTACACGTGTGTGTGTGTACACGTGTGTGTGTGTGTACACGTGTGTGTGTGTGTGTACACGTGTGTGTGTGTGTACACGTGTGTGTGTGTGTACACGTGTGTGTGTGTGTGCAAGGCTGCGTTGGCTGGGTTATGTAGCCCGCATGCCCAGCCACCGCATGCCTAAACAGCTTTTGTTCGGCCGGATCGAGGGGGCTAAACGGGCACGGCACGGGCTAGAGAAGAGATGGAGTGATGTGGTACAGGAGGATGTGGAGCTGAGTGGACTTGCCGATGACTTGAACCAGCGGTGTCAAGATCGGCCTCTGTGGAGGAGGCTCGTGAAGGACGCTACTGGGCAGTTGGAGGCAGTCGCCCTCCAACAACAACGGAGGGCGGAGGAGCGGGGCTCACAACAACGAGCGGAGCGCCGGGTGGCTAAAGCACAGCAAGTTGGTACAGGAGGGGGCACAGGTGGTGCATCAGCCAGTCATCTTGGTCATCTCGGTCAGTCGACCCGTGGCACCTGGGTCTGCCCCGTGACCTCCTGCCAGCAGGCGTTCGACACTTCACGTGGCCTCAAGGTGCACTTGGCCTGGCACCAGCGTCATGGTGACGTCACCGCCACTTAGTGGCGAATGGCGGTTGTTGTGTTGTGTGTGTGTACACGTGTGGTGTAACGGTTAGCGCGCTGCGCTACGAACCCGGCGACCCGAGTTCGATTCCCGCTCACGGCCAACATCAGTGACGATTATCTGAACGGGTCCTGGGCCTCCCCTAGGTCGACTCGGCTTCAAATTAGTACCTGGTGTGATGTGTGTAAAAAACATCGCCACAAGGGAGACAAAGGCGGCCAGGCGTGGTGCTGGCCACCCACCCCTCGTGCGCCATTCTGACCTTCATAGGTGCTCGCTAACAGAACTTGTCCCAACAGTATGTTAAGGCTATACGGGGGATCTTTGTCTGTTTTGTGTACACGTGTGTGATTGCGTGTGTGTACGTGTGTGTGTGTGGGGGGGAGCGGTAGTGTAGCGGTTAGCGCGCTGCGAACTCGGCGAGCTCAATTCCCGCTCAAGGCCAATTCCAAGCGATGATTTTCTGAACCGGTCCTGGGCCTGCCCTGCAGGGACTGTGTAGAGCTGCATTCTCACCATACGGAGCTGACGGTGCTAATCGACTCAGCCTCGATTGAGTGCCTGGTGTGGTAAACATCGCCACTGGGGAGACAAAGGCGGCCGGGCGTGGTGCTGGCCACGGAGCCCCTCGTGTGCCGCCCCGGCCTTCATAGGCGCTCGCCAACAGCACTTGCCCCAACAGTCTGTTGATGCTCTACGGGGGGTCTTTGTCTTTGTGCGTGCAGCTGACTATGCCCAGCTGTGTAATCTGCCCCGCGCGGGTGATGGGGGCCCGGGGAGGACCCTCCACGAGGGCTCTCACTACGGGGAGGATATGCACGGCCCCCCCTACCTGGAGCCGGGGTTCGCGTACCCAGGGGGGCCCGAGCCCCACCCCGGGATGCTGCCCCTCTACATCACGGACGGAGACGGTGAGCCTCGCCATCGTCATCATGAAAATAATAATAAGTATTATTATCATGTCATCGAAATCATTAACATCAAATAACAATCCTCACTAATCAAAATCATCTCCATCAAACTGATCATGTGTATTATTATTATCAAAGTATAAACATAATCATCATTGCCACCACCATCATCTTAATTTTCAGCGCCATAATCATCACCCCCTTAAATATAATTTTCATCATAATCATCATATTAACAATCATGACCACCATCACCAACCACTTCGAAGCCATCGCAACTGCATAGTTCACGCGGCGTCTTCCACAAAGGTGACACATGCCCCTTCGCTCCTGAGCCCCGCCCCCACATTCCCTCATTTTCTTGCCCCCCCCCCCCCTCCTCACCCCCACCCCCTCCTCACCCCCACCCCCCCTCCTCACCCCCCAGGCTACTACGGCGAGGGTTCGGAGGGACTGCAGGGGGAGGAATGCGGCATCCTGAGCGGCTGTGAGAATGGGCGCTGCGTGCGCGTGCGTGAGGGGTTCACGTGCGAGTGCGACCCGGGCTTCCAGCTGGACAACTCGCGCATGCAGTGCCTGGGTACGGCCATGCACGCACGCACCACACACACACAAAGACAGAGACAAAGATCCCCCGTATAGCCTTTAGCAGACTGTTGGGGCAAGTGCTGTTAGCGAGCACCCATGAAGGCCGGCACAGCACATGAGCGGGTAGGTGGCCAACACCACGCCCGGCCGCCTTTGTCTCCCCAGTGGCGATGTTTATGCATCGCACTAGGTATGTATTTAGGGCTGAGTTGACCTCGGGGAGGCCCAGGGTCGGTTCAAACATTCGCTATCATTATTTGTAGTAAGCGAGAATCAAACTCGGGTCACTGGTTTAGTAGCGTGGTGCGCTAACCACGATACTGCCGCTCCCCACACATATACACAAACACACAAAGACCCCGTAGAGCCTGAACAGACTGTAGGGGCAAGTGCTGTTAGCGAGCACCTATGAAGGCCGGAACGGTACACGAGGGGGTGGGTGGCTAGCACCACGCCCGACCGCCTTTGTCTCCCTAGTGGCGATGTTTACACACCGCACCAGGTACTCATTTAAGGCTGAGTCGACCTAGGGGAGGCCCAGGACCGGTTCAGATAATCGTCACTGGTGTTAGCCGTGAGCGGGAATCGAACCCGGGTCGCCAGGTTCATAGCGCAACGCGCTAACCGCTACACTACCGCTCCCCACACATATACACAGACCTCTATACACACACCCGCATATTCACCTCTATACACACCCTTCTACATTACTAAACACACACAGACCTCTGCACACACCTGTACACGCATCAATGACATCTCTGCCACGCACCTGTACACACACACCTGTATATGCGCCTGTACACAGCTCCCTACACACCTGAAGACACATGCCTTGTACATGTTTCTGTACACACATAACTGTGCACTACATCTGTGCACTCGTATTCTCGTACACATGGTCACACTCTCTGCACCCCCCCACCGCCACCCCCCACCGCCCCCCCCCCGCTCCCCCCCGCCACCCACCCCAACAGACGTAGACGAGTGCGAGGAGTCCAACCCGGGTGGCCCTCTCTGCTCCAATGGCCACTGCACGAACACGGAGGGCTCCTTCAGGTGCAGCTGCCCCCAGGGCACGGCCCTGGGCCCCGACGGGCGCGTGTGCGAGCCTCACCGGGCCCCCAGGGCTCCCAGGGCTCCAAAACCCTCCAGGGCCCCAAAACCCTCCAAAGCTCCCAAACCGTCCAGGGCTCAGCTGCGTTCCCACCGCGCCCGCAGGGCCCCCTAGCCGCTCCCTCCTGCTTCCCTTGCTCCCCCCTCCCGCTACCACCACCACCACTAATAATGTTATTGTTGTTGTGACTGCTGCCTCTCTGGCGTGTGAGTGTGTATATGGTCTCGCGTGATCCGTCCCCGTGGCCTCCTCTCCCTGGGGGGAGGGGGTCCCATGGCCGCGGTGGCTGTGTTTGGTGCCGAGTCGGGCCGGGCTTGGGGTGCTTGTGTGTGGGGCAGGTGGTGGCGACTCGGGGTGGGAGATGTGGGGATAAGAATGACGACGGGAAGATCTGGGAGAAAGGTAGGGGGCCTGGAAGAGACGGGGCGGGTGGGAATATCTCTCACAACACAGATGTAGGCCTCGTCATCTGCGACACGTGTCACTAGAGGTCACTAGAGGTCACGGGGTCGCCCCACACCGACCGCCCGCGGTGCCTCACTCATATGCAACGCGCGAAGCCACGGTGGAGCAGAGAGAGCGGGGGGGGGGGGGGGGGCAGTGAGCGATGTGTGATGTGCGTGCAGGATATAGAATGGGCAAAGGCGCTACCCAGCAATTGCTGGCTCACGCAACTGTTGGCCGAAGGGGCGTCCACTCCAGGCCACTCCCTCGAGAGGGCTATTTGGCCTACCCTTCCAAGCTAACCAGACGTCTGGAACGAGGCGGAATTACCCACGCTCTGCCCCAGCACACGCACGCGAACCTGCCAACCGACTGTGTGACCCATGTCTATCACCGCTGGGTGGACCGCGGCGTTGCTGTATAAACCTCGATTGGGCCACAGCTGATGAGCGGTGTCGGAAGCCTGGCCACTATTATGAAATTATAATAATTATCAATGGGGATCATAATAATAGGCTGCATCTCATAACGCTGTTATTTGCCGCTTAGTTTACATAATTTAAGTCTCACTCGCAGCGGAGCCCCTGAGCAGCAGAGCCCCCTCCCCACGCCACCCCCCTTTTATGTTTATATTGTTCATATTAAAACGACAGACGAATAATCAGACTTTTTAAGTAAAAACTATATATTGTTCCCTGCGCCCCTCCGCAGTTTTGCTTTCTGAGAGAGATGTCCGGTTTCCCCAACCCCCTACCGCCCCCATCTAAACCCCGACTCCCTCCCCGCTAAATCCCCGGCATACGGCCCTGACCCCGGGGGCCCCCGTGGGAACTCGCGAGCGAAGAGGTGGGGACCGCGGTGCCCGCGTGAACTAGCGATGCGTGGTTCTGGTGCTACAGCCACCGCGTGGAGCCACTCGAACGTGAGAGCGGGTTGCTGCTGCGGCTGCGTTCAGAAATGGTGCTCAAGCTCAGACTTGAAACTCAAACCTCGCGCCCCCCCCCCCCCGCCGCACCCCTCCCAGCACCGCTGCCTCGTGCCCAGCCAGGGTCTGAATTCGGCCGGGTCTGTTCAGGTTCGGCGACAAGGGAAATTGTTTTATGGTTGTGCCGTGGAGTGAAACGTCGGACATCGTGCCGAAAAACACGCGGTCCAACCCCAAAAGCGCAAACTGAAAGATGTGCTGCACAACCGACGAAAACCCACGCACGAGCGTGGCCAGGTTAATTTTTAATTGCCACACCACTTCCAGTATATACCTTGGTTGTGGCCACTAGCCACTGGCGCCTACGACTCTAGTCTAACAGCGACCCTGAAAATGTTCAGTGAGATATCACCCCAGCCCCCCCCCCCCCCTCTTAGAACATTAGAAAATAAAACAAATCCCACTTATTTATCCAGAAGACGGCTCGCTGAGCCTCAAGATTAACGTCTGAAGGCGGGTGCTGCTACATTTGGATGTTTGGCGATGAATGCCACGTAGCACCGGGGGCAACCACCCTTGGCTGTGCTGCCATCTGGCCACCTCGCAGCCCAAGCCCTGGACACGTGGTGGTACCCCATAGGCAGCCTCCTCTCGCCCAAACACCGAGCAGTCGCAAGACCCGCGATTACCTTCCGAGATCCGACCGGGCGCGGGCCAGAGGTTGAATAGTTTGGCCGTGGGACGGTTGCCCTGTGGAGGCCGAGGTAGGACCGCTGCCCGAAACCTCCACGTGGTGTCGTATTTGCTGCTGGGTGCGAGGCGGCGGGGTGCCGCGTGGTGGCCGTGGTGGGTGCTGTTGGGTGCTGTTGATTCGTGGGGTGATTGTCTCCCGGCCGGGAAGAGCACCCCAATGCCTCGGGTGGACGGGGCGCCCGGGAGCGAGGAGTCTGAGCGTCTCCGCTTGACGGATGAAGCGCGATTCGCGTGGTGGTGATGATAAATGGTTTGGTGTTGTTGTTTTTTAATATGAAATGTACAGTTCATTTACACGATGCAGTGAATATCTCCGTAAAGATAAAAGTTTGTTTTGTAAAACAACCCCAAGCTGTCGTGGTCTGTGTGGAGCGTCTTGTGCATCACCGCCGCCGTCACCATCATCCACACTCCGCCCTGAGGGGCATTCCCCGTTATCCCCATGTTGGCCGATGGGGCAGTTCGTTTCCCTGCCATTCGTTTTCGTCCGTCCTTCCGTTTTTTACCCGTAAACTACGATTGTTTTAACGCTTGAATTGATAAAAAAATCTATCGCCTTTTCGTTCCGTTTCCCGGCACGACAGCGGTGCTGCGGCGGAGGTCGCCGCGATTTGGCACTCGGCCCCCGTCCTTGATAGCGTGAATGTTGAAAAACAGATTACGGTCGTTGATTTGTAGGACGAGGATTGAATGGGGGGAGGGGGGCAGTTTTCAATAAAACAGCGCCCCCCGGTGGTAATAGAGCGTCTTCCAGTGGTGATAGAGCGACTCCCAGTGGTGATAGAGCGTCTCCCAGTAGTGATAGAGCGTCTCCTTGTGGTGATAGAGCGTCTCCCAGTAGTGATAGAGCGTCTCCCTGTAGTGATAGAGCGTCTCCCTGTGGTGATAGAGCGTCTCCCTGTGGTGATAGAGCGTCTCCCTGTAGTGATAGAGCGTCTCCCTGTGGTAATAGAGCGTCTCCCTGTAGTGATAGAGCGTCTCCCTATAGTGATAGAGCGTCTCCCTGTGGTGATAGAGCGTCTCCCAGTGGTGATAGAGCGTCTCCCTGTGGTGATAGAGCGTCTCCCTGTGGTGATAGAGCGTCTCCCAGTGGTAATAGAGCGTCTCCCAGTGGTGATAGAGCGTCTCCCAGTGGTGATAGAGCGTCTCCCTGTGGTGATAGAGCGTCTCTCTGTGGTGATAGAGCGTCTCCCTGTAGTGATAGAGCGTCTCCCTGTGGTAATAGAGCGCCTCCCTGTAGTGATAGAGCGTCTCCCTGTAGTGATAGAGCGTCTCCCTGTGGTGATAGAGCGTCTCCCTGTAGTGATAGAGCATCTCCCTGTGGTGATAGAGCGTCTCCCTGTGGTGATAGAGCGTCTCCCTGTAGTGATAGAGCGTCTCCCTGTAGTGATAGAGCGTCTCCCTGTGGTGATAGAGCGTCTCCCTGTAGTGATAGAGCGTCTCCCAGTGGTGATAGAGCGTCTCCCAGTGGTGATAGAGCGTCTCCCTGTGGTGATAGAGCGTCTCCCAGTGGTGATAGAGCTCCCCCTAGTGACGCGAGAGCGTCCCTTCAAAAAATATTGGTGGGGTCTGCCTGCATCAGAGAGAACAAAATCAGCTACTACGCTGCAAAGCCCTGGTGAAGAGAGTGTATGATCCGGTTATTTAAACATTGTTTCGTCGGAATAACGCTGCTAAAAGTGTTTTTTTTAAGTGTTCCCGCTTCATTTGTACATTTGTGCAAAACATAAATAATTGTACAAAAAGCTACCAATAGTAGGATTCCAACCCAGGTCGCCTGTTTCAAAGCCTACAAAGTTGCGCACTCCACTACAGCGGCCTCGAGGATTGAATTCTTGCTCTGGTTTACAAATCGTTGCCTTGTACTGCACCACGGGAAGGAGGTTCCTTGTCGGGGAAGAGCGAAGAGAAGGAATGGAAACTAACTATGCACCAGGAAGTAGCACCACTCTAGTCTGCGCTCCGTCAACGAGGGAACAGGAAAACTACGCCAGCTTTCTCTGCTGAAGCCCTCTCGTCGTGACCAGCAGACTTCGACATTGGCGTTTAGCTCTTGAACATATTGCTGCCACCATACTCAAGTACGCACAGAATAGCCGTGTAACTCTGTTATGGGGCCGGCACATTACTTAAGAGGTAAACGCAAAGCAATCATCGTCCCCTACGGCAAAATCTCTCGCAGGAGCGGGCGACAATAAAAAAAATGGTCGAGACTCAGTGAGGCTTTTCGGAGTCAACGAGTTTAACACTGATTCGATGCATGTATCGACAGCGTAATGGTCGATAAATCGACGCATCGCCACGCGCATACTACGCAGAAAGGGCACGTGTATTGTTCAGGACAATTATCAGCAGATCGACACTTATTACCCAGCAAGCAAAGACGCGCCGAGTCTCAACACGTGTGTTGTGTATGGAAGGAACCCGGGAAAAAAATACTTGACCTCGCATACGAACCTACTTGTTGCACTGCCATCTCGTGGTCACATCGGAAGCTTCCTCATATGTCGATTGCTTGTGTTGCAATCGAAACGTCGTATGCTTTTACCTAATTTATTTTCTTTCTACGTGACTTTGCTGAAAGAACCAAAGAGTAATTCCTGCAGTCACGAAAGCTCCAAATCAAGTTTTCTCACATCTTTTAAACAAGAGTGCCTACACGCACCGCTGGCGTGCGAAGGTTGCCACCACAAACCACTGCGTAGGCATTGACGGCGGCGCTGTGTAGCCCCCTCCCCCCGCCGAGGTGCTCTCAGGTCGGTTTGCAAGTGGAGCAAATGCGTGGGACGTCGGAGAGTTGCCACCACACGGACTTGAACGGGGACAATGAGTCGACAGCACGGACGGCTGGGGAAAGGAGTTGCTCCAGAGCGTGGGGGAAGCAGCGGTGAACGAGCGACTCCTGCCCCCCCCCCTCCCACCGAACCGAGTGAAGGATAACTGAGACCTCGAAGTAGCGGAGCGTGTGGAGGAGAGTCGAGTTGGAGTATTTTTTTTTCAAATCTGGTTTACTTCGTCCAATTTTGGCCGTTTTCACTAAAAGATGGACCAATCGAATGCCCTGTGCTGGTCTAAACGACGAACCAAAACACGCATTCACGTTTCACCTTTAAAAAAAAAACCTCGTGATGCTGCTGCAGAGCACAAGCAGTGCTGCACAACAACAACAACTGCCAATCGCCACTAAGTGGCGATGACGTCACCACGACGCTTGTGTCAGGCTACGTGCACTTCAAGGCCACGAAGTGTCGAACGCCCGCTGGAAGGTCACAGGACAGACCCAGGTGCCATGGGTTGATTGACTGAGATGACTGGCCGATGCACCACCTGTGCCCCCTACTGAGCCAACTTGCTGTGTTTATACGCCCGGCGCTCTGCTCGTGAGCGTCGCTCCTTTGCCTCCTGTTGTTGGCGGAGGGCGACTGCCTCCAAATGCCCAGTAGCAGCGTCCTTGACGAGACTCCTCCACAGAGGCCGATCTTGACACCGCTGGTACCGGTCATCGGCAAGTCCACTCAGCTCCACATCCTCTTGTACAACATCACTCCATCTCTTCTTTAGTCCGTGCTGCGCCCGTTTAGCCTCCTCTATCCGGTCGAACAAAAGCTGTTTAGGCATGCGGTGGGATGGGCATGCGGGCTACATGACCCAGCCAACGCAGCCTTGCCTGCTGGAGGAGCTCACCGATGGTACTTTGTCCAGATATTTCGAGGATTTATGAGCTCCTCACAATTCAGCCGGGTTAAACTCAGGATGGATCGTAGGCAGGCCAGCCTGAATGTTTCTAACCGGCGAAGATGTTCCATTTGTGCTGCAAAAGCACATCCACACAAACGACTCAATACTGCCCCTTCTTCACAACGCATGAAGAGACTGCACAGTTGGAGTAGTGTGCTGTGAAGAAGGGCCATTGTCCGAAACGTCGCCTATTATATATGTTTTTTTTAAGGCCACAGCGTAATTGAAGGATGTGTCGAGTATTCAAGTGAATTTGTTGAACCAGGGTGGTGAGAGCTCAAGAGACCAGGATAGCGAGTCTCGTTCGCGAGAGTGACCTGGGTCACGAAAATTTTAAAAGCAAAACAACACAAAGTACAACGACAACGCGAATAAAAACCAGCGCAAAAAAAGAACAGTATAACCATGAGACGTCGAAAATATTACACTAAACATTAATGAATGTTGAATAGTAACATTCCCTGCAGCGTAGCCGTGGCGGATTCTTTCTCGACCGATCGTGGTCACTAATATAATATATTGATGGAATTGGTCACATCCCAACGTAGGACCTTCCTGACAAAAGGGGTTCTGTGACTCGCCGAAGCTTGCCTGGGTAACTCGCTCCGTATTAGCATCACCATTATTATTTCCCCCCAACGATTTGTATCGGGGATTCGTGCGCTTTGTGCGTGCGTTTGTGTGCGCGCGCCTCTGTGTGTGAGCGAATGTATACATCATCAATTCACGCGCACAATGCCGCTAGGGACCATTCAAGGGCCATTTAATCTCCATTACGAATGTAAAGCCCCTCGCGGGCACAAAGGGGGTGCCTCCCGGACCCCCTTGTAATGAAGGGGATAATGAAGCGCACTGCATTCATGGCCGTGAAGCCATGGACCCGCGCGTCTCCATTCACGGCGATCGTTTCACACTCACTTATCCAATTATCCAATTAGCGGCAGATGGCCACAATGCGGGTGCAAGGCGCGGCGCCGCTTTCTCCTGTGAAGGCGCTGACGAGGGGGAGGAGGGCAGAAGGGGGTGGTGGGGGGGGTATCCCCATGTGTTCGCGCTTTGAATAGCATCAGTGGCCCCATCACAATGCGCGATTGTGCGCGCGGCGCGAGGGCGCACGCGACCTCCATCATCTGCATCCTCACGCACCCAAAATCCACCATCATCATCCTCATTCACCTTCCATCATACCGCGTCATCCCCCACCATCCTCATCCAACCTGCATCATCCTTATCTCATCTCCATCATCGTCCACCCATCATCTCCCTCCATCATCCTCATCAACCCTCCCCATGATCCTCATCCACCGCCCCCATCATCATTCTCATCCACTCCGGTCACTGCATCGCGCGCTTTCAGATGCGCTTTTGCGGCCGTCTGGAACGCTCTTCCTTCCGATATTAGGAAGCCACTGGAGCTGTGCACTTGTACATCTAGATTGTAAACTCATCTCTTTAGCACTGCTGTTTGTGTTTAGTTTGTTGTCCTTCCCCCGCACCTCCGATTGGCATGGTTTCGGACGAACAGTGCTCAAGAAACTCAACACACATGCGTACACCCTCCATTATAACTCGAAGTTATTTCCTTCCTCAAATTAACATTTAGGCGGTGATGATCTGTTTACACCCCTGAGCCAGTGGTGGAAATGACACATTCCTTTGTCGGAGACGAGTCTACCCATATAATTATCGTCGACTTCCCCACGATGTACGACGCACATTTAATCTGGCAAACACTCTGCCTCGCGCCCTCGGCCCTGAGTGCACCCCACGGCAGAGCGCCCGTTCCCAGCAGACACCGTCCGTAGCCTCAAGAGCCCGAGACCCGGTCTCCTCGAGTCTCATAACATTGAGTCTCAAGACTCTTACACCCAGTATCCCCAGATCTCACGGTCCTGAGTCTCAAGACCGAGTCTCAAGATACCCCCGAGTCTCAAGACTCATGAAACCGAGTTCCCCTAGGTCTCAAGACTCTGAGGCCGGGAGTCTGTGGATCTCAAGACCTTGAGACCTGGTCTCCCTGAATCTCAAGACCCTGAGACCCAGTCTCCCCGAGTCTCAATATCCTGAGACCCGGTCTCTCCCAGTGTCAAGATATTGAGTGAACTGCGCTCATCAACCACTCTCCACCACTCTCAATCCACCCTCTTGACATATTCCAACACTGACATCCACCCTCCACCGTTATTTTTATCCTCTCCATCGCCATCACCCACCCTCCGTCAACCTCCACCATGCCATCGTCCATCACCCTTCTCGCATCTTCTCAAGTGAAGACTCGTGCCGTCTCGTGGGTAACAGAAGTTGCCCCGCCTCCCTCCCTCCCCGCCCCCGCCCCACCTCCACCCGCCCGTCTCCCATCTGCTGCCCTCTAAGCTCCCGCGCCTTCGCTCCCTCCACTGCCATTGTCCACCCCCATGACCATTGTCCACCCCCCCCCACAGCCACTCGCTTCACAATTCGACGCAGTTTGACATTGGCTCCTGCGCCGGCACCTGTCCCTTGGGATTAACTCCCTGGGGGGGCGGGCAGAGATCAGCGGCAGCTAAAGAGAAATAAAATCAAATGAAAGTGAGATGAATGGAGATTAATGGAGCTTAAGGAACTGTATCAAACCGCGTCTTTCAGCACACGCGGCCATTCGTGGGGGGGGGGGGGCATTCTGCCGCAGGGGACAAGCGGGGGGGGAGGGACGGGGCCCCCCAGGGACCGCAGAGCGAGAGGGTGCGAGAGATGATGGCGTTCGTGACACTGCCGCTGTGTTTTTGCTTCATAAACTAATGTGAGTGTACGCGTCGTCGGGGTTGTGTGTGTGCACGGGTGAGCGCTCTTGTGACTCGCGGGGTCACCAGGCTAATGATCGCACGGCACGAACACTCACAACTGCGTGTCGCGGCATCGCGGAAGAGCAACCAGCGGTGCAATGTTTGACGGCGCAGCAAGCCAAGGCCGGGCTGTAGATGTTATCGCTCCCGTGACGGTCCGCGCCACGGTCGTCAGCCCGGGTGTCTGCGAGCGCAACCCACAGCGGCCGCTTTTGGCCAACACTGGGGTGCAGATCTCAGGGTCGACTCGTCAAGCGTCACGCCAAGGTGGCGCGGCCTCGGACAATCGATTTACTGGAGTTCGGTCTCAGTCGCCTCTCTCGGAAGCCCTCCTTCTCCAAGATGTTGAGGTGAACGAGTGACCTCCACCGCACCGAGGAGGCTGAGGGCTCGCGTACGGCCGGGCGCGCACGAACGTGCATTGGGAGCCAGGGCAGGGATCTGAGTATTCGGACTCAGTCCGGCAGTGACAATTTGGGGCATCTGGAGTTTGGAGGCGTAGGGATGTGAGGAGGCCGGAGAGGAGAGAATTGCAGTGGTCGAGTCGGGATGCGATGAAGGGCATGGATGAGGGTCTCAATGGCAGCTCCTGCCCCACACACACCCCCCCCCACCTCAAGCCTCATTGAACAACGGAGGAGGCGGGGCCATGCATTTAGTGCCGCTGCTTTCAATGCTTTTGAGCAGCAGTGAAGCGGGCCCCGCTTAGAGGAAGACAAAGGCGGGCGGGCGTGGCGGCGAAAAGAGCAGCTGCCGGGGGCTGCACACCCCCCCCCCACCACCACCACCACTGCTGTTGCTGATATTGATAATACCGCTGCTGTTCAAGATGCCGCTGTTGTTGCTGATGGCGAGGCTTTTGATGGCGACGATTCTTCTGCAGCTGAAGATGTTTTCGATGGCAATATTGACTGCTGTTGATTATTACATTTTTAAAAAATAATGCTGCTATTGATGATGCGGACGATGTTGTTACTGATCTTGATGCTCATGGTTATGTTGTTGATTATGCTTCTGCTGATGATGATCACAATAATGAATTTAATACAAGAAATTCTCAGCGAATCTCAATAATATCATTTTCAGGAAGGTCCTGCTTTACTACTTTGGGATGTTTGGCCATGAACTCCATTGCTAATGGAAGTTTGGCTTCGTGTGGGAGGAGGAATCAATATGACCCAAAGAAAGCCCAGCGCTGGGCTGTAGACGAGTGGATAACACTCAAACTGTACAGACGGCTCACGAACCCACTTGCTGTACTGCCATCCCGTGGCCCGGCAACCGAGGGACAATTCAAACGTTAAGGCGGTTCTTGTTGAGTGTTCCTGCAATGTGCATGATGACCGCCTGGGGTATCGGTGGGGTCCGCGTGACTTCTGAAGTAATCCTGAACAGTCTCAGACGTTGCAGGCGATTTGCCCGATTTTCCTTAGGGAGTGAACGCATACGAGGGAAACCCGCCGAAAGCTCTGCACAGATGGATTCAATCCATCGCCGTACTGATGATGACGCTGACGGTACTGCTGCTGCATTTGACTCATCGAACGTGGACGATGGCGAAGTGGAATAACGGCTGAAAAGTGCGCAAAGAAGCAGGGAAGGGCGTCACGGAGTTACTCTCAGAGACAGCAGGAATGGGGACACATGGAATAGAGAGCACGTGCTGTAGGCACCGCGCTGGCTGTAAGAACGGATGATAGCGGACGGTCCAGACTTTCGAGGGAATGGCAGCCGAAAGAAGGAGCACACTCGCGGAGGGGAGGGGGGGGGGGGGTCCGTCCCACCGCGGAGCCGGAGCGGCGAGCCGAGTTCGTGCGTAGGAGCGAGATTGCTTGCGGCGTCGCAAGACCCATGGGGGGTGTCACCGGTTCGGGGAGGCCTTCGTCCAGCAGTGGATAGCACGCGGCTCGTGCGACATAATTACCTCGATCATCCCATGAACCAAAGTGACAACAACAACGACGGCAACCACCACAGCCGAATCTTGAAACGTGAATTTCATGAGCTTCACATTCATTGCAATGCGCTGGAGCGGGTCACGCTGAATGCCCGTGGTAAAAGATGGAGTGGGGGGGGGGGGTAACGGGGGGAGGCGGGGCAGGGAGACGGGACGGGGGCGGTGGGCGTTTAGAAGTGGCTTAATTAATTGTGCCATCACAAAAGACCCCTGGCTCATAAAGAAGTCGATTCACAACTCCGGCGCTCAATTGCCGTGCGGATGAAAAGGCGGCGCGTCCCGCCTGGGACAGCGGCTCAGCCACCGCCGCGCCGAGGGTTCGACACAAAGGCGTGGTGTGTCTCTTGGATGGACGGAGGGGCGGGCGGTGGGGAGGGGGGAGTGAAACTTTGTCGACAAAAGTTCTCTTTTTGCGGACGCTGGCGGAGCCCGAGGAGACCATCTGGGCCGCTTGTGCAGCGCGCCGTAATGAACCTGCGGGGCCGAGTTGAATGCGGGGCGCGGAGTCACTCACCGAGCCTCGACCCCCCTCACCCCAATTTGTGAGACAAAACGCGACGCGGTGGATCGGGGAGGGGGTGCTGCTATCCCGCAGGCCAAGAGAGAATTAAGAAAACGTTGTGACTCGCATTTCCACACATGTCGCCAGACCACCACACACCCCTCCACACGTCGCACTCAGCACCACCGCACACAAGACCACAACACCGCATTTATTATTGCACCCCACTTCATGCACCAAGCCCACACCATACCACCACGTTACACACATTTAAATGCCCCGCATCGCACACCGTACTGAATACGCGTCCACAAGACCACGCCTGTGACACCATCCTTGGACCTCACCAGTGTCATCTGTGCCTTGACGTAAACCCCCTTCTGGTACAGCCATATCAATATTTTCACACTCCAGTATACGGTCACGTAATGTTATACTGGACAGTGGAGAGACCAGAGGACGTCCCCGTCGCACCCCACGGTGAACGGGGAACGGCTCCGACTCGCGCGAGCACGCAGCTTCACCCGGGTCTGCCCACCACTTTGAAGTGCCTTCAATTACCACGAGTTATATTTTTTTGTTCTTTCGGTAAAGTCACGTAGTTAGAAATAAAATAAAACAAAACACGACTAAATTTGGATTCCGCATAGGAGTATCACTCCATACTGCGAATACATTGCCAGGACCCTCCTGAAAAGGAGCCTTGGGACTCGGGGAGGCCTCCCTGGGAGGAACAATAAACCAAATCGTCCCCGTCCTGACCCACGCTGGGCGGCGCACATCCCTCTGCGCTCTGCGCCCTCTGCTCCGGAATCCGAAACTCGACCCCCGCGCTCCCTGGTTTCACTTCCTCCCGGAAGACAAACGGCGTCGAGGAGCCGGCTGGTTCCCTTGTGGGACCCAGGCGGAGTCGGAGAGAGCCGGGGAGATGGACGACGTGAGCGGGGTGTCGGTGGAGCCGTGCGCCGCCTCGCGATACCTGCGGCCCCATCGCATCTCGTACACGCAGGTAGCCCCCCAGAGGCTGATCTCCAGCCGGGCCCGCGAGCCGGTACACCATGACCAGGACGCCACGCGCTTTTGGCTGTGGTGACGGTAGTCGCGAGCCACCTCACTCCGGCCGAGCAGCGGTCAATGAGCTCGCCGGAGCCACTCGCCAATCCCCCCATCGGCGTGGTCAATCAATACCGCCGGGTGGTGCCTGCCGCCAAGCCACGCGACCGACTCTGCTTCACTCACAGTGACGAACCCCCATGGCGTCGTTCGCAAGAGGGGGCCATTGCGCCAGGGTACAAATTGACCCAATTAGAAAAATTACACCGCAAATTACTCAAAAGGGAATACACGCAGCAGCAGCAGTCACGCTCCCCTTATGGCAGACTGGTGCTCGTAGGGCACTCTTATCAGGTAAGGACCCACAGAGCTATTCAGATCTTTTTAAAAGCGACCTGGCCACAAATGCTAGCTCAACGAAGTGGCGTATCACGTGGAAATGTATAGCAGCCAAATACTCTAAACGCGTGTTGATTTTAAATGTGGAGGGAAAAAATAGAGGACACGGAGAAAAATTCACGCGACCACGGGGACAGAATATGCAAGCTCCAAATATACAGCATGTGTCAGGGTCAGGATTGAACCCACAACACCTCCTGTATACCAGGCGAGGTAATTGACATCTCGCTACCGAGGCACCCATACCTTGGGTCTCTCTCGAGTTCTCACCAAGGTCAACGCAATCGACTTAAACTCACTCTCCGCACTGTGACGTGACACGTGGTCTATGATGGGGAGCAGGCGCGGTGCCAGGGTGAAATAAACAGGGGGGGCAGTGGCAGGCCCGGAGCGTCTCGGGTGGGAGTGGATGGAGGGGGGCCGTGCCCCCCCCCCCTTGCTGACGGCACAGCCCCTCTCTTACAATCAAGTCAAAACATGTTGGAACAAAATTATTATGCAGAGCTGAGTCGACCGTCAGCTGGGAGTTTAACGTTTCATGATGAGCTGAGTGGATGGTCAATATGCCTCTGGGATGGATTGCTGTCTGGTAACCTACTTGCTGTACTGACTTCATATCGACCACCTCCGTCTGTGCGATGGTTCTGGTTTTCCCACAGAACGGGGTGAGGAAGACGTGGGACTTCATGGAAACTCATGACAGGTGAGGCCAGCGGTCCACGACAGAGAGAGAGCCTGCTGCCAAACCCCTACGCACACTCACTCTTCACCCCCACTCTTTACCCCCCACTCCTCACCCCCACTGCCTCCTCACATCCACTCACTCCTCACCTCCACTCCTTACCCCCACTCACTCCTCACCCCCACTGCCTCCTCACATCCACTCACCCCCACTCCTTACCCCCACTCACTCCTCACCCTCAGCTTAATTGACACGAAAAAAATTCCACACTGTGTAACCGGTATCGGCCAAAATCTCCAAATGCATAAACAATTTTACCTGCAAATAACTCAATTGGGCTCACACACAGCAGCAACGAGTCCCGTGTGCATGCAAAAGTGTCTCCCAGGCGTGGTCACGGGGCAACTCCTGAGCAGTGAGCTCCAGGGTTGGAGTTGGAGGCCGCGTCAAGGCAGGGTTGAGACTCAGGGGTGAGTGTTAGTCTGAACGCTCATTCTCCTCTGCTGCCCCCAAGGCTTGTAGCTCACTTCCCCCAGCCGTCCGTGCTATCGACTCCCTGCCCCTGTTCCAGTGCAAGTGCCAGACCTGTGACTGCTGTGGTCCGTGTTGGGGTCAGGGCTACATTCGGGTCACTCGCGGTCAGCGTGTTGTTGTCGGTGGTAAAGCAACGCCCTCGCCTGCTTTGCCGGTTCAGAGACCCCGTCTGCCGCAGGGGACCACCATCCTCTCTCCGCCGGCAAGGTGACCTCCGGGTGTGGCCCCCGTGGTGGGGGTCGAGGGGAGCGGTCCCGTATGAGTTCACCCCGGGGTTCGTGTGTCCGTGTTCCCCCAGCGTCGCCGTCCTCCTCTTCAACACCACGCGCCGCTGCTTTGTCTTCGTCAAGCAGTTCCGGCCAGGTAGGCGCGCCGCGGCTCCCAGCACCGACAACTCTCTCTCTCATCATGAGGCCTCCTTTGCCAGTGCTAAATATATATAACTCTCTCTCTCCCTGCGTTCCACACATAGTGATGGCTTCTACACAGGTACCAGTGTTCTGAGCAGGTATGGGGATTTGGAATTTATAGTGGCGCTTGCTTAAATTCATCAGCAACTCAAAGCACCTTGGATCGGCATCGCACCTCCACCGTTGTAGCCTTGTGGCAGTCTAGCCTAGGGGACCCCCAGTGGCAGCCGTCTCCACATGGTACAGGGTGTGTATGCATCCCCTGCCTGCGAATGCCACTTTGTGCTTTTCCCCAATTAAGGAATTTGCGGGTGATGTCGCAAATGGGTATTGGGGTTACCAAACAGACAACTGGGTTCTGAACAGAAACTGAAGTGTTGAACAGTAATGGAAGCTGTGTCCCTGCACGTGGCACTGAAAGATAACCCTCCTCTTACAACATACAGTTGAACGCGACAGCATCTGAGAGAGCACCAAGCAGAGACAGCGGGAGCCGTGCCACGGTGTCCCTGTGGGACCTGTATCATGGTGAAAGTGCATTTCGCGGCAACTGTCGGTCCGCAGCCGTCTACGTGAACGAGCGCGAGTGGAGGCGGAAGCAGCGACTCATGGAGGCGACCGAGGCAGCGGGGACTCGGACGCTGCGTGGGGCCACAGGGGAGAGCGTTGGCGACGAGGGAGGCCCAGGCCTTGCCCGGCTCGGCGGGGGTGACGTGCGAGCTGTGCGCGGGCATCCTGGACCACCCGGGGGTCTCGGCGGCGGACACCGCACGCCTCGAGCTCATGGAGGAGTGTGGCTATGATGTGCCGCTCGAGGAGCTCCACTGCGTCACCTCCTACAGGTGCGTGGCGCTCGCCGCCCGTGCCGGTGCTTTCTGTGCCCGGTTCTGCTTAGCTTGCCAAATGTGGCTGTGCGGCCGTAGCCGAGCACCCTGCAGGTGAAGGTGCACGGGCAGGGGGCGAGAGGTCGACACGCTGCGACCGCACGGCGCAGCAGAGGGGCTCAGGATTTGCCAACACGGGTGGCAAGGAGTAGACGAGGCCCGGGGCGGGATGCGCAGAGATCCCATCCCGTGGCCAACTTTGACCTCCGAGCCTCAGCCAGCGAGAATCACGGGTGATCCCTGTTTGTCCCCCAACGTGACCCCCATGTGCTCACAGTGTAACCCATACGCATCCATCGTGTGCCCCCCGTGTGCCCCCCCCCCCACCCCATACAGGACAGGCGTGGGGGTGTCCGGGGCAAGGCAGACCCTGTACTACGCGGCCGTGACCGACGCGATGCACACGGGGCCTGGCGGGGGCCGGTCCGACGAGGGGGAGCTCATCGAACTCATGGAGCTCCCGTTGGAGCACGCTGCTCAGTTCATGGAGGCCGCGGACATAGAGCGGCCCCTGGGCGTCCTCTACGGCCTCTTGTGGTTCCTGAGCAACGTGGCTCCCAGCCTGCCCAACACCAGCCCCGGGCCTGTCCCAGCCGTGGCCCCAACTTTAACCCAATAGCGATGTTCGTGTCCTTTACAATAAATATATTATATTCCAGTCATGCTGCTTAAGTTCCCCCTCAAGTTTTCCCTGAATTTCCCCCAGATTGTCCATGATTTGCCCCGAGTAACCCCCGAGTTGCCCCGAGATGCTGCAGAGTTGCCCCAGAGTTGCTCCCACCTTTATCATAGAGGATGCCTCCCCAGTTGGTATCGCAGTGGCACTGGCAGTGCTCGGATCAGGAGCCGTACACACGCAGCCTGAGTAGGGGATACACTCCCCACACAGCGCTCGCTGGGTGGGGGGGAGTGAGTGGTGAGGGAGTCCGGTGAGTGATGCTTCAAGTTGCAGAGGCGACTTCTGAGCCCCTCACTCACCGATGGGTACTCGCTCTGTCGCCCCTCGTCTCACAATCGTCACGGAGCACCGGGTTAGCAGCCGGCCATGAGCCGGCACCACAGCCAAACGTTGGTGCATATTCCACGTTTAGTCTCTGAGACGGCCGCTACCGCGTGGTGAGCGGGGAGGGCTCGTGGAGCGATGCGCGTTCAGCGAGTCTGAAGGGTGATGGTGAAGGCGTTGATGGTATAGTTCGCCATCATCGATGTACAGATTGTATATTGAACTTTTTTCGCACCATGCGTAGCCAACCGTGCTAATCAGAGGTGCGGGGGAAGGACAGCAAACTAAACACGTTTCATTTGTGTCGATGGCGACAGTGGTACTAAGCCTCATGATGATGATCAATATGATGGTGGTTCTGATGTTGACAAAGATGAATATGATTTTTGTCAGTTATCAGTGTGAAGGTGCCAGTGATCATAAAGATGGTGGTAATGACGGTGTCGATAAAGTTGTTGTTTATGATGATGGTAACGATGCTGGTCTCTGTGATAGTAATGATGATAAAGGGTGTGGTTATGTTGACACACATGGTTGTATTGAGATACACGACCGCTCCGACTGTGTGCTTTGGAGAAGGGCCATTGATCGAAACGTCGCTGAGTTTAAGTGGACAGAGCGAGCGAGTGCAGGAGAATGTGTGTGAGTGGGAGAGAGAATCAGCGTTAGAAATGCTTGAGGGACAATGAGTGAAGGAGAGAGTAAGTGAGCGATCATGAAAAAGTGCGAAACGGGAGAGTGAGTGTCCGATGATATAATGAGAGGGTGTGAGAGGGAAAAAGAGAGAGTTTGAGTGAGTGAATGAATGAAGAAGATGGAGTGAGGGAGAGAGTGATAGAGCGATGGAGGGTGAGAATGAGCGACGCGAATTGAACGGCTGTTGTGTAAGTATATTAACATTTACTTCATCTCGGCAATACCCTAAACTCCAGCTCTAATTTTCGCTCAAAAGTCACCTCAAAAGTGTCGCCCTGCTTCCAAGAGCGTGCGGGTCGTTGCAAATCGGCGTGAGCAGCTCAGAGTTTAGCGGTGGTAATTCCGCATTAGCATGGCCGGGGTCGGTCCACATCCATGAAACAGCCATTGTTTACGTTTCACAAAGTGGCATTTAAACTCCCATGTGTGCGTGTTTGACACGAGGCCCCTCCCGCGTGTCACAAACCACGTGTTTGTCGCCAGCCACGCCTCCTTTGGGGGGGTTGGGGCGGGGCTCTCTGCACATCTGACCAATCACATTTCGGCATGGGCGTGGTCCGAGAGGGAGTGGGCGTGGTGCAGGCGGTGTGTCAACCAATGGGAGTTCGCGTGGGCGGGGCTTCGATATTGAGTTGAGGGCTCGCCTCGCGAACCCCGCATCCTTATAAAGGGGCCCCCCGAGTACCGGGGGCTCGTGCACACGAGGAGCCTGCGGTGGGAGCACGGGGACGCCAGCAAAAGCCCCCGTCAAGTCCGCTTGCTCCAGATAATTCGAGTGATCCAGAAACTCCAGTGAGAGTCAGTTTTCTCCGGCTCCTCTCAATACTTTTGCTGCTCCAGTAAAACAAAAAAAAATCTCTTTTACTCCACCCAAAATTTCTGCCGCTTCTTCAGCAACTCTTACCAACTCCAGCAACTTTAGTTGACCCAGCAATTGCTCATTATTTGAACAAATCTGGCGGAAATTCCCTGCTCCTCCAGCAACGTTCGTTGCTCGCTCCAGCAGCGTTGGTGAAGAAGTCCTGCTCCTCCGGCTCCCCTCGCGGCATCCTCTGTGCCCGCGGGATCGACTTCTCGGGACCTCACGGGACCCCTCCCGGACCCCGCGCGGAGGGGATGACGTCCCTCGGCGGTAGCGGAGCGACGCGCGTGGCGGTTGTCGTGTCGGCGGCTGTGCTCCTCTGCCTTCTCATCCCCGTGCGGGTGAGTGGTGGGTGCGCGCACGCGTCTCTCGGTGCCAGCCCTCGGCCACCCCGTCGTGGTCAGCCGAGGTACCGGAGCCCCAGTGGTGTGGTTGCTGGAAACTTGGAATGTGGTTGACGAAGTTCCCTGTGTGGTCGCCGGAGATTGGGGTGCCCGTGCATGCTCGGCGTGGTTACCGCATCCAAGCGCCGGTGCCGGAGCTAGGTGAAGTTAATAAAGGCACGTGCGGTCGCTGATTAACTCGGCGAGTTTGCTGGGTACTTGATGTCGTTCTTAATGCCCGTTGTGGTTGCTGTCGCTTGGTGTGGTCGCTATGATAAGTCTGCTGTAATTTATCGGAGGCACGCGCGCAATTTACGCGTGCGCGCGCTGACAATGACGATGATGGGAGCCGCTGGTCACCCTTGATAGGATCACGGGGGATCCCAGGTTCCCGTCGGGGGCCGTGGTCCACCGAGGGCAGCGCGACTGGTGGTGCATGTGGCGCGGTTTTCGGCGGCGTGGTGTAGCCATGGCGCGCGCGTGTGTGTGTGCGCGTGTAAGCGTGTGTGCGCGTGTGTGTGCGCGTGTGTGTGCGCGTGTGTGTGTGCGCGTGTGTGTGCGCGTGTGTGTGTGCGCGTGTGAGTGTGCGCGTGTGAGTGTGCGCGTGTGAGTGTGCATAGGTGCTCGCTAACAGCACTTGCCCCTACAGTCTGTTCAGGCTATACGGGGGATCTTTGTTGTGTGTGCGTGTGTGTCTGCGTGCGTATGTGTATGTGTGTGCGTGCGTGCGTGTGTATGTGCGTGTGTGCGTGTGTGTGCGCGCGTGTGTGTGTGTGCGCGCGTGTGTGTGTGTGCGTGTGTGTGCGTGTGTGTGTGTGTGCGTGTATGTGTGCGGTGCTCTGCGGACGCGACGGTGAACTGGGTACGCTGGCCCGGGGCTCACGGGTCCAGGTGAGGCGGGGCCCCTCCACGTCAAAGGTGCCGCCTCTACCCCCCCCCCGCCTCCACCCCCCCCGCCTCCACCCCCCCCCCCCGCCTCCACCCCCTTAAAAAGCGAGGGACGGGTAGAGGAGCGCGTTGGAGAGTGGGAACCCCGCGACCCCCGCTGCAAGGGGAATCGGGCACCCGGCCGAGAATGACATCGCAACCTGGCTCTTCCAAAACGCCGTCTTCCATAAATACGACAGCAAAAACAAAGATCCCCCGTATAGCCTTTAAACGACTTTTGGGGAAAGTGCTGTTAGCGAGCACCTATAAAGGCCGGAATGGCACACGAGGGGTGGTGTGGCTAGCGCCATACCTAGCCGCCTTTGTCTCCCCGTTGCTAATGTTTATACACAGCAGTAGGCACTAGGAGATGCCTAGGGCCGATTCAGATAATCACCACTGATGTAAGCCAAGAACTTGTGGCACTGGACTTTCAGCGCAGTTTGCAAGCCACTACCCTGCTGCTCCCCACAATCACACACACGCACACTCATACTGCCCATGCTTACGCGCGCACACACACTTGTGTACATGCACGTCTATACTCATTGACATTCGTTCACCCATTCATTAATACGCACAGCGCACTCATTCACACACTCGCACACTCACCCTCGTACACACACAAAGCAAATTCAACAATACCCCGTGTAGCTTTGAAAAAAATATTTGGGCAAGTGTTTGAGCCAGCACCTATTACGGCCGGTAAAGCCGTAATAGTTGGGCAGCACCACGCCCGGACGCCTTTGTCTCCCAGGTACTGATGTTTACACAACAACACAAAGTACTATTTTAAGGTTGAGTCGACCTAGAGGAGGGCAGGACCGGCTCAGATATTAGCTACCGATATTGGTCACGAGCTGGAATCGAAATCTTATCACCGATTTTGTAGCTCTAACCACTTCGCCAACGTCCCCCCACACACTCACACACGCGCGCGCACTCGCGAGCCCTGGCCGCTATTTTAAGCGGAATTCCGCGCACGTTCCCTCTGGCGCGTGCTCTGGGGACAGTATACACCTACAGTATATACTATTCAAAGACAAAGATTCCCCGCGTAGCCCATACGGGCTGTTGGTGCAAGTGATGTTAGCGAGACCAGAATCATACCCACCCACGTTTGCCTCCACACCGCATCAAGCAATTCATCATTTAAGGCTGACTCGACCTAGAGGAGGTCCAGCACTGGCTTAGATATTCACCAATATGATAGAACTCGCGCAGGGCACTAACCACTATCGCTCCCCTCGGTAACACAGACACACAAACACACTCGCACTTAATCTGCGTCACGGACTCCCGCAGGCGGGGTCGCAGACCCCCGTTGTCGTGATGCATTTATTTATACACACGACGACGCAGCAGCCGCAGCGGTAGCATCATCCATCCACCGGGGGGTCAGAGCTCTGGGTTCGGAGGTCGACTGTCAATTTGTGCCACCAGCTCCTCTCGCAATCTCTCCACGTGCCTTAACATGCTGTTGGGGCAAGTGTTGTTCGCGAGTAACACCCGGCCGCCTTTGTCTCCTCAGTGGCGATGGGTACACACTGCACCATGTACTCATTTGAGGCTGAGTCGACCTAGGGGAGGCCCAGGACTGGCGTAGATAAGCGTCACTGTTGTTGACCGTGAGCGGGATTCGAACTCGGGTCGCCCGGTTCATAGCGCAGCGCGCAAACCCCTACGCTACCGCTACCCACACAGGGACACACGCACACACGTGCTCACCCCACACACACATATAAAAGACAAACGGGCGCATACACCCAGACAGAGACACGCACGCGCATACACGCGCGTGCACACGCGCGCACGGACACACGCTGGGCGAGTGGCGCGTCTGATGAATCAGAGACGGGGTCCACGCTTCCCCTCCCTCCTCCCCGGCCTCCCCCGCGCTGCCCTCCACGGGCGCCGCGCGCTATTTTTAGGGACACGGGGCAACGGACCTCATCCCGCGGCCGCGCGCTTAGGATTCACAATGGACGCGCCTGGCTCTCATCGAGCCACACCAGGGCATCGCCCTCCCCCTCTACCCCCCTCCCCCCGACTTCACGAGTCTCGGGGTGGTGCCTCAGGTGCGCAGGTGCACGGTTGCCATGGTGCGAGGTCGTTGTGGTACCCAGGTGCGTGGTTGCTATGGAGCTGAGGAGCGTAACTGCCCCGCTGTGTATAAGCAGCTCGCGCCCGGGTGGAAGCAGCGTGCCTCCTCCCCACCTCTCCTTAAACGTGCGCAATAATTTGTCAGCTCGGGCTGGTGGGGATTGTGGTAGTGGTGGTGGATCGTGGTGATGTATCGTGGTGGTGGTGGCGTGTTGTGGACCGTAGTCGCGTGTGTTTTGTTTGTGGTGTGCGTCGGGTCCACTTGCCTCGCTCTCGTCTCTCCTTTCCCTCTTCTGGTCGCGACTCACGTTTCAGAATCTGGAGAGGGTAAGTGGGGCTCACACACGTACACTCTTTCACTCATTCTCTCTCGCTCTCACTGCCTCACACACACTCACATACTCACTCTCTCACTCATTCTCTCTCTCTCTCACTGCCTCACACACTCACTCTCTCACTCATTCTCTATCTCTCTCACTGCCTCACACACTCACATACTCACTTTCTCACTCATTCTCTCTCGCTCTCACTGCCTCACACACACTCACATACTCACTCTCTCACTCATTATCTCTTTCTCACTGCCTCACACACTCACTCTCTCACTCATTCTCTCTCGCTGCCTCACACTCTCTCACGCTCTCAATCTCTCACTGCCTCACGCTCTCTCTCAAGCTCTCTCTCACTACCTCACACTCTCTCACTCATTTTCTCTCGCTGCCTCACACACTCTCTCCCTCACTCTCACTCTCTCACTGCTTCACACACTCATGCTTTCACTACCTCACATACGCTCACTCTTTCACTGCCTCACACACTCACTCTCACACCCATACGCACGCTATCACAAGACAGGTCGATGCTCCATCCGGCGTGGTGTGGTGTTGAATGGTGTGGCGTGGTCTCGGTCTGAATAACGTGGTGTTGAGTAGCGTGGTGTTGAATGGTGTGGCGTTGAGTGGTGTGGTGTTGAGTAGGGTAGTTTTGAGTGGTATGGTGGTAAGTGGTGTGCTGTTGAATGGTGTGGCTTTGAGTGGTGTGGTGTTGAGTGACCACCTGATTGAATGCTACGGTGAATATTCGTCTTACGAATTAAACAACATTTATAATCTCGCTTCACGAATGAGGGTTAAACACGGCGTGGCTCACTCGAGGGGCGCTGTGGCCGGGGGGCGCTGAGTGGAAGACGGTGCCGGGAAACCCGAGACGGAGACTCGGACCTGGCGCGTCCTGGGCGAGTGGAGCCGAAGGCGCCGCCTCGCGCTCCGTCCCCCCCGGCTACAGCTCCCCCCTTTACTCCGCCAGTTGACGCCACTGATCTATGGCCCCGGCAAGGATAAACTCCAGGCTCGAGACATTGATCTCCCTTTTCTCTCTCGAAGAAAAAGAAGGGAAATGTGAATGAAGAAGCGTGTCGCGTCTTCATTCACACTCTCCCCGCCGCATTGCCAGCTCGCCTCCCTCTGTGCCCGGCGGGATTTCCACATCCCGTGCTCTGCTTCACCCAGCCCCTAACGAGGCTCCCGTGATGGGCGCCTCTTCCTTCCTCCTGCGAATCGAACGCAGCCCCGGGACGCCGTCGCGTTCGCAAGACACAAGTCGTGGTGTCACTGCGTTGTTGAACGTTTCTCGCGTCGATGCAACTTGGAGGAGAGTTGCCCTTGGTTGCACGTGTTGCGCGCGTCACTCCAATCCCCCCACCACCACCTCCCGTCACTAAATTTAGATTATCTCTGAAGCGGAGAGAATACAGATCGAGATGCCACGTAGAGATCCATCACTGTCACCATCGTCGCTGCTACCATCATTGTGATTACAAAAACATCGCTGGGTGGAAGGCGGGGGGAGGTAAGCGAGGCGATGCTATCACTGACCAGCGGATGCACTAGTTCCTGCCATGGGAATGTGGAATTTTCACACATGACTCAGGGCCACTGACTGATTTGACCACTGGCCAATTGCTGCCTCGAGCGGTGAGACATCCAGTTAGTAGCTCTCAGAATAATCACGATTAGGCATCGCGATGACGACCATTACTACTTGGTGATGAAGGAGGCAACGTATCTGTGTGTCGACAAAAACTTGCCTGAGTCTCAAGACGACCTTCCAGGAGGGTCCTGCTCAGTGACATTCCCCCCGCTTATCTGGGTCACGGTGCAGTTGCACCGCCTGCACACTCAAAAGCTACACCACTGATTCCACCTCCCCCCCACCCACCAACCCCCTCCCCGACCAGGAGGGAGAGTGCTCGGGTCAGTTCGAGCTGGAGATCTCCTGGGTTCGCAACCCGGACGGTGAACTCCAGGACGGCGGCTGCTGCGACGGGGATCGGGGGGACCCCCCCGCTCCGGCTTCCCCGGGCCCCGCGCCCCCGGGCGGGGAGCCCCAGGGCCGCTGCTCTACGCGGGATGAGTGCGACACGTTCTTCCGCGGCTGCCTGCGCGAGTACCAGGCGCGCGTGCAGCCCGCGGGGGGCGCCTGCGCCTACGGGAGCGGCGCCACCTCCGTGCTGGGGGGGAACTCGTTCCGCCCGCGCGGAAGCGCCGCCAGGATGCTCGTCACCTTCCACTTCGCCTGGCCGGTGAGGAAGGGGTGGGGGTGGGGGTAAGGGGAGGTGGGGGAGGGGTCTATCGTTATAAACGGGAGGGGCGGGGGTGGATCACGGAGTCAGAATATGTATTTGTAGTGGAGGAATCCGATGAGCTATGAAGCTCTTTTTCACAGATGTCCGGTAGTGAGGGTCCCGGGTTTGGCACGGGAACCCGTGAGGTCCAAATCGTCACTGCGCTTCACCATGAACATCGGTAACACCATCGGCTGCCACAGTCTCGTCATCGTTAGCGAGCACCAGCATCATTGCCACCATCACCACCATAAGCAGCAGCAGCATCACCGTGTTCAGTCCCTGTGTCTGGAGCCGCGTTGTTTCCCCCGAGACCTATACATAGCCCCTCCCCCACCCCCTCCACTCCCTCTCGCTGCTTCCACCCCCTTCCTCTCCCTACTCGCCCATCTCCCACCTATCCCCCCAGAAGCCCCCTCTCACAGCTATGCCGGACCGCGAGCGGCTCCACTCACACATTCTTGCGCACTGGTTTCCGATGCCGGGATAGGGGTAGGGATAGGGTAAGGGGATGAGATAGGGATAGGGTTAGGAATAGGGTAAGGGGATGAGATAGAGAGAGGGATAGGGGAAGGGGATGGGAGAGGGGCTCTGAGATGCCGGGATAGCGCGGGGGATGCGGAACTGCAGCTCCGTGGAGCTGCGTGTGGCTCTTTGGCAAGGAGCGCCGCAAATGCTGGCACGAGATAAATATCGCACATTGCCTCCTTACACCTCGTCCTGTGGCAGGACGGGGGTGCTACGCGGTTACCTGTTCACTTCTCAATCGCCACTGATAGTAGCCGTGACCTGGAATTCAACAAAGTCGCACCTCTGGGTACCAGTCCAGCGCGCTGAGCATTACACCGGGGTAATGACTAACTCACTCGACAGCTTGGCTCCCTCCATCCACTCTCCCTCTTTAATTCCATATTAAACCAAAACACAAGCGTACTTGCACATGCTCCGAACTTTGTTTTTCTAGCGCCTCATGCTCTCATAGTATATTCGTAGTTTTTTTTTATCGATTCTCGTGGGCTTCGTTTACCACCGTCAGATACCTCGTTAGTCGGTTGTACAATATTCCTTAAGGGCCCTGCACTCGTTCTCTGCGATATTGATTCAGGGTAAAGTTTTTGTTTTGGGGGGAGGTAGGGGGGTGGTTAGGTCGCGTCAATGTGAATGTGTCGTACGCCCACCTCCACCCGGACACAGCCAATCGGCGAGGTTTGTCACGTGAATAGAACGTGCCAAAGTAGGACTACTTCAGCGCACCGATTGTGTGTCGGAGAGAAAATCAAACCACGCATTTGCGATTTGAGTGAACGACGTTTCGCTGATGGTTACAAGCAGCATCATCGGGCGGGTGTGCGACACTTTACATTGACGCCACCTCACCCCAACAAAAAAACCCCCACTTTATCACGAATCAAAATCGGAAGTGAACGCCTTCGAGTTCAACACACAACACTCCCTCGGTGTCTTTTTCCTCGTGTTCTTGAAAAATAGCCGGGCAAATGGTTAGACGGGACCCTCACGCGAATACCAAAACAAATACACTGAAACATTACTCTCCCTTCTCCTCCTCTTCCCTCCTCCTCGTCCCTCCTCCTCCCTCCTCCATCCTTCTTCTCCTCGTCCTCCATCCTCGTCCTCCATCCTTCTCCTCCTCGTCCTCCTCCTCCCTCTTCATCCTTCATCCTCGTCCTCCTCGTGCGGTCATCGATAGTGAACGGCGCCGCGTCCCGTGGGCGCGATTTCGCGAGAGCGGCCGCCGGCGCCGTCGTCTTCGCCGCGGCCTCGGCGCTGTTCTCGGGACCCGCGCCGCATCCCGTGCACCGCACGGCTCGGGCTCACGGCCCGCCCGCCCCCGTTATTATTATTAATAGTAGCGGAGCTGCTCACCACCACCATTTGTTTATCCGTCTATTCTTGAATTACCGCCAGCATCTACCGCCTAACTATAGCGGGCGACATTATTTAATTATTTGAGAGAGGTTTGCTAGTTAATTATTTATTTTACCCCCGCCCCCTCCCCCCCGGTCTCTTGGGAGCGGCGTGGGATTCCTATCATAGCAACCCCCCCTCCCTCATCCCCCCCACCTCCCCCGCTCCCTCTCATCCCTCACTGCTCTCCCCACACCCCCACACCCGCCCTTCGCGCGTGGAGCGCCGGGAGCGATGCGAGGAACGCGGCCCGAGACCCACAGTGAGCAGCGATCCTCTACACGCGCGTGTACAAAGACAAAGATCCACCCTGTAGCCTGAACAGAATGTAGGGGCAAGTGCTGCTAGCGAGCAGCACCCATGAAGGCCGGCACGGCACACGGGGAGCTGGGTGGCCAAGCACCACACCGGGCCGCCTTTGTCTTTCCAGTGCTGACGTTCACACACCACACCAGGTATACTCTATACATGTGTGTGTGTGTGTGATAATGTATGTGCATATGTACCTGTGTGTGTGTGTTTGCTTAGAGAGCCTTCACGCTCATCCTGGAGGCCTGGGACCAGGACAACGACACCACGGCCGGTGAGCGAGCCCTGGCGTGTTCCACCCTTGTTCATGTAGTCCACCTTGACGTGCTCCACCCTCGTGTACTCTTGTTCCATGCTCCACCCGTGTTGATGTACTCCACCTTGGCGTGCTCCACCCCTGCTGTACCTCCACATAACCGGGCGGCGGTGGTGGCCGCCGAGGAGGAGGAGCCGTACCCTGGCTCTGACTAATCGCCATCCGTTTATTCCATCTGTACGGGGATAGAGCGTTGTCCCCTCGCGCACGGCGTGGGTTTACTCCGGGTGCCCCGGCTCCCTCCTCCCACGTGAATAATAAAATGAATTAACACGACGCATTATTAATTAGCTGAAAACATCTTATGAATACAAACTTTTATGTAGCAGCAGCAGCAGCAGGACCCTCCTGGAGAAAAACGAGTCCTACGACTCGGTGTGCGTGGCTTTATAGGATAGATAAAATACATTCATTATTATTGTGATGATCATGTACCCCAGGCGGCAGCGAGTTGATCGAGCGTTCGGTGCACTCGGGGATGATGAACCCGGGCGAGGCGTGGCGCAGTCTGCAGCACCACGGCGCCACCGCGCACTTCCAGTACCGCGTGCGCGTGCGCTGCGACGAGCACTACTACGGCGCCGCGTGCAACAAACTGTGCCGTCCGCGCGACGACTTCTTCGGGCACTACACGTGCGACGCGCACGGCGACAAGGCGTGCGTGGACGGGTGGATGGGAGCCAGCTGCAACCAGGGTACGCGTGGATGCGGGTCGGGGCGGGCGAGGGCGGGAAGGGGAGTGGTCTATGATGATGATGATGATCGGTAGGGATCATGATGGGTAGAGATGATGATGATGATGATGATGATAATTATTAGACGGGATCTTCATCGTCATGAGGTGTGTGATGATGGGTGGATGTGACCCAGCTCTAACCAGGATTGAGTCATCCTCCGGAGTTTTGGTTCAGGGATGATGATGGGTAGGGATGATGATGGGTATGGATGATGATGATAATGATGATTTGGGAAGCGAGACAGAGATGGGATAATTATTACGGCGATGTTGATGACTGATGAGACGCATTGATAACGAGATGGGTGATGATGCGTGCCGCAGATTAAAGTGCGTAATCCGCACTGCCGAGGGCGTCATAGTTGGACCGAATCCCCGGATGTCGCCGGACCCGGTTTAATTTGCTAGATTTTCTCACGGCCCCATCCGACGCCTGCGGTCACTCGTCGCTTGGCTCTGAACAACATCACGTGCCTGAGTACTGTCGACCCATTGGATCCCCCCCACCCTCCCTCCCCCGCCGTTCTCTTAGCACCGGCCGTCTATTCCCATTGTAACCGTCACCGGCCATCACGGTGACCTCCCAGCCGTGCATTCATTCGTCCGTGCGAGCCCCGGTCACTGTCACCAGCAGCGGCCCAGTGCGGCGGACACGGGGCCTGCTCTTTCCAATTCCCCTCCCCTCTTTGTAGCCCAGCGCCCGCGACCCTTCGGTCCGCGCAGTTACACCGCCTGCACACTCGAGAGCTACGCCACTGAATGTTACTGAGAGGGGGGGGGGGCGATGGCAGGAGGAGACGGGGGGAGATGAGTTTGGTAGGTGCATGGATTTGGGGGGGGGGGTCCATCCACAAGTATCTCCCTGCGTCCTTACCATCCACCCACACTCTCCTTCACGGGCATCGCCTCGTGGGGTCTCATCGGATGCATCAGTGCCACTTGGCAGGTGCAACAAAGGACTCGAAGCAGCCTGAGCCCCTGAGTTATGGACTGACAGGTTCAACCCGCAGCTGCAGCGAGGCCCCCGCGGGTGGTCGCTTCACGCGCACGCGCGCGTGCCCGTGTGCGCATGCGGGGAGCGGTAGTGTAGCCATTAGCGCGCTGCGCTATGAACCTGGCGACCCGGGTTCGATTCCTCCTCACGGCCAACACCAGTGACGATTATCTGAACCGGTCCCGGGCCTCCCCTAGGTCTACTTAGCCTCAAATGAGTACCTGGTGCGGTGTGTAAACATCGTCACTAGGGAGACAAAGGCGGCCGGGCGTGGTGTTGTCCACCCACCTTCTTGTGCGCCGTGTCAGCCTTCATAGGTGTTCGCTTAACAGCACTTGGTCTTTGTGTGCACGTGTGTGTACTTACTTACGTGCGTGTGTGTGTGTTTATGTTCGTCTGTGTCTCCCACAGCGATCTGCAAGCAGGGCTGTGACGGGGTCCACGGCTACTGCAACGTGCCTGGGGAGTGCAGGTACAGACCGGGCCTCTGGAGCGCGCCCGTGTCGTGCTGCTGTGGCCGTGTTCACCTGTGCGCACCCATGTGTGCGTGTGTGTTCACCTGTATTCTTGTACACGTGTGTGCTGTTTGTCGCTGGCCACTTGGAGTTTTGGGCCTTTGGGTCTGTGTTCAACAGCCTCACCTGCGTTCATCTGTATACACCCGTGTTCACGTGTAAATACGTGTTCACCTGTATAGACCTGTGGTCCCCTCTCTGCCTCTGTGTGTCACGTGCATTCATCTCATGCAATTCCAGCTCCCCTGGGCATGACTCACTAATGAGCCCTAGTGATCTATATCATATTACGCAGCCCTTGGCTGTCTATTCCTGGGCATTGGCTCACTGATGATTCCTAATACATAGAGATATGTCTTTGTTTCCCACCCCATGCTGCGGGCTACACACCGCGCCTACCTGCTGCACCTGTGTGGCCAAAGACTCAACATGTCATTCAAGTTCTCGCCAATTCATCAGCATGCGCGCACACACGGGCGCGCCCCGTATGGCTGGAGCACTGGCGCAGTGGTTAGCGCGCTGCGCTAGGAACCCGGCAACCCGGGTTCTTTCCCGTTCACGGCCGAACACCAGTGACGATTATTTGCACCTGGCTGCGATATGTAAACATCGTCACTGGGGTGACAAAGACGGCCGGGCGTGGTGTTTCACCACTCGCCCCCTCGTGTGCCGTTCCGGCCTTCCTAGGTGCTCGCTAACAACACTTGCCCCGACAGTCTGTTGACGCTATACGGGGAATCTTTGTCTTTGTGCGTGAGCAGGGCGATTGGCGCGAGTTATCGCAGCCCCGATAGCGCGCTCACGTGACCTCATCGCTCATCTGGATGATTGTCGGGGGGATGAGGGGGGGGGGCAAGGAGGTGGTCTAGGATGTCCTTGGAGGGAGGGGGCAGGGTGGTCTGTGGAGGAGGATGAGGAGGGTGATCTGGAGGGAGAGATTGGACCTCGGAGCTACAGGGTGGTCCACGGGAGGATAGTGGATTCGGGGGGGGGGGGGGTTTAGAGAAGCGGGCGTTGGGGGGGGGGGGGTCAGGTTGTGTAGGGGTGAGCGGGGGGGGTGACGATGCGGGGTGGGGGAGGGTGTCTCCGAGTTCCGCGCGTCCCGGAGTCCAGGGTCCACGCTGCCGCTGCGGCTCCACCCCCAGATAACGAGTCGTGGGAACCGATCCCCCGCGACTTTCACGGACGGGGGTGGGGATGGGGGGGTGGGGGCTTGGGAAGTCTAATTACCCCCTTCCCTTGTCGAGAGTTGGCCAACGTCACGTGCGAGTGACCGTCTCCACAACGCGCCTCGCCCGTTGGGGCGAACTCGTGACGATGTGTCGGGAGTCCGAGCGAAAGGCGGCATTAGGGGGCGGGCATATCGGGGACGTTGGGGTGAAATGGCGAGGGGGGGGGGGCTCCGTGGCGGGGGTCTGGGGGTGTAGAGGAGACCCAGCTGAGCTGTCGGTCGCGGTCGTCATGAGATTGCGCAGATAAGGTGCGTGGGAAACTCAGGAGCCAGGGTCACCCCCCCCCACCCTCCCTCGGTTACCTTCCCCCCCCAGGCGTGAGAACGAGCAGAGACCAGCGGGCGGGGGCGGGTGTGCGAGTTGGGGAGCGGCGGTGTAGTGGTTAGCGCCCTGTGCTACGAACCTGGCCCCTGAGTTCGACTCTCGGCCACCATAGGTGGCATATATTTGAACCGGACCTGGGCCCCCCTTAGGTCGACTCAGCCTTAAATGAGCTGTGGTGTGTGTGTGTCAAACATCAGCACTGGTCCTGGACACACCACCCCCTTGTGCGCCGTGCCGGCCTTTACAGGTGCTCGCTAACAGCACTTTTCCCAACAGTCAGTGTGGACTACACGGGGGATCTCTGTGTGTCGTTGGATTTGTGTTTAAGTGGTGGCGTCTGTGCGTGTGCGCTGCGGTGTGACTGTGAACTTGCGGCTCACCGGCACACCCCCCCCTCTCACCCCGCCCCCCCATCCCCTTGCTAGGTGCCAGTACGGCTGGCAAGGAGCGCTGTGCGGGGAGTGCATCCCCTATCCAGGCTGCGTGCACGGCTCCTGCTCCGAGCCCTGGCAGTGCCACTGCGACACCAACTGGGGAGGCCTTCTCTGTGACAAAGGTGGGAGCAACTCTGGGGCAACTCGGGGCAACTCGGGTCAACTCGGGGGGAACACGGGGCAATTCAGGGGAAACTTGGGGTGCACGTTGAGCCAACACTACCACGGAGACCCGCGTCATCTTTATAAAGAAGCAGACGAGCATAGGGCACTGCGGTAAAATTCAGTGTTGTACTGTACTCTGCTGCAATGTCTATGCTCCCCGCCGTCATACACCCGCTCTAACCAGCGTGGTAAAGTATGATCAAATAACCCCCACGACCCGTACAAACAAGCGTTGGGGAGGGGGGGGCTCATCCAGTCTTAAACGCGTACCTGGTGCAGTGTGCCAAAACATCGACACTGGGGAGACAAAGGCAGCCGGGCGTGGTGTTGTCCACCCACCTTCTTCATAGGTGCTCGTGAAGACCACTTGCCATCAGCAGCCTGTTATAGGCTAGAGGGGGGATCTTGATTGTTGTGTGCACGGTCAAACGGCCGGACCTCCCTGACCCTTAACCCCCATCTCAAACGCAGACCTCAACTACTGCGGGACGCACTCGCCCTGCCTCAACGGGGGGACCTGCATCAACCCCGAGCCGGACGAGTTCGAGTGCGTCTGTCCCGAGGGGTGGTCGGGCCGCAACTGCGAGATCGGTGAGACGTCAACTGATCAATCTTGTCGATGCTGCAGCAATCAGTCAACTGATCAAGAAATTAATCAGTAACTAAATCGTTAAACTGGTCCATCATCCAGGTCAGCAGCCTGCCATTCAACGGGTCGGCTAAATTCCCGGAAATTTAATTAAACGTCGTTCCACCAATCGCTAAATCTATCAGTTAAGCTGCCAAACTGTCGATGAATCGATAACTTGATCAATTCCATGAAGCACTCAATCAGTCATTCCATCGATTGGCAAATAAAGCCGCCAGTCAGTCCGTCAGAAGTCGCCTTTATGTAATAATACAGAGCCAGGTGAGATGAGATGATGGGTTTCTCTTGTGAGGGAGACTCGTGGAGGGATTGATGGTTGATCGTTCAGCTGGGTCCTCACCTGAGCGATTAGTTTCACAACTCCTGGGCTCGCAATGACGGCGCTTATATGTGGAGGTCTCTGCAACCCGTTGCGAGCATTTAGCAATGAGTTTCACCACGTGCACATTTTATGCATGGGTCGTTACAATCCAGACCGAGCTGCATAATTTCATCATAGCGCAACTGCTTGCTCAGATGTAGACAAAGCAGTTGCCGGCGAGTGTGGAGTGCACCTGAGTTAGTGGGTGGGTGGATAAGTGAACAAGTTCGTCAGTGAGGATGTGAGTGAGCGAGTGAGTGGGAGGGTGGGTGACCGAGCGAGTGAGTGACAACTCATCGCACTCGTCTGGCCGATGATGATGACTGCTGGATTGTAACCCAACTAGCCGCGTGTGCAAACAGTTAACGCACAGCAACCAGCCGGGTCTGTCCCGTGACGCCCTCCTTCCAGAAGCGAGAATTCCACACTCCAAGTGCACCTAGCCTGGCACGAATGCCGTGTTGACGTCACCGCCGCTTAGTGGTCACCGGCCGTTGCTGTTGTTGCTGTTGCAGCGGAGCATGCCTGCCTCTCGGGGCCCTGCGCGCCCGGGGCCACGTGCGTGGAGACGCCGCACGGATTCGAGTGTCAGTGCGGGCCTGGGTGGAGCGGAGCCACTTGCGCCGACAGTGAGGACGCCACCTCACTCACCGCACTCACTCAATCACTCACACGCTCACTCGCTCAATCACTCACTCAATCACTCACTCACCCACTCGCTCAATCACTCACTCAATCACTCACTCACCCACTCGCTCACACTCACTCACTCACACGCTCACGCCGCACTCGCCGCACTCACACGCTCGCTCACCCCACTCGCACTCACTCACTTCACTCACACGCTAACTAATCCACCCACTCGCTCACACTCACTTCACTCACACGCTCACGCCGAACTCACTCATACGCTCACTCACTCACCCACTCCCACTCACTCACACCCTAACTAATCCACCCACTCGCTCACACTCACTCACTTCACTCACATGCTCACTCACCCACTTACCCACTCAAACTCACCCCCCCCCCCATATTCTGTGCTCACTCACTCCGTCACCCACTCACCTGTGGAGCTCACTCACCCGCGATTACAAAGCAACAAGTCACCCCCCCCACTCCCCTTAGTCACCCCGCCTCCCTCGCTGGCGGGGTGTTGGGATCCCCCCCCCCCCGCCCGCTGCACCTGCCAGGGAATTATCGACTCATTAAGCCTCATCTCGTCTCCGCCGCGACCAGAGTTTACCCAACACCCCCTCCACCCCTCCCCATCATCCTCCCCTCACCCCCCCCCCCCCCCCCGTCTCTACGCACAACACGTTTTCATAGCCGCTCACGTCTGAAATTACAGAGTTCGGATGCAGCCCCGCGCCTCGACCCCCCCTCACTGCGCCCCCACCTTCCTCAACGACCCCCCTCCCTTCACCCCCACTGCCCCCCCTTCTCCCCCACTGCCCCCCCCCACGCCCATATCGCACTAATTAGCTGCCAGACATGGGCTGTTACACGGTGGCGACATGAATGTTTTAGAGGCGCCTGAGTGATGAGGACAGAGCCCGTGGTGCCGCCTCTGGGCCCGTGGCCCCCATCTGCCTCCAGGTGCCGCTGATCCCCCTGCCCCCTCCCCCATCCATCCCTCCAAAAAGGATAGCGGAGGGGATCAGGTTAACGAGGGGGGGGGGGGTGCAGCATTTTACCTGCGCTGCTGAGCGATGAAACGTCGATGAATAATGCAGGGGGCTTGGTGAGGGGTGCCAGGTGAGCTTGAGCCTGCAGGTAGGTGAGAGGGTGTTGGGTGAGAGGAGTCGGGTGAGTGAGGTGAGCCGCAGGTGACTGCGCCATGGTGCCCGACACCCCCGTGTACTCCACTCACTTTGCGTCCTCTCGCCACGTGTCTCCTTCCCAGACGTGGATGACTGCTCGCCGAACCCGTGCGGACGCGGCGCCACGTGCCGCGACCTCGTGGGCGGATTCGAGTGCCTGTGCCTCCCGCAGTGGCGGGGCCGCACGTGCCAGCTCGGTAAGCGACGGGGGCAGGGGCTGCTGCCGTTGTTGGGGGTTGGTGGGGGGAGGGTGTGATGGGGATGATCGGGTTAGTGGGTGGGTTTTGGTGCGTTTGTGAGTCCGTGGGTGGGCGAGTTTGTGAATTGGTGGGAGTCAGTGGGTACATTTGTTGGTCATCGCGTGGGCACGTTGGTAAGTTGTGTGGGTCGGGTTGTTCGTTTGTGGTTACATGGGCGAGGGGACCAATCACGAACACCACCACCACCAACCATCGGCCACAATTGTCACCACCGCGCCCATCGACCACCCTCCTCCGCTGCCGTGGCCGGGAGCGTTGATCGCGCCGCGATGTCTCGCTGTGGACACACGGCGCCCGTGATTTGTGGTCGCGCTCGCGGGTAATTTCACTGCGGCCGTGGCTCCGCTTTCCAGCCCCTATTTCCATCGGAGCGCGGCCGCCACCGGTGGCCCCAAAAATAACCACGTGGGAACGGCCGCTCGGGCCCCGCAGGGACGCGCAGTTATGCGGGGCCACGCGCTTCGTGCCGCCCCCCCTGTTGCTGTTCCGTGACCCCTTCTGTGTCTGCCGTTGCCACCCCCTAGGGGGCGGTTTGGTGGAGTCGAGGAATCCACGCTGGGGGGTAACCCCTCCACCCCCCCCCCAGCTTCTTACCCCCGCCTTTGTCTCACCTATCTTCCCCATGCCCCCCCTACTTCCCGCAGCAGGCGTGGCGGATGCGCGGCGCCTCCGTAGAGACAAAAAACGCATTCGTCATAAACGCTGCGCTGACCTCATACATTCACAATAATAAATACGAGACGTTTCGGGCAATGGTCCTTCTTTATAGCAGAAACCCGTCTCTTCAGAGTGACGGTTTTCTGGAATAAAAGCAATGTGATCCTCCTCGTCGGGTTGAAATTCCACATTCCTCGGGTGAGGAGCCAGTCTCTCCTTTTGCGGGACACCCACGGAATTCTCGCGAATGCGTGGCCTGCGAGTTGTGTCGTGCGTGTGGCGCAGCAGGTGCGTCTGTGCTTGATCAGCAACGTATGCCATGGTGTCTCAGTTGGAGTGGGTGATTGGGTGGGTGGATGGGTAGGTGATTGATTGAGTGGCTGGACGAGTGAATGAGTAGGTGAGTGTCGGTGAGTGGTGGGGTTTTGGGTGGCTGGATGGGTGAATGATTGGGAAGTTGAGCTGGTGGGTGAGTGAGTGAATGATTTATTAGTAGAGTTGGTGGGTGGGCGAGTGAGCGCGTGGGTGAGCAGTGCATGTGCTCAGGCCCCACTAACCCACGTGTGTCCGTGCATGTGTGTGCATGTGTGTGTGTCCGTGCATGTGCGTGTGCGTGCAAACGTGTGTGCATGGCCGCGTGTGCAGACGCTAACGAGTGTGAACGCAGCCCCTGTGTGAATGCTCACTCCTGCCGCAACCTCATTGGCGGATACTACTGCGACTGCCTCCCCGGCTGGACAGGGCACGACTGTGACACCAGTCAGTGCCCGCACTGCATGCCCGGCCCCTGTGGCCCACAACCCATCACGACCACCACGTGTCCCGTCGATTCGCCCTGCATCCTCATCCAGTCAACACAATCCGCTGCCACTTCGCCACGGCGTGCCGATCTCTTCGCACCCGCAAACCCATCCACTCACTCGCCCAGTCTCACCACGTCACCCATCCTCTCATCCAACTGTCCAGTCACTCATTCGCTCGTCTGCTCACCCACTGGACCCTAACCCATTACCTTGCACCTAACCAACGGAACCATAGGCGCCCTGTGTGTCCAACCAATCTGCCTGCACTCTAACCAACACCACGAGTAATAAGTCCCCCACACTGCCCCCCCAAAGTATGATATGCATAGTCACGATCCTGAGTTACAAGTCGATCGACGATTTGACTCGTTTTTGCAATGTCTCGTTTTCACTGCCTTGTTTGTACAAGTCGTGTTCTCTCGTATGATCCGTTCGGTTCCGTGGGCTCCGCTATTCTCAGGGTTCATCCGCGTCTTATCCGCATAGTTCCACGCGCGCAGAGTGAGCGTAGCCGTAGATTTTGTTCCAGGTAAATCCACGCATCGGCGCTCCCGCCCACGGCTCATGCGCCCCTCCACTCCGACGAGGCCTCTGGCGGCCCGCGGTGCGAATTTCGTCGTCCGGTTGGTTTTTGTTGTCGGGGTGGGACGAGGTCGCTGATCGTTGCCCTCCCGTTTCTCCCCTCCAGACATCGACGACTGCGTCGGGCAGTGCCGGAACGGTGGCTCCTGCACGGTACGGCCGCACCCCCCCCCCTCTCTACAACCCCGCCTGCCCCCCATCACCATCACCGGAATCTCCCCTCCTGTGCCGTCTCGACTCCCGACGCCCACAGCCCCCCCCCCCTCTTATTTAGAGATCCCCAAAGTTATATTTGCCTCTGTCTTTGTGTCTGCATTTGGCTGCATTTGTCCACATCTGTCTTTGCGTCTCTCTCCATGGCATGCTTTGTATCCATCTCTCTGTGTCTCGCTATGTCTGTCCCTATCTCTCGCACCGCGTCTCTCTTCGTCTATAATTCGCAATTCTGGCCACGGGTTCTGATTGGTCGGTGGGACTCGGAGCTCACGCGGTCTCTGCCCGCAGGACCTGGTGAACGGCTACCGCTGCGAGTGTCGCCCGGGATTCTCCGGGCCTCTCTGCCAAGTCGGACCGGGGGGCGTAGTGGCTTCGGGTGAGACCGGAGCCGCAGGGGGCCCGTTATCTCCCGGGGGGCCCGAGCCGTGCCCCTCTAGCGCGTGTTTCCACGGGGGCCGCTGTGTGTCCGAAACCGGGGGGACCTCCCGCTGCGACTGCCCCCCGGGGTTCGCTGGAGACCGCTGCCAGGTGATGGGGTTACCGCTGCTGCTGCTGCTTTGTACCTGGGGTCTCGCTCGGTTTAGTGCAGAGTTGGTGCGGAGTGAGTGCGGAGTGGGTGCGGAGTGAGTGCGGAGTGAGTGCGGAGTGAGTGCGGAGTGAGTGCGAAGAGGGGAAAGCGCTCTCGAACTTCTGTATTCCCGCCACGCACTGCCTGCCGCGCATTCACTGCAGTCACTGTGACAGGAACACACAGCCCCTTTCTCAATCCACTGCTGGACGAATGCCTCACCACGCCATGCCAGTAATAGGGGAAATGTGACCATACTTCACCACCTTGGTCAGTGAAGGAAAAGGCGGATGGGGTTGGGAGGGGTCCAGGATGAGTTCGTGTATCACTCGCCACTGACGTTAGCCGTGGTTGGGAATCGGACTCCCGCAATGACCACGCGTGTGCACGCGTTTCTCCCAGAATGCCGTGGGGGTGTCCACGGGGGGCGACCCCTGCTCATCGGCTCCGTGCCGGAACGGGGGGACTTGCACCGCGACTGGCACCGGATTCGAGTGCTCGTGCGGAGAGGACCACGAGGGTGCGGATTGCTCCAAGCTGCGCGACCACTGCCACACGGCTCCCTGCCAGGGTACGGTGTCATCATCCCCCCGCATCACCATTAGCTCCATTGTAATCACCATTACCTCCAGCCCCATCATCACCACCAGCCCCATCAGCCCCACCATCACCGCCATCACCACCAGTCCCATCATCACCACCAACCCCACCATTATTACCACCATATTACCAATAACATAATCAGACATCCCAATATAGGTTGCAGGTTCCAAGTAAAAACATCATCGGTCCTGACGACGCCACCCCCCCCCCCCCATGTGGTCCACCCCCCCCCCACCCCGCCCCCACCAAGTGATTGACAGTTGCACGGTGGCCGTGGCCTCCAACACGACGGCGGGGGGCGTGCGCTTCGTGTCTTCGGGGGTGTGCGGCCCCCACGGGCGCTGCGCGAGTCTCCCGGGGGGCCGCTTCAGCTGCTCCTGCCTGCAGGGCTTCACCGGCACCTACTGCCACCAGAGTGAGTGGCCTCCACAACGACGGCAACGACAACAACAATGCCCCCCCAGGACCGGGTGCAAGTGGGGTGCTGATGATTGGTGATACTGTTGCTACGGTTGCTGATGATCCTGCATTGTTTAAGGGCGCTTTATCAACTTTCATTATTATTATTGCTGATGATGCTGATCAGGGCCTGTGCGCCAACCAATGTCCCTTTGGCCCGCTGATGATCCTGCATTGTTTAAGAGGGCTTTATAAACTTTAATTATTATGATTGCTGATGATGCTGATCAGGGCCGGTTCACCAACCAATGTCCCTTTGGCCCACCCGAGTCCACTCTCCTTCGCGGGGGTCGATCACTCGTCCCACTTTGGGGTCGCGCTTCGAATCGAGAACCTCGAATTCTGTTGACGTTGCGGTGAGGCGACAGCGCCTCTAGTGGCTGCAGTGTTTCACGTGGGACCAGCGACACGGGGCACCGCTCACGCATCGCGACATTGACCGGAGCCACTCGGCTCGGCGGACGTGTGGACGTGTGGTTGTGTGGACGTGTGGTTGTGTGGACGTGTGGTTGTGTGGACGTGTGGTTGTGTGGTTGTGTGGACGTGTGGTTGTGTGGACGTGTGGTTGTGTGGACGTGTGGATCTGTGGACGTGTGGTTGTGTGGACGTGTGTGGATGTGCGGACATGCTCTCTCCACTGCTGTTGTATTCGCGTGCGTGAACGTGAATCCCGACGTCCGGTGGCCGCGCCGTAAACCCCTCTCCGCTTTCTCTTCCGCTCTCGCATTCCCGCCCGATCAGGACGGACACGAGGTGACGACTTTTCTTTCCGATTTTTTTTTAAACCATCGTCCTCGTTCGTGGTCTCTCCACGCTTCTATATCTCTCACGGTCCTGCGGACACCGCGATCCGTCTCGCTTCCGAACTCATCTCATCGCTTCACCTCTGCCCTGGTCATTTTCTCAGTCGCATTGTCTCGCTTGGCTGCCATTCCCGTCGCCAGTCTCGCCCGTCGGCCCTTCGTCCCTGACGGCCCTTCGTCCCTCTCGGCCAAACCCACTCGGCGGCCAACGGGGGGTTTTTCCGAGTTGTTTCCATCATTCGTGTTCGGTGCTTCTGACTCTCGGCGCTGTTCCAAGCGCGCTGTCTCCGTACCCCGTCTGCCCCACCTCGTGGCCTCCTTGCTCCGTGTTCGCCGGCGTCCCGGATTCCCGTCCGTACATCGCAGCTGGAAATGTTCGCCGATTGAAAACGTTGTTTGCCCTTGACACGCATCGTGGGGTTCCGCTTGGCACGAGCACGTGCTCTTATAGCCACGCGTTCTTGGATCGTGCTCTGCAGACGTTTAATTTCATAGAAGCGCGGTGGTGGCAGATGTGAAAACGAGACCTGGCTGAGTGTACGGATGGGGACAAAGACAATGAGCTCCTTATAACTTTAGCAGGCTGTTTGGGCAAGTGCTGATAGCGAGCACCTGTGAAGGCCAGCACGGTAAACAAGCGGGTGGGTGGCCAGCACCACGCCACGGATGGAGAACACACACACGTGGGTGCGTGGTAGGGGAAGGAGCAACGCACGGAAGGCTAGAACCAGGCTGAAGTTGTTTAGTCACACGAGGTGAGGATCTGGGGAATAAGACTCAGAGATGGGACAAGGGAGAGGTGGAGAGACGGTGTCGTGGGGGACACGGCAAAGGAAGGACAGAGCTGGAGAGCGAAGGAGATAGAGAAGATGGGAAGACAGCAAGGCACGGGTAGAAGTTGTCCATCCACTGAATGACGATCGCGTTGACGACGCTGAGAGTGTGATGGCGCCCCCCCCGGTTCTCTCGCCCGTGACCCTGCGCAGACATCAACGACTGCCAGCTCAACCCGTGCCACAACGGGGGCACGTGCATCGACGGCGTGAGCGCCTTCCAGTGCGTGTGTCCCGAGGGCTGGGAGGGCGACCTCTGTCAGACCGGTGCGTGGCACGCGCGCGCATACACGTACACAAAGAAAACATACGTACATACACACACACTCCAAAGATCCACCGCATAGCCTTTAACAGGCTGTTTGGAAAGAGATGTCAGCGAGCACCTATGAAGGCCGCCACGGTACACGAATACGCACGCGCACACATACAAACGTGCACACACACACGTGCACACACACACGTGCACACACATCACACACGCGCGCACACACACACGTACACACACACACGTACACACACGCACGTACACACACACACGTACACACACACACGTACACACACGCACACGTACACACACACACGTACACACACACACGTACACACACGTACACACACACACGTACACACACGCACACACACACACGTACACACACACACGTGCACACACGCACACACACACACGTACACACACGCACACACACACACGTACACACACACACGTGCACACACGCACGTGCACACGTACACACACACGTGCACACACACACGTGCACACACGCACGTGCACACGTACACACACACACGTGCACACACACACGTACACACACACACACGCACACACACACGTACACACACGCACACACACACACGTACACACACGCACACACACGTACACACACACACGTACACACACACACGTACACACACACACGTACACACACACACGTGCACACACACACGTACACACACACACGTGCACACACACACGCACACACACGTACACGTACACACACACACGTACACACACACACGTACACACACACACGTACACACACACACACGTACACACACACACGTACACACACACACGTACACACGTACACACACACACACACGTACACACACACACGTACACACACACACACGTGCACACACACACGTGCACACGTACACACACACACGTACACACACACACACGTACACACACACACACGTGCACACACACACGTGCACACGTACACACACACACGTACACAACACACAACACGTACACACACACACACGTGCACACGTACACACGCACACGTACACACACACACGTACACACTACACACACACATACACACACCACAACGTACACACAACACACGTACACACACACAGTACACCACACACGTACACACACACACACACGTACAACACCACCGTACACACACACACGTACACACACACACGGACACACACACACGTACACACACACACACACGTACACACACACACACACGTACACACACGTACACACCACACGTACACACACACACGTACACACACACACACACGTACACCACACACGTACACACACACACGTACACACACACACGTACACACACACACCACGTACACACACACACACACGTACACACACGTACACACACACACGTACACACACACACGTACACACACACACTTACACACACACACATACTACAACACACCACGTGCACACAACACACGTACACACACACACGTACCCACGTACACACACACGTACACACACGCACACACCACACGTACACACACACACGTGCACACACGCCCACACACCACGTACACACACGCACACACACACACGTACACACACACACGTGCACACACGCACGTGCACACGTACACACACACGTGCACACACACACGTGCACACACGCACGTGCACACGTACACACACACACGTGCACACACACACGTACACACACACACACGTACACACACACACGTACACACACACACGTACACACACACACGTGCACACACACACGTACACACACACACACGTGCACACACACACACGTACACACACACACGCACACACACACGTACACACACACACACGTACACACACACACACGTGCACACACACACACGTACACACACACACACACACGTACACACACACACACGTACACACACACACACACGTACACACACACACACGTACACACACACACACACGTACACACACACACACGTACACACACACACACACGTACACACACGCACACACGCAAGCACTTGCCCACGACATTACAATCACGCATCCACAGCGCACACTCGCGTCGTGACGATTCTCGCGGGACACCCCCGCCACTCTTTATCCCAAAGCGCAATCACCGATGATCGTTCCCTCCCCCCCCCCACCACCACCACCCTCGGGCAGACATCAACGACTGCCACCCCAACCCGTGCCACAACGGCGGGCGCTGCCGCGACCTGGTCAACGACTTCCAGTGCCAGTGCCGCAACGGCTGGAAGGGGCGCACCTGCCACTCACGTGAGCAACCTCCCCCCCCTTCTCCCTCTGTAGCCCCCCCCCCCCCGGACCGTCGTTCAAACTGCACTGGTCCCAGCTCACCCATCCTGCCCCCCACACCTAGCTGGGTTTCCTGGTACCAGCCCCCTTTCCCAGGGGTTGTGCCGACTCCCCCATGTCTCATGTTCACCCCAGCCTCACTGCGTCAACCCTACGGGGGGTCTCCGTCGTGATGATGAGAGTGCGCGCGTGTGTGTGCGTGTGGATTGATGTGTGTACGTGTGCGTCTTGAGTCTGTGCTATGAACCCGGAGACCCGAGTTCGATTCCCGCTCACGACCAATAACAGTGGCAAATATCTAAACTGGTTATGGGGAGAGAAAGGCTGCCGGGCGTGGTGCTGGCCAACCACCCCCTTGTGTGCCGTGCCGGCCTTCAAAGGTGGTACTGGCAAACAGCACTTGCCCCAACAGTCTGTTAAAGCTATACGGGGGAGCTGTGTGTGTGCGCTATAGAGCAGTAGTCTGCGCACTGCGATTACCAGCCTCGATAAACATTTGCGGTGAATATCTGAACCGGTCCTGGGTCTTTACTAGGTCGACTCAGCTATAAATTGGTCACATGAACGGTGTGTGCACGTCAATGGTGGGGAGACAAAGGCGTGAAGCTGGCCACACTACTTCCTCGTGCGCCGTTCCAGCCTGCAACCCCCGGCCTGTGGGGGCAGACCGGAGCGGGGGATCTTTGCGTGTGCACGTGGACCAATGTACACGGCTGTGTGTGTGGCAGGTGAGAGCCAGTGCGATGAGACCGCGTGTCACAACGGCGGCACGTGCTACGACCACGGGGACTCGTTCGTGTGCCACTGCCCCCTGGGGTGGGAGGGCAGCACCTGCAGCGTGGGTGGGTTTCACGTTCACATGCACACTCACACACACGCACACACACACTCACACGCTCATGCACTCACTCACACGCTCACACACTCATTCACATGCTCACACACTCACTCACTCACATGCTCACACACTCGCACACACACACACGCTTACACACTCACACACACACGCTCACACACTGACTCACACGCTCACACTCTCACTCACACACACGCTCACACACTCACTCACACGCTCACACTCGCACATGCTCACACAAACACGCTTACACACTCGCGCATTCTCTCACTCGCACCCTGCACACTCCCACGGTTACACTCTCACGTAACTGCACATGCGCATACACAACCACTCGTACAGTCTCGCGCCCGCACACGTTCACTTCCACGCCAGCACACCCCCGTCGCCCCCCCCCCCCCCCCCGTTTCCCTGCAAGTCGCTTGCCGACATGCGCACGCTTTTTTCCATTAAGGCACAGACATTGATTGTCTCTCAAACGCGACGCGCCCCTCCCCCTTGCCCCCCCGCCCCCCTCAGCCAGGAACAGCAGCTGTGCGTCGAGCCCGTGCCAGAACGGGGGCACGTGCGTGGGGGGCGCCGACTCGTCCTCCTTCACCTGCGTGTGCCGCGACGGCTGGGAGGGTCCCACGTGTGCGCACAGTGAGGGCCCGCAGCGCACCACTCACGGGACACCGACATAGCCAGTAGGGACACTCCGCCCCAGTGACCCCCCCCCACCACCACAATCGCCAACACCTCCACCGAACAGCAGCGCAACCAGCGCGGACACTTCGCCCGATGACCAACACCGCACACTACGACCGACGGGGTTTTGTCTGTGGTCAAACTTAGGGGTCAGGGTAGGAAATGCTTAGGGTTAGGGGTTATAGTTAGGGTAGGATTAGCATTGGGATTAGGGTAGGGTCGGGTTCGTTTCGGGATGAGGGGTTAGGGTTTCGGGGTAGGGTAGAATTCGTGTTCGTATTAGAGGTTATGATTACGTGTTAGGGTAGCGTCAGTGTTGGGATTTGGGGTTATGGGTTAGGGTCGAGTTAGGATTTGGATTGGGGTTCGTGTTGGGGTTAGGGTGGTGGTGTTTTTGATGAGCGTGAGGTTGGCGAGCCCGGCCCAGTGTGGCTGGGCTGGTGTTTTCCAGGCCTCCGGATCCCTTTGTCCGTCGCTCTGCCCCACCAAGTCGCTCCGCATTTAGCCGCCGTGTCGTGTTGCGCGCAGTGCCCGACGCTTTACGTTATGGAATATTAATCATTCATGTCTCTCCGCTCTCTCCTCTCCTTTCGCTCCCACGTCCTGCCAAAGACACCAACGACTGCAACCCCCACCCCTGGTGAGTTGGATGTGAGCCACACATTTTTTCCTCTTGTCTCCTTAAATAAACGCAACGGAGCCACGGAGCTCGGGGGCGCCCGGCGTCGTTGGGCGGCGGCGGCGCACGCGGTGACACGGGTTGACGAGAGCCAAGTCAGAACCTGGCGCCAGTGCGCGACGAGGTACGTGACAAGTTTGTTCCCCTGTGCTCTCCTCCTGCAGCTACAACGGCGGCACGTGCGTGGACGGGGACAATTGGTACCGCTGCGAGTGCTCCCCGGGCTTCGCGGGGCCCGACTGCCGCATCAGTGAGTGGCCGATGCCTTCGCCTTTCCCGTAACGCGCGGAAACGCTGAGCCCACAGTGCACATCATCCTCCTCTCCGTTCTACTCGTGGGCTTTTGACCGTGGGCCGTGACCGTGTCCTTCACCGACGTCTCCTCACGTCGTTTCTCCACTCCTGTCCGTCCATCGCGGCGTCTTTGAACCGAGACCGCTTCCGTCCCGTGCAGTGTTTGAGACGTTCACTCAAATCGTGGTCCTCCTCATGTCCCCCAAACCGAGGGTTGTAAGAGTTGCGCGCTCATGAATGCGCTTGCCTTCCGGTGGTGCCTCCGTGACTATCCCGATGCACGGCAAGCCGTCCCATGACGCCCAGCCTTGACTCTGCGCTGTGCCCGTGCCGTGCAGACATCGACGAGTGCCAGTCGAGCCCGTGCGCCGCTGGCTCCACGTGCATGGACGAGATCAACGCGTTCCGCTGCATCTGTCCCCTCGGCCGCTCAGGCAGCCTCTGCCAGGAAGGTGAGCGACGCGACGGCGCCCACGGGCCCATAACCCCCCCCCCCTCCTGTGACCGGGCTATCGGTGACCGTGGCTCCGTGAACTCACTGCCTGTCCGCGCATGCGCCGCGTCACCCGCGTCTCCTGCGTGCGGTGCATCAGCTGCGTCGGTCTCACCCGTGTCTCCCCCCTTGTCTCCCCCCTTGTCCCCCCCTCCCCCGTTAGCCGCGCACGAGCGGCCGTGTTTCCACCACGGGCGGCTGCGGGCGCACGGCTCGCGCTGGGACGACGAGTGCAACGCGTGCGAGTGCTCGGGTGGGCTCGTCAACTGCACCAGGGTGAGTCAGTCCACCAGCGAGCCAGGTCAACGACTACGCCGCCGCCGCCTTTGCCGCCGCGGGATTAAACGGAACATTGCTGGACGCGTATAATTGGGATGGTTAAAATGAGAGGGTTATTGTTAAGTGACTATTAATGGATGTGATGGTTATGAATGGGATGGCTCTGAATTGCAGGCTGGTTATTATGAGATGGTTACTATGGGATGGCTATAACAGAATTGACATTGAAAAAAAATAAAATGCAATGTATAACAGGCTGGTCATTATGGGATAGGATGGTCGTTCTGAGAAAGCTGTACCACATATGTCCCCATGCCAACCCCCTCCCCTAACCGAACTCCTCTGCCCTGCCCAGGTGTGGTGTGGCGATCGCCCGTGCTCGCTGAGAGGGGGGGCACGGTGCGGCTCGCACCAGACGTGCCGCCCCGTGGGGCCGCGGGGGTGCCTGGCACCACCTTGCGCTGACTGGGGGGAGTGCTGGCCCCCGAGGGAGCCCCCGAGGGACGCGTGCCTCCCAAGTGACCCCCCACACAGCGACGCCCGCTGTTCTCGCATCACGCTCTACTTCAACCCGGCACACATGCAGCCGGTACGCACACGCGCAGCATGGATGTGTGTGTGTGTGCGTACACACGCGTGTGGGTGTGTGCACGTGGCTGTGTGCGGGTGTATATGTCTGTAAGAACCCGGCGACCCGAGTTCGATTCCCGTTCACGGTCAACATGGGTGACGATAATTATATGAACCGGTTCTGGGCCTCCCCTAGGTTGACTCAAGCTCAAGTGTGAGTGTCTGGACCTTCATAGATGCTCATTAACAGCACTTGCCTCAACAGTCTGTTAAGGCTATACCAGGGGAGGGGGAACCTTTACCTTTTGTTGAATCGGTTGATGTGGTTGCTCGTCCACCTGTGTGCGCTGTCCCGTCACAGCGAGTGTAGCCCCCCGTGTGACCTGTGATCCTGTCGCCCCCCCCCACCCCCATGCCCCCCACACTCGCAGGGCCTCACGGTGGAGCAGGTGTGCTCGGAGCTGCGCTTTTCGCCGGCGCTGCGGGACCTGTCCCCCGCCCGGCCTGTCGTGCTGCTTTGTGAGGCGGCCACACCGGGGCCCGGCCAGGTCACCGTCACCGTGGTGAGTGCGACTCCACCGGCTCCACCGGTTAATGTTTACGCCACCGATGTCGGCCGTTGCCGGGATGCCACGGCCGACATCGATGGCGTGGGTGGAGGGGGAGGGTAGTGCCATGCGCCAACCACAGCACCGCCACTCCCCCACGCGGACAGACCCGAGCGCATGCGCATGAACACCTTAAACACGCAGGGTCAATAGCGAAGTGCAGTACAACAATAGATTTGCTGCACTGCCCTCTGCTGTGTAGATATAAGGTCACGGTAGAGGTGCAGCCCTGTAATTGCTGGCTCACACCACTGCTGTCGGATGGGTCTCCACTGCAGGGATCTAGAGACAGCCCCCTGACCCTAACTGTGACCCTTTTCTCGACCCTTGCCTTCAACCCCAACCCTACCCCGCAGTCCGTGGGCAGCGTCCTGTCGGGATCCCGCGGGGGACCAGGCCCACACGGCCCCGGGTCTCTGCGCGACGTCACGGGACAGCTTCTGGAGGCGATCCAGCAGCTGCAGGTGAACGGCACGGCACTCAGGGCGCTGGCCGAGGTCAAGGTGGAGATTCTGGACCGCGCACCCCGGGAACCAGGTGAGAGGGTGGTGTTGAGGACGTCTGCGATGGTGCTGATGCAGTGGGTGATGGTGCTGATGCAGTGGGTGATGGTGCTGATGAAGTGGGTGATGGTGCTGATGTAGTGAGTGATGGTGCTGATATAGTGGGTGATGGTGCTGATGCAGTGGGTGATGGTGTTGATGTAGTGAGTGATGGTGCTGATGTAGTGGGTGATGGTGCTGATGCAGTGGGTGATGGTGCTGATGCAGTGGGTGATGGTGTTGATGTAGTGAGTGATGGTGCTGATGTAGTGGGTGATGGTGCTGATGCAGTGGGTGATGGTGCTGATGCAGTGAGTGATGGTGCAGTGAGTGATGGTGCTGATGCAGTGTTGTAGCCGTGACCGTCCCGATGATGATTTTGCTGATGGTGCTGCCCTCCAGGCTTCCTGCTGCCGCTGCTCGCCGTGCTCATCGGGGTGCTGTGGCTCGCCTGCCTCCTCGCGCTCGGCCTGCTCTGGCTCTGCCGCCAGCGCCGCGCAAAGGAGCACAAGGCCTTTGTGTCCGTGCTGCCCGCCGAAGTGAGGCCTCCGGTGACCATCGCCCCCGGCGGCCCCGGTGTCCCCCGTGCCACCGGCGTCGCCGCCGCCACCGACAGCGCCACCACCGCCACCGCCGCCGCCGCCACCTCCAACAACCAGCGACTGCCACTCGACCGCATCAAGAACCTGATCGCTCGGGCCGACCCAGGGGCCGCAGAGAGGCCCGCGGGAGACGCGGGCCCTGAGAAGAGGGGCGTGGGTGACCACGACCACAACCACCACGATCACCGCCACGATCATAACCACGACCATCACGACCATCATCACCACCACGATGAGGAGGACGAGGATGAGGAGAAAGTGGCCCTGAGGCCCGGGATCCGCGGCCTGCGGCCCGACGTTCTGGCGGCCGTGGACAGGAAGTCGCGACTCCCCGCGGCGGCCACCGCCGTGGAGTACAGGGCGTCGGGGCCCGGTGTGGGGCCCGGCGGGGAGGGGCCCGGAGGCCCAGCGGCCTCCATCATCGCCCTGCAGCCCAAGCAGCCCAACCGGCTCGCCAAGAGGGACAACCGCGTGTGGGGGGCGCAGCGCGCCGAGGACCTTGTGTGACCCCCACACCCCACGTCTCTTGTAATTATGTCCTTGCTCATAGCGTCCCCGAGTAGATGATGATGAAGATTTAATTGACCCTGCTCCCTACCCCTGGACTGCGGAGAGGGGAGATGGAGTGGTAAAACACTGCAGCAAACTAATCAGAGCTGGCGTCGTGACTTGGAGGCATGGTGTGAGCACCAGATTGGAGGAGTGACCTTTGCCAGGACTGCACTGTCATGGGGATGAAGACGGCCAACAAAACTCGCGCCCCACCCACAACCAACTAGCCGACCACCCACGAGTACCAGTCCTCTCACTCACCCGAACCCTCCCTACCCTGGAGACCTACCTTCCTGTGCTTAGCCAGACCCTATTTACTTTTCGTTCCATTTTCAGGTTTGGTGTTAGCAGCGCAATATCCGTGCAGAGATGGATGTGGCTGGGGTTGGGGTTAAGGATAGACCTGGGTCAGGGCTCCTGATTGGCTGCTGTGCTGTTATCCACAGCAAGGGGGAGCGCGTGTCCCACTGCAGCGCACGTGGCACGCGGGGTCCCCCTCTGGGGAGCGATGCCAGCGAAGCCAGCGACCCCGTGGCCAGGCTACGTGGGGTCGGGCCAGTGTCTGGTTCTGACTGTTATTCCTCTTTCCACTGCACAACCGAGCCAGCTCTGGCACGGCCCAGGAGGCGCCACGTTCATCCACTGCAGGAGCCCAGCCGTGTCCCACCGACATCACAAGCAATGAACGAGTCGCGAGTCGAGACTCGTGCAGATGACGCCGTGACGGTGGTTCCCCGCTGTGCGCCGACCGACTTCGCTCGCAACGACCGCGCCATTAGCTCCGCCCCTGGCCCTGCTTGGCCTCGAGCCAGATTCCGACGTCTTGTGACGGTCTGGTTCTGGCTGGCCACGGAAACGAGCCAGTGGAGAATCCGCCGGCACCGCGAGGGCCCCGCGTTGACTCGGCTCAGATGAGCCAGTGGAGAAGGGAGCAGTAGAGGGACCTGGGAGCCTGGGGTCGCGTTCTCAGAGTCGAATCCCCGTGGTCCCAGGTCGCCGCACTCGGTGGAAAATTTTTCGCGCTTTTGTTTTTGCACCACGTGACTGATGTAAAAGAAAAAATGATTATGTATGGTTATTATTTAATTATTTAAATGCATTAGTGACATTAGTGCAGTTAACTGCGGCCTCTATTTAATGCGGTTTTTTTCTATTTAATTTAAGAAATGTTATTCTCTACACTGTTATTTGTAAAACGTTTTTATAAATTTTAAACTGATTAAAAAAAACACGTATTTTTCTTCCCAAATCGAGAGTATATTTAGGCGAAGCAGCCTGCTTTTGTCCGTGCTTTGTTGTTGTTGTGCAGAACCGAGCAGCGTTGAGTGTCAGACTTAAAGAGGCCTCCCCCTGGTCACCGCATAAAATCCCCGCGATCTCTTGCCTATCAGCGACCACCTCATGATGACACGCTTCAAAGAGTGCAACCAAAACACCGAATAGCCATGACCACACGAGCTCCCTGGAATGTTACGCTCTACATTTTCCCCACTTAGTGCACTGTGTAAAATCCCACTGGGGTGCACCGTGTAAAGTAGACCCACTGGGGTGCACGGTGTAAAGTAGACCCACTGGGGTGCACCGTGTAAAGTAGACCCACTGGGGTACACTGTGTAAAGTAGACCCACTGGGGTACACTGTGTAAAGTAGACCCACTGGGGTACACCGTGTACAGTAGACCCACTGGGGTACACCGTGTAAAGTAGACCCACTGGGGTGCACCGTGTAAAGTAGACCCACTGGGGTGCACCGTGTAAAGTAGACCCACTGGGGTGCACCATGTACAGTAGACCCACTGGGGTGCACTGTGTAAAGTAGACCCACTGGGGTACACTGTGTATAGTAGACCCACTGGGGTGCACCGTGTAAAGTAGACCCACTGGGGTGCACCGTGTAAAGTAGACCCACTGGGGTGCACCGTGTAAAGTAGACCCACTGGGGTACACTGTGTAAAGTAGACCCACTGAAGTGCACCGTGTAAAGTAGACCCACTGGGGTGCACCGTGTACAGTAGACCCACTGGGGTGCACCGTGTAAAGTAGACTCACTGGGGTACACCGTGGAAAGTAGACCCACTGGGGTGCACCGTGTAAAGTAGACCCACTGGGGTGCACCGTGTATAGTAGACCCACTGGGGTGCACCGTGTAAACTAGACCCACTGGGGTGCACCGTGTAAAGTAGACCCACTGGGGTGCACCGTGTAAAGTAGACCCACTGGGGTGCACCGTGTAAAGTAGACCCACTGGGGTGCACCGTGTACAGTAGACCCACTGGGGTGCACCGTGTAAAGTAGACCCACCGGGGTGCACCGTGTAAAGTAGACCCACTGGGGTGCACCGTGTAAACTAGACCCACTGGGGTGCACCGTGTAAAGTAGACCTACTGGGGTGCACGGTGTACAGTAGACCCACTGGGGTGCACCGTGTAAACTACACCCACTGGGGTGCACCGTGTAAAGTAGACCCACTGGGGTGCACCGTGTAAAGTAGACCCACTGGGGTGCACCGTGTAAAGTAGACCCACTGGGGTGCACCGTGTAAAGTAGACCCACTGGGGTGCACCGTGTAAAGTAGACCCACTGGGGTGCACCGTGTACAGTAGACCCACTGGGGTGCACCGTGTAAAGTAGACCCACTGGGGTGCACCGTGTAAAGTAGACCCACTGGGGTGCACCGTGTAAACTAGACCCACTGGGGTGCACCGTGTAAAGTAGACCTACTGGGGTGCACGGTGTACAGTAGACCCACTGGGGTGCACCGTGTAAACTAGACCCACTGGGGTGCACCGTGTAAAGTAGACCCACTGGGGTGCACCGTGTAAAGTAGACCCACTGGTGTGCACTGTGTAAAGTAGACCCTACTGGGGTGCACGGTGTAAAGTAGACCCACTGGGGTGCACGGTGTAAAGTAGACCCACTGGGGATGCACCGTGTAAAGTAGACCCACTGGGGTGCACTGTGTAAAGTAGACCCACTGGGGTGCACGGTGTAAAGTAGACCCACTGGGGTGCACGGTGTAAAGTAGACCCACTGGGGTGCACCGTGTAAAGTAGACCCACTGGGGTGCACCGTGTAAAGTAGACCCACTGGGGTGCATCGTGTAAAGTAGACCCACTGGGGTGCACCGTGTAAAGTAGACCCACTGGGGTGCACCGTGTAAAGTAGACCCACTGGGGTGCACCGTGTAAAGTAGATCCACTGGGGTGCACTGTGTAAAGTAGACCCACTGGGGTGCACCGTGTAAAGTAGACCCACTGGGGTGCACTGTGTAAAGCAGACCCACTGGGGTGCACTGTGTAAAGTAGACCCACTGGGGTGCACTGTGTAAAGTAGACCCACTGGGGTGCACCGTGTAAAGTAGACCCACTGGGGTGCACCGTGTAAAGTAGACCCACTGGGGTGCACCGTGTAAAGTAGACCCACTGGGGTGCACCGTGTAAAGTAGACCCACTGGGGTGCACCGTGTAAAGTAGACCCACTGGGGTGCACCGTGTAAAGTAGACCCACTGGGGTGCACCGTGTAAAGTAGACCCACTGGGGTGCACCGTGTAAAGTAGACCCACTGGGGTGCACTGTGTAAAGTAGACCCACTGGGGTGCACCGTGTAAAGTAGATACACTGGGGTGCACTTCGTTTATGTCCCGCACTGAGTGGAGCGAGTTTAAAGTTCCGGATCGTGGCCAGGTTGTTGTCCACTGATGCTTCCAGCTCCGTCCCGTCCCGGAAAAAAATCGTCCGCTGCTACAGTCGCTCGTCCACCACGCATCTCGCTCGTGCCTCCGATGGTCAGGCGGGGAGACTCGATCCGCTCTAAAGAGGATCTCATCCACTCCCAGGCTACCTCGCGCCCGGCTCGGTCCTCCGACCTCGCGTCCACCCGGGTTCATGCAGAGTTCCACCAGGTCAACTCGAGCCGCGCTCGCACTCACTCGACATGAACCCAGGGTTTCGTTGTCTCGTGGAATAATTTTTTTTCTTCCAGAGTTCAGCGCCGAACAGCTCTGGCTGAATATTATCCCTGCACTGACCTGCAAGTCACACCTCGGTGGAACTGACCGCCGTCGCGTGACCCTAACGCCAATGGGTCCCACGGTAGGGTGAGGGCTGAAACTGACACTTTATTGGTACCAGTTTGGTTATATTGTACTTCGTGCGTATGTGGATCATTACAAGCGAATTGTGCGATTCCCAACTCCCATGGTGTACGCTCCCCGCCTTCACCAACTCGCACCGATCAGCGTGGCCACGTACGGGCAGTGTGACCGCCCCCCACACAACCCACGAACCCGCACGGCGTGGGGGGGGGGGGCTCGTCCAGCAGTTGACGGGAGGGCTGTCCGTTCACACGCCGTAATCACGCGATTCACCTTTCGTGGCCATGTGGATTGGCACCACGAGAGTTTAGGCGCCCCGGGTGATACAGAGGAGCAGGGGGGGGTGGGGGTTTGGTTTTGGGGGTGTTAGTACCCGCTGGGTAGAGATGGTCGCCGCGTAGAAGCCGAATGGGTAATCGATGTCAATGTCGTTGTCAGGCTCGGGATACTTGCGTCACACCGCGTGCGTTAATAACACTGTAACAAAACAAAATGTTCCTGGGTAGTCAGTGTCATTTCCTAATTGCTTATGCTTGAAAAGTCCAGATAATAGCTATTATTCCCCACAAACTTTGCTTTTGTGACCAGGACAGTGATCTTTTGAAATGAACCTATTTTCAATGAGAAAACGTGGTGTGCATTTGTCTTTCGTTCACATAAAGTCCTGGTCACAAAAGCAAAACTTTGTGGGGAACAATAGCCATGTTCTATACTTTTTAGGCATAAGCAATAAAAAAATAACACCGAGTACCCAGGAACAAATATTGTTCTACATAGTGTAATCAATACCTTTTAATTCATTTCAAATCGTTGCGTGAAATGGGTTCTGGCGCGATCCCTGTAAGCCACTAGAGGCCGCTATACTCACGTCAAAATAGCAACAATAATTAGGGACACTTGATATTCGGCGCCATTCATGCTGACAAGCGCGAGGCTGCCGCGTGAGTGGTGAAGCATGGTCAAAGCGCATCCCCGCAAAGCCCCGCAAAGCCAACGTGGCTTGGGTCTAAACGCAGCGCGCTCGATCGCCCCCTCCGTGGCGAGAGCACCGCGCCGGGCTCGTCGAGGTGAATCTGGACGAACCGACGCGGTCCGTGTGGTGCTGGTGGAGGAGGAGGTGGGGGAGGTGGAGGAGGTGGGGGGGGGAGGAGGAGGTGGGGGAGGAGGTCTCGTGTCCATGGACTCACGCCGCACCATTCCCGCCATCGTCGGCACTTCGACTCAGCTCCACCCGTCGTTGTTTTAACGAGTTAATTGTTTTACGCGCCATGATCCTCGTTACTTTTGCAACAACAAGAAAACGCGATTTGTGTTCGCAGCCGGATGCTGATTTTAATTTAAAGTCATAAATAAAAGATAAAATTAGTTCGCTTTCTTTTAGGACAAACATTTCTAACGCTTTCACCGCAAGGGGAGGCGATGGCGTGGGCTGATGAGGGAGGTAGCGGGGTGGTTCGAAAGGGGTTGATGATGATGGTGGGTGGATGCGGGATGGGAGGTGATGGGCGGCGATGGGCGGTAGTGATGGCCGTGTGGTGACGGGGCACAGAGGAGCTGTTTGTTGGGCGAGAGCGATGGGGTCTCGCGGGAGTCCACGTGCTGGGTTCCCAAATTGACGCGGAATGCCCCAAGCGCGCGACACCGGCCAGTTGGTGGCACCAGGGGCCACAAGGGGCCCCCCATGCGGACGACTCGCTCGTGGTGACGCCAGCGGCGTTGTCGTGGTGAGGGAGTGGTGGTGGAGCAGAGGTCGCAACCGGGTACCCGATACCCGTACCCTACCCGATACCCGGCTACCCGTACCCGGGTACGAGTAGACCGTGAGTCACTGGTTAGTAACTGTTTGTCACTAATTTCCCAACGTCTTGTCTCTTCTCACAATTCAAGTTCCTAGAATCAACCCAACCGCGCCTGCAACATGGCTTCATCCCAGAGGTCGCAATCAGGTACCCGATATCCGTACCCTACCCGTACCCGGCCGGGTACGGGTAGGGTACGGGTACGGCCGGGTACGGGTACCCGTTTGCGACACTGGTGCGGCCGGGTACGGGTAAGGAATCAAAACCCGTTTGCGACCTCTGTGGTGGAGGGAATGGTGGTGGAGGGGGTGGGGGAGTGGTGGTGGAGGGGGTGGGGGAGTGGTGGTGGAGGGGGTGGTGGAGGGGGTGGGGGAGTGGTGGCGCAGCGGGTAGCGCGCCGGTTAGCGCGCCGCGCTGCGAATGCGGCCACATCAGTTCGATTCCCGCTCACGGCCAACATCATTGACAATAATCTTAACGGGTCCTGGGGCCTCCTCTAGGTCTACTTATCCTCAACTGAGGAGCCAGTACGGTGCGAAAGAAGTCCATCATGCATACAACACTGGGGAGACAAATGCGACTGGGCATGGTGCTGGCCACCCACCGCCTTGTGTACCGTGCCGGCCTCCATTGGTACTCGCGAGCGGCACTCGTTCCAAAAGCATGTTAAGGCTACACGGGGGATCTTTGGGTGCCGGTGAAGTGGGGGGGGGGGGGTGTCTGAGGGGGGAGCGGTGGCGCAGTGGTTAGCGCACTACGCTACAAACCAATACTTGTGGGGTCGAATGGGCGGAGTGGGTCAGAATGGGGGAGGGGGGATGGGGGAGGGGTGGTGGTGGGGGGGGGAGGGGTGGTGGTGGGGGGGGGAGGGGTGGTGGTGGGGGGGAGGGGTGGTGGTGGTGGGGGGACATTTATTGCCAAACTTGAGAGTTAAAGAGAATTGCGACAGACCTGGACTCTGAAGCATCTCCACTCATGAGCAACACAACAACAACATTCCCTCACGACTCACAGTTCACACTTAGCCTCACGTTCGACCACACAGAGACACAAACACCCCCCACCACCACCACGTCTAACCTGGCCAGAATGTTGGGAGCGAGCGATCTTAGCGAGCAAGTGTGAAGGTCAAAGCGGCACACGAGGGGGTTGGGTTGGGGTGGGTTGCCAGCAATATACCCGGCCGCCTTTGTCTCCCCAGTGGCGATATTTACACACCGCAGCAGCTCGACCTCACCCACGCAGCACGGAAAACAGCACACGGGCCCACGCAGCACGAAAAGTAGAAATCGGAAGTTTTATAAATCGCCAGTACAAACGTTGCACACGCACACGTGCGCTTACAACACTGAGACTCCCTCCGCTTTAGTTTACCCCACCCCTCCTCCTCCATCCTCTGTGCGCTTATGGATGTTACCCGTGCTATAATAATAATTATTATTAAATAGCGTTATCCTATTCCAATTAGGCGACCCGACAGTATCGCGGTCTGGGGGGGGGGGGGCATCCCCCGCACACCCCCCCGCCCCGCACGGGGTCTCCCTGAGTGACGTCACCAGCAGCTGCTCATGACGAATCAAGAGGTTATTGCAGTCGCGTGCGGAGCTTAAATCATAACTACAATCGATTCATTAACTAGCTACTCACTCACAAGCTGGTTAGCAATGACGACACCGCACGAGATCTGACGTTGCTCAAGCCCCCCCCCGTCCTCGGATCTAGCCCTCCCCCCCACGATGGGACTTGCACCATCACACCACGAACCGCTCGAATCGCTCACTAATCGCTGCAATCAATAACAACAATAACGGTGCCATGTATTTACCCAGGAGAGCCTCCTCACTGAAGAATGTTTTCAGGAGGGCCCTGCTAAATTGAGATGTCTCCCCACGCTGCCCCCCCCCCCACTCCCCACGGGGTTATGAGGTTTGTTCGTTTGATGTTATTTTTAATTCGCCGCTATGTTCAACTGGGGCGGAAGAGGGCGGCACGTGGTGTGGGTCTCCGTCGCGCCCCAACACGACAAGCGCCGCGGGGCCCTCGCACAAGCGGCCGTGGGGGCCCAGCAAACGCTGCCACCGCTACTGCCACTACTGCCGGCGTCACCACCGGCTCACGTTCTACATCTGCATCACGAAAGCTTAAAATCAAGATTTGCATTACAGTTCCGTGAAAATATTCGCGCCTGGCTGCACTTTATTAATCTGTCCGTGGCCACGTCTGTTCGTGTCTTCCACCCAAACCCCGCCCTGGCCCCACAGGGCTAACGGCAGGGCGGAACGGGGGGTCCAGGTCGAACGCCGGAGTTCACACGGGGGTCACCCCTCGGCCCCCGCGCCCGGGCCGCTCCCGCACGCCAGGCAACGGCGGCACAGGCGGTGCCGCGACGTGACGAGCCGGCGGTAGCACGCGAAGATGCGGTCCTGCGTGAGCTTGAAGGCGGCCGACATGACGGCCATGCCGAAGACGATGTAAATGGAGATGAGCAGGAAGTAGTTGGGGTGGCTGGGCACGATGTCGCCCAGGCCGATTGTGGTCATGGTCACGAAGCAGAAGTAGAAGGCGTCCAGATAGCTCCACTCCTCCCAGAAGGGCATCATGAGGGCGCCCAGCGCCACGTACGCCGCCAGCGTCGCCAAGATGAGCCGCACCGGCACATCCAGCTGCTCGGCCAGCTCCCCGATCCAGCGGATCTTGGTGGCGGCGTCGGCCACGCCCGTCACGCCAGGCCACGAGCGGCTGCGCTCCAACCGGGCTCCGGCCACGGGCCGAACGCCGCCGCCCTCCGACAGCCGGCGCTGCCCCACGCCGGCACGGAGGAGCGTCGCGCCGTCTGACGCCGCCGGCGCCGCCCAGACGCCGGCGAACTCCTCCAACTCCACCACCACGGACCTCCCGCCCGGCGCCACCACCATTGCCACGGCGTCGCTCGGCGACCGATGGCGCACGCCCCGGAGCGCGCCGGTCGTCCCGAAGAGCGACATCTCGTCCGGTGGCGCTGCTATGCTGTTCCTCAGCGACCTGAGCCGCCGCAGCGCCTGGAACTCGAGCAGGACGTGGTCGCCACTGCGCACGGACCCCGACCTCAGCACCGAACCCGACCTCCGCACCGAGCAGGGGTCCGGCGCGGTGTCCGAAGCGGGCGGCGCGCCGCCACCGCCATTGCTAGGTTTGGCTGACAGAAGCAGACCGTCCAGCTCAGTGCGGCCGTTCTCTCCCACGAGGGCTCCCGCAGGCCCGTCCGCGCCACGGAGCCCATCCGGCTCTCCCTCACCGCCGCCACGGCGGGAGCGGCGCTTCTGGGCCCACCACCACCGGCGCTGCTCCCGCGCACCCTTCTTGTCGCCGTCGTGGCCTTTCTCTCGTCGTCTCCAACGCTCGAGGGTGGAGGAGCAGCGGTCGCGGCACGTGGTGTAGAGGCGCGTGAGGCCGGCGGCCAATAGGTCGCCCGCGTCGGCCACCACCAGTAGCATGATGGGGATGCCGAGCGTGGCGTAGGCCATGCACAGCACCTTACCGACACTAGTCACTGGGGAGATGTTACCGTAACCTGCCGGGGGGTGGGGGGGAAGGGTGGGCAGGGCGAGAGGGAGGGTCGTCATCAATCGCCATCAGTGGTTGGTCAGTTGTCGTTATTATGCGTTTGGATTAATTATCGGAGCCATAATTCATGACCGTGGAATTTATGTATCGTCTTAAATTAAAATATTTCACCTGGAACGTCTCGTTTGCAAGGGTGTTACTGTCCAGGGTGACTGTAATTGACTTAATTGTCACCATCATCAACGGCGTTGACCACAATCAGTGCAATTAATAATTATCAATGTGGATCAGCAGCCACGACTTTGTTTCGCTTCAATATCAATAGTGAACATAAACAATGAGAGTTGTGGCCGAGGGCCGATTGGTCGGCGCCGGCATTCACCGATGGTGGTGAAGATGGTGCAGCAGAAGAAGAGCGCGCCCATGAAGCTCCACTTGGCCTGGTCAGGGGGCGTGGAGCCCACCCCGGCCCCCAGCAGGTGCAGGCGCAGCATCTCCTCCAGAGCGCCGCTCATGCTGCTGTTCCACACCTCCCCTGCAAGGAAAGCCCCGGGTAGTGAGGCGAGAAGCCCCCCCCTCCGTCCCTGCACGCCTCCCCCCCCCCCTCCACATCCCTGCATGCTACCCCCCCTCCCCGTTTCTCTGCACCACCCCTCCATCCCTGCACGCTACCCCCCCCCCCCTTTCTCTGCACCACCCCTCCATCCCTGCACGCTACACCCCCCCCCCCCACCCCGTATGCGCGTAGCAATGCTGCTGCTGTCCAGCTCTCCCTCCGGCGAATGCTCTGGCTGTACCGCTGGGTGTCGTTCGGCACGATGTCCGACGTTTCGCTCTGCATGTTGGGAGTTTCTTCAGCGCTGGAAATAGCTTCTGAAGAAGCGCACAGCAGGTGCAGCTAAACGACGGACATGACACAAGGCGGTACAGCCCAGAAACACATTGAAGGGCGATGAGATAGTCACAATCTTTATAAATAATAACGTACAGCTCTTTGTCAATCCACTGCTGGATGAAGGCCTCTCCAAGTCATCACCTACGGGAGAGCACGAGACATGAAGCGGCACCAGAAGTCTCCCGCATCATCGCGGTGTCACCACCCCAGACCCCTGATTAAGGTATCCCCTTGATAATCCCATCCAAGCCACCCTTGGCAACTCCCCCCCACCCCGCCGCGTCCTCCTGTGGCTGACCGGTGCAGCAGACGTTGGTGCGGACCGCGTCGATGATGTTCTTGACGAGGTGACTCAGCGTGCGCTGGGCCTCCTCGCTCGCGTTCTCGTGGGCCTCCTGCTCGGCGGGGCGCTCCAGGTAGCTGAAGGCGAGGGCCCCCGCCAGGGCGTACAGCACCAAAAGCGTGGTGAGCAGCGCGTGCGGGGCCAGGTGGTGCAGCAGCTGCCGCGCCCGGGTCCCCGGTCCGCAGCACGGGGGCCCACGGCGCACCCGTGACGGGGCCTCCTCCGCCCGCTCCCCCACGTCGGCGACCATCGTGGACGAAAACGATCCCCGCTGACGATGCCGATGCCGTCGCCGCTACTGCCGGGAGACACGGGTCAGCTCGGGTCAGCTCGGGGTGGGTGTCGGCTTCATCCAGGCTCAACCTACATAGGCCCGAGGTAGGGGGCTCGTGCGAACCGCTTGGGGATATCAGAAATAAACCCATCACGCGTACGAGGGGATGCACGGATGTGTTTGTGATCCCACTTTGCCCCTCAAGCGCTCGATCGCCGGGCGTGTGCGTCACCATCGGGGTTGGTGGCTCACGCGAGTTTAGAATCGATGGGGAGGGAATTCCAAAAGTCGTTCAATACACGCTTTTCCTCGTCCTTACAACAATAAAACAACACCATTAAAGAAGGGCAATTGCCTAAAACGTTACCCCGCTGAGCGTTTCTCGAGCACGCGTTGGGGGTATTGTCTGTGGGAGGAAGGCTGTGGTGGTGAGTAAGTTTCTCTTGGGCGTGGTACTGAATTCCACGCCACCGCGCTGCGGGCGGGGGTAGCATTCCGGGGGGGCTGACATCACCACTATCATTATCATCATCAATACCATCATCACCATCAACACCACCATCATCAATACCATCAATATCACCATCATCAACATCACCACCATCATCATTATCAATACCATCAACATCGCCATCATCAACATCACCATCATCAGTGCCACCATCGCTGTCCGGTTCGCTCGCGCCCTGCAAGCGGTTTTGGTTTTTGTAACGAACTGCTACGAAGACACCTTGCGCGGGATGTGCTCTTCATTCTCGTCGTCACCATCACCCCACGCATCATAGTCATCCACATCATCAACATTCACTACATCAACATCAGTGCTCATCAAGGCCGTAGCCATGGAGTCAACATTGGGGGGGACCAAATCTTCCAGGGGTTCTGGGGGTCCCTCCCCCCCCAGAAAAAAAAATCTAAATTTGAAAACTAATTTCCTGCCTAAAATATAAAAAAATGCACTAGGACATGGGATGCACTTTTTTACAATAATGTCCAATAGTATATTGTATTACATTGCTCTGTTTTTTTCTTTTCTTGTTTCATTGTATGTAATGGCAGAGATTAGGGATTAATAAACTACAACCATAACCACAATCATATAAACAGAAATCTATTTTATAACAATATATTGGGGGGGGGGACATTTTGATCATATTTGAATATTGGGAGGGATATATATTATAATCATCCGCATCAGGTATGGCAGTCACCCCCATAATTACCATCATCATCATCCGCTACGCCATCAGCATTGCGAGTTTTGCAATTTGCCACGGGAAGCCCACGCCGTGCCTCCCCGCGACATCAGAGCCGCGCACGGCACGCGCAGCCCGCGGTCTCCTTCCCGCAACTTCAATATAATTGGTATGCGCCATGAACAATGCCCGTTGCTCGAAACGAATGTCGCCTATAGGCTCGCGTGGTGCTTGTTTGTTATAATCAGCAGCTGCGCGTCTAAGGCCGAGCCCCATCACAGCCTCGGAGCCCAGCGCTGCCCACAGCCCCCCCCCCCCCTCCTCTTGTGCGGGCGCACGGGGAGATCCGAGGCGAGTTCGTATTTGTTCAGAATCGACCCCCGAGGCTACGGCGAGTAAATTATTTATCCAAACAACCGTGGCTTCTGTTCACTTCTCAGCGCATATTTTTTTTAACCCTCGTTGTTTGCCTCTCCCACGTGTATTCGAGCGTTCGGCATTTTGTCCGACGTTTCGCGTGCCGTTTCGGGAACTTCAGTTCGGAGATCGTGCCCGACAACGCGCGGGAGAGTTGCGCCACAGATCTCGCGGGGGGAAACCCCTGCGCACGGACAGACCCCGTTAGAGCCCATCGGCCTCTTGTCTTTCCACGCCAATCACCCAGCGGCATTGTTATTCAGCACGCAGAGTGTCCGCCGGGTTTCCGCCTTCTGGGACTCATCAGCAGTCAGGTGCACCGACACTGCCGGGTTCGCCAGATGCTATTGGCGAGAGCACCGCGACTACACACCAGGGCCCTGTTCAACGCTGCAGGCGGTTGGATGCTGCGATGAGTGACGGCGGGGCTATGTGCAGTGCTATACAGCTGTCTAAGATTCGCGACTGTGCCATGAATCCGGTCACGCGAGTTCGATTCACGGCCACGGGTAACGTAAACAGCGAGACGTCTCTGAACCGGAGCCCCCCAACCCCTCTCCCACCGCAATCACCAACCTGCATCGACTAGCGCGGTGAAGTATGGCTAGACAATCCCGTCGACCAATAGCGGCGTGGCGAGCCCTTCGTCCAGAAGGGGACTGGCACAGGGCTGTACGTTCGAGGGCGATTACTGAGGGAGAGAATCTGCGCGCTCACCACTCGTTTCATCGGCATCTCCCTCGCCGTCTCCGTTATCGCCCCCCGCGCCTCCTCGCCCGGGAACGCGCCGCGCGACCTAACACGACCCCCTGTTTGCCGGCTCCAGCCTCAGGGCTGCGTGGCCCCACGATTTACTGTTGCCTTTATGTGTTTACGCGCGGGTGAAAAACCATTCAACTGGAAGATGATTTACAGCAACGCCCCGCGGATGGCCTCGGTGAGAAAGGTCCCCAACGGGAGAGAGAGGGTCCCCAACGGGAGAGAGAGGGTCCCCAACGGGAGAGAGATGGTCCCCAACGGGAGAGAGATGGTCCCCAACGGGAGAGAGATGGTCCCCAACGGGAGAGAGGGGGTCCCCAACGGGAGAGCGGTCCCCAACGGGAGAGAGGGGGTCCCCAACGGGAGAGAGAGGGTCCCCAACGGGAGAGAGAGTCCCCAACGGGAGAAAGGGGGTCCCCAACGGGAGAGAGGGGGTCCCCAACGGGAGAGAGGGGGTCCCCAACGGGAGAGAGAGAGTCCCCAACGGGAGAAAGGGGGTCACCAGCGGGAGAGAGGGGGTCCCCAACGGGAGAGAGGTCTCGTGAGTTCGGACGGAACCGGTCCCGCAAGCTCACACCGCGACGTGACGGCCGCTTTCGGTGAGCGGATCCACCGCCCATGCTGCTGCGCACCGCCCCCCATTGAGAAGATTCCGCGAGACATGCGGGAGGGAGGGAGTGGCTCAGACCGAGCCAGAGTTCACTGCTACTAACTGGAGTTGTGGCACTGTACCAAGTTTGAAGGCTGAATCTCACGTTGGACTGTCTTGTTAAACGAGTCGCGGCGCTTGAAGGTGCGCCTGGTACGTGGAAAAAGAAAACTGATGATGGTGGCACTGGCCGTTTGGCTGTTAAGTCATTTCGCTACTTCAGCCGGAGGTTTCAGATCAAAGTGAGGGGTTCACTCACCGGGCGGATGCGCCGCTCTTTGCCCGCTCGGCCTCACGAACCTCCCCTGCAGGTCCCCCTGTCTTGCGAGTCCCAGGCAGCCCCTTCCGAACCCGAAGCGCTGCGAGCCCCCTCGCGGCGGGGGGTCCGCAGGACTCTGCACGCCAAGTGGCACCCAAGGAGTGTTTACGCGACGGCAGAGGACCCCCGGGGGTAGCGGGGGGAGCTCGAGTCTCGTCCCAGCAGAGCGCGCCAGAGTCGAGCTCCCGCCGTGTCCCCGCCTGTCCCAAGTGAGCGCATGGAGCAGTGGCCAACTCGGGGGTCTTTTGTCCCGGTGGAGGGGGAGGGGCCCGAAGGGGGAGGGGAGTGTAGGGGGGGGCGAGAACCTCATGGTGAGTTTACGAGGCGAGGAAAGAGGACAGGCGACAAACCCTCGCCGCTGCTTTTGATAGGGAGGGCGGGAGGAGTATGTGGGTGTGGGCAGGGGGAGGAGGAGCGGGGGAGGAGGAGGAGGTAGGAAGAGGAGGAGCTGGCACGCATTCCTGCCGCCTCTGTTTGCGCGCCACGGCTGCGCGAGCCGACGCTCCCAGTGGCTGCCCCCTTCCTGCCCCCCCCCACTCGCGCACGGGACTGGAACTCGCTGTCGGGGGGGGGTAGGGGCACAGATGGAGGGTAGGGGCTTTGCCCCCTCGAGGCACGTCGCGTGCGCGCTGGCCTCCCCTCCCCTCCCCCGCGCGCTCCCATTGTGTTTACCGCTGTCCCGCGCTCGCCCGCCCGCACGCACGTGGAGCGGTGACTGCAGCTGGCTGACGCTCCACCCCGCTGCTGCACGCGCAACTCATAAGCGGGGACTTGTTTACGAGACGATTAAAGAGCGGGTGTGCAGGGTTAAACCACAGGGGCAACTTCACCTTAACTTACGAGGAGGCAATTACTTAATAAGGATGTGAAACGTCAGCCCGTTGTGTGTTGAAGTGGTGAGTGTTGTTGTGTTGTGCTTGCTTGCCATGTCGGGTCTCCGCGTCTCACCTGCTGCTCCGATCGTCTCTTCACGCAACCGCGTCATCTCCGGCTGAGCTGTGGATCGGCTACGGGCAGCAGCGGCGGCAGTGCGAGCTCCGTCTCGCGTCCGCGAACCTCGCCAGCGACCCGACCCCTCTCGCTCTCGTGTGTTTATTTATTAAAATATTTAGCAGGTAAACCCCGCTGAGCTATGAGCTCGTTATCAGAGGCGACTTGGCCACACATGGCATATATCATCATCATCATCGCACGTGGGCATTTATAGTAGCGGCCAAATTATTTGAACGCGTGTTGTTACTAAATGTGGAGGGCAAAACCGGAGCAGGGACCCCCGAGAAACATCCTCGCGACCTCCACGGGAAGAGAGATCACGCGGACTCGAAATGCAGAGCAGGCATCGTCAGGGTCCAGCATCGAACCCACGTCCCGCTGCGAACCAGGCGAGGGAGGTGACATTTCGTCACCATCGCGGCGCCCAGTTCCGCAAATCGGCGACTCAGTCTGAGTTCTTCCGTGCGGCAGCAGCAGCAGCTGCGACTGACCAAAGTATTTCACAAATAGTCACCGCAAAGTATTCGGGGAGTGTATTTGCACCGAGTCGAGCAGCAGCAGCAGTGGTGTTATCGTTTGCAGGACGCGCGTGGTCCTCACACCTCCTCTAAGCTCAGTTCGCGGACGCGACGTGCGACAACCTCGTCCGTCTTGCGCCACAGCCGCAGTTCAAATTCACTGCGCAGAGCCGAACCTCGTCGACAGGTTCCGCTGCGCCCTCCCACCTGCCCTTGGCCGGTGCGGAACTCTGTCGAGCAGAGGTCCGGTCACGGCGCGTCGTTTCACAGCGGGGGTTGCCCCGATGACAGCCGGGCAGCGGACGGGCTCAAGAGATGGGCGACCACCGGCAGACTTGGCTCGGCGCGAATCTTCTCCAGCCGCTCGCCAGTCGTAGCCTCGCCACGGCGATGTGGGTAGAGCGAGGTTGCTTTGAGTCGGCAGCGAAGGGAAGGGTTCGCGTCAACGAAGTCGCTGTGCGAAAGCCGGACCCCGCACGGGCGGCAGGGGACTGCCGGCGAGAGCGCGAGTGTCCACACCCGTCTAGCAGGACCCCCCCCCCCCCACACACACACGCCGGTGTCGATCCAGCGAACTCGCCAGACAAGGACCACTCGTCCCCTCCCTCCGTTCCACGGATCACAACAATAAACCCCCAGAGAGCCCGACCCCCCCCCCCCCCCAAAATACCCCTAGACCCCAACATCAGAAAGCGAGACCCTAGAGGGCAGAAGGCGCGACATTTCTCACTAACGCGACAACTCTCACTCACGCGGCATCTGCAACTCTCCTGTAACTCAAGGTGGAGGCGAAGGCCTGGCATCACACGTGGCGGATTGGAAGTCTTCTCCAAAAGAGACTTGGTTCTGTTGGGTGTTCATTATTCCTGGCCCATGGGTCACAGCGCGTAGCCCGCCGCCATCTACAGCCCAGAGATTTTGGGGTAGATGATAATGATGCTGTTGACAGTGATGACCCCCCCCCCGCCCTACCCAGAAACGAGTCCGATCGGCGCTGACCCTAATTGGAACTCGGTGTTCGCCCCTCCCTTCCTCCTACTCACTAACCGCACCCCAACCCAGAACAGCGCTATCGCTCCTCGACAGACTCCACGCTCCCACAGATTCCACACTCTCACAGACTCCATACTCCCACACACCCACCACTCCCACACACTCTACACAATGTACAAATGCACACGCCCTGAAACTCCTCCATACATTCGGGATGTTAGATGGCTAGCCCGGTTGTAGGCCACGTGCCGGCGAGTCACCCTCTGCCCCAGGAACAGCTGCCACAGGGGTGCCCCTTTCAAATGTGGTTGAGATGAGATGTGAGATTGTAGCTCGCTCCGAGACGCCCCACGCGCTCTAAACATTAAGGAGGGTGGCGCTCTCAAAAAATAAAAACTGTCATCACAATTACCCCCGAGACTGCACACTCACAGTAGGCTACCAAACTCTACGCCCAAGGCCAATAAACCAGCCGCTATTCTAGGACATAGTAAACAGGGGCCTTCAACTGGTGGCTGTGTGTGGGAGGGGGGCACCATCTATTATTGGATTGTGGAGTGGGGGGGGGGGGTGATCGTCCAATATGTGATGCACCCATAGCCAGTACAACATCTATCGCTACCTGCCAAACGAGTCTAACCCGGTGTGAAGAGACGGACATGCGTACAAAGGAGACATCGTCTGCTTAATTTTTTGGTTAAACACGAGAAACACGAGGAGTAAGGGCGACTGCTCAGGATAAGCCCGGCACGAGAACATTATTATACTGTAATTATATTATGAAATAATAATTTTCGTATTAAATATAATTATAGTATTATAATAACAATTATATGTATTATTAGTATTGGAGTTGATCATTACTCGGGGGACTTTGCCTCTCTCCCTTCTGAATCCATCCCACACAATCACCACTCACTCGCTCCCCGAGTGAGCGGATGGGTGGAATGAGTGGGTGAGTTATTCGTGATGAAGAAAGGACAAGTGAGGATTAGTTAAAGGGTGGGTGTGCTGTTGTCGGTGGATAAATGAAGACCTATGTCCAGGGTAAATACATATTCTGATTATGAGTGGGTGAGCTGTCATTGATGATGAATGAATCAATGAGTCGTGATGGTGGGTGAAAGGGTGCATGGGTGAGTGGCTGAGCGAGCCGCTACGATACTCACCGTCAGTCGCCTAACCCAAATCTGCGGTTACGGAGTGCCTTGCCTCAAGGAGACGCCTCGATATCACTCGAAACTCCGATAGCGATCGACACTCCGATGCCACTCGAGACTCCTACGCTGCTGAGTGACCGTGGCTGAAGTCCGCATGTGAGTTGGGTAGTAATGAAAGTGAAGCTGTCACGGGTGAAGCTGTCACGGGTGAGGCTGGCACGGGTGAGGCTATAACGGGTGCGGCTGTCACGGGTGAAGCTGTCACGGGTGAGGCTGTCACGGGTGAACCTGTCACGGGTGAAGCTGTCACGGGTGAAGCTGTCACGGGTGAAGCTGGCACGGGTGAGGCTGTCACGGGTGAAGCTATCACGGGTGAAGCTGGCACGGGTGAGGCTATCACGGGTGAAGCTGGCACGGGTGAAGCTGTCACGAGTGATTCTGTCACGGATGAGGATGTCGAGCTTTCACTCTGATTCTCACCACAGGAAACGATCACGTGGCTGTAACTCGAAGTCTCAGCTGTGCTAAAATAATCCATGATGATTTAAAGAGCGGTGGGGGGGGGGGGGTATCCCGTCTCCTCTTTCTCCCCACTGTCCCCTCGTCCACACCCAGGACTAATTACTACTCCAGATGATCAATACTCACCGACCAATAGACTCATCACCGGCAAAACCACTACATACATCAATGCAACGACGAAGACAGGGCTACCACATGTAGCCGTTAACGAGCTGTTGTGGCAAGTGCTGTTATCCAGCATCTATTAAGGCCGGAACAGCACCACGCCCAGCCGATTTTGTCTCGCGAATGCTGGTATTTCCACATCGCACCGGGTACTAATTTAAGGCTGAGTCGACCTACGGGCGGCCCAAGATCGTCTCAGATATTCGTCACCGATGTTGGATGTGAGTGGGAATCTAATTCGGGTAGCCGGGTCTGGAGCACAGTCCGCTCCCCAAGCTGCATTCGCACACCCACAGCAACACACAGCAACACACACCAACCCATCAATCTCAGGTGATGAGGCGCGTGGGTGGAACTCATTGATTATTATCAATAATTGGTACACGACGATGAAGACGCCAAGCTTCTCAGTGGATCTCTATGCGTTAAATGATTGTTTTCTCTGTCAGTCTATGGGTCTGTGGGTGTCTATGTAACAAAGCGTCCGCCGGGGATGAGGAACTGCCAGCGCATTGTCGTTTCTCATTGAATCCACCTGCTCGCCAGAGAACAACTCACCAACACACATCACACAATACACTCCTACGCACCAAGAAAGACCGGGACAGTTGCACGCCTACACACACACACTAATTACCGCCTACACACACACACTAATTACCGCCTACACACACACTAATTACCGCCTACACACACACACTAATAACCGCCTACACACACACACACTAATAACCGCCTACACACACACACTAATTACCGCCTACACACACACAGTAATTACCGCCTACACACACACACTAATTACCGCCTACACACACACTAATAACCGCCTACACACACACACACTAATTACCGCCTACACACACACACAGTAATTACCGCCTACACACACACACAGTAATTACCGCCTACACACACATACACTAATT